GGCGGCGGGGCACGGGCGCCCCGCGCCCCTCGCCCCGGAACGGCCGTCCGAAAAGCGGCCGGGGAGGCGGCGGCGTCCTTCCTCCCGTCGTGCCGGTGGTCGCACTGAGGGACGCGAGCCCCGCGCTCGGGCTTCCGGGCCGTGTTGTGGTTCCGAATCGGGGTTGGCGCGGTCGCGACCTGCCGGGAACGCAGAAGCAGTTAAGGCGTCAGGGCTGCGCTGGGTCAGGCCAGGGGCCCGTTCAGCCCGGCCTTCTGTTTACATCCAGTTGGAGGGCCTGAGAACGTCAGCACCCTCTCACCCGTGTTCCCCAGCAAACGGTGTGCATAGGCCTACTGTCTTTGACACTGAAGGTGGGATGCAGCCATCAGGACTAGAAGCTAGCGATGATCCCTTCCTCTGTTAATTTATCCAACCTTTTTTAAGGCTGTCCAAATTGAAGTCCGCCACTGCACCCTGTGGAAGTAAATTCTGCGCTTCAGCCGTGCACTGCGCTGCGTGGAGCAATCCTTTCGAATCTCCCACCAATCAGTTTGATGGGATGGCCCCCCTGGGTTCTAGTATTATGAGAGAGGGAAAAACGTGTCTCCTTCTCCACTTTTCCCCACACCATTCATACTTTGTCAAGCACGGAATTTTGTGTGTGGGGAGCAGGAAGAACAGAAATGTGAGTGACACTGCTTCACAAGGTGGCTGTGTGAAGAAGGGCCCCCATTCGGGTGTGCTGTTTGTTCGATTGAAACATTAATACCCTGCCCCCTGGTTGTTTGGAAAGCTCAAAGTGGCAAAGGACTCTGGCTGCAAAGGCAGACCAGCCTTAGGCTTAGCCATCTAGCTGGCTAGGAACTCCTGCAAGTGGCAGGACCGCGTTCTGTCTAATCATGCGCGCGCTGCATCCTAGTCCACAAAAGTCTCTTCTGCCGTGTCTTTGAGATGCTACAAGGAGAAGCATACAGCCTATGCTGTTTTAGGGTTTTTTTCCCCCCACTCACATGGCTATTCCTCTGGAAATGGCAACAGTAAGTTAGAAAGAGATAAATATGCACCATAATGAAAAGCAATGCAGGAGAGAGAGAACATGGGTGTTAAAACAGAAGCAAGCTACAAAGAAATACAACTCAGTGTAGCCAGTGTAAAGACCAATGCAAGAGCTTAATGTTATTATGCACAAGAGCTACTCTGTAAAGAACCGCTTCTGTATCTCAGCTCCGTGTGCGTATTCAGCAGCCATTCCCTTTGCCTTCAGCCGGGCTCAGTTCTTTGAACTGAGATGGGTGCTTTGCCCATTTAGGGTATGTTCTGCTAGCTATAACAGTCCGGGGGCACTGTGCGCCCATTTGGCCTCCACACCACATACCCCCAATAGTTGCCTTTGGCAAGAAAAAAGCCAGAGAGGAAATGACGCATCAGAACAGACCCTTCCTTGAGACTCAGCCCCAGAGAAACTCTTGGGGCTTGACTTGCAGAGGAAGCACAGTTCAGATGGCTCTGTGCATTTAGAGCACGGCACTTAAGAATACCAGACTCAGAGTCATTCCTAAAACCGGGCATAAGTTCTACTTGATCAGACCTTGTGATTCAGTTTACAGAAGTGGGGAAGGCAGTTACTGGCTCCAGTAGCACTTGTGAAAACGTCCCAGTCAGTCATGGTAAATGAAATGCACTACATTCCCCTGCATGTAGCCCGGAGCCCTTTGGAAATCACTAAATTACATGGTCGAGCAGCCAACACAAATAGGACAGTGTGTCTCTCTCAAAGATTAAAAACAAATTCCTCGAGGTTATCCAGCTAAGAGATGATTGATGCGGCTTTTATTTGTTAACCATTTCACAGGCACATTCCTCTACAAATCACAGAATAAGAAATATGCCTTGTCTGTCTGTTTATGGATCCATCCGTCTGCATCACAATCCATTCCAAGGACTAAGACAAGTGCAACACGTCAGAGGTTCGCAAGTAACACAGTCATATCCTCATAGTAACCTTGGGGAAGTATACCGGGATCTTGCCCCTCAAATGAGTGAGCCACACTGAGCCCCCGGATTGGCCATGCTGGTCCCCTGCTTCGCCCCTTTCCCCAGCTGCCAGTCATCCTCTGCTTTCCCAGCCTCTGCTCATCTCCCCCACCCCACACTGGCTCTTCTGGCCCTCCTCTCCAGTTTAGCCACTGGCACTTAGAGGTTTAAGCTAAAACATGCTGTTGCCGGGGCCTCTCTCCTACGGGCTTTGGACATGTGCACCAGCTTTACGCATCCCCCAACAGCTTCTCTGAAATTCCCTTGGGCTGAAAGAGTGGGCTAAGCACTCTAATAGTCATTTTACAGCTGGAAAATCAGACGACGATGCTGAAGCTTGCTCAAGTCACCCATAGAATAGACAAGGAAGGGCTGAATTCAGCCTCCCTGGATATTATTACATAATAAGGGATTCAGTTCTGAGTAAATACGCATTCGCTTTATACTATAGTGGCAAGAAAGAAAATACTTAGTTATGTGACTGATGGGCTTCTCAGGTATTTTATAAAGGTGGACACTGATTTATAAAAGCTTCTGCCATTGTCTGTTTGTCTTAATAATGATTATTATTACAAGCAGGGCTCTGAAACAAAATGCAGTTCCAGTTCATGCATTCTCTTCTTGCTCCCTGGTTTTCCTCCATCCCTGCCCCAGTCAGCAAGCATTTTTTGCACACTGAGCAAGTTCGTAAGAGTATGACATGGGACAGCCATGTTGTATCAGACTAAAGATCAGTGTAGCCCAGTCCTCAGTGGGTAGTTTTGGGTCCTCTCTCCAAGGGTGGGGGGAATTGTGTGGGTTTCAGGTGGACACACTTGAACCCAGACACAGCAACCTCAAAATCTTGGATTTCTCAAGTAATTGTTACTGTCAACTCTCATGTTTGTCTTTAGGAACAATGAAAAACAGCTGCTCCCTGTAAAGTGGGCACGGAGAAGGTTATTTCTACATTTTTGTGTATTTCTGTGCCCTTCTTCCATTTTCCTCCTTCAGCCATGGCATTCTATTCCTCCTCTCCCTGTTGTCAGTCTTGTCAAGCGCTCCCTGCATCATCATTCTTTGTGGCTGAATTACAAAAGCACCGTTTAGAACGGTGCATTTTCATACACACAGAGGATATTTTTCCTTAAGAGAGTTTCTTGGACAAATGCAAAACTTGGGGTTACCCCAAGCCTGCTGATACCTCCTTGACTGGAGGAGGTGGTGCTGCACATTTTTCCTCACCACTTTGTGAGGTAGGTTAGGCAGAGAGTAAAATTCATAGCTAAATGGGGAATTTGACCCTGGATCATTCCACTCCTAGCCCAACACACTGATTGGAGGGGGTGGGCAACACTTTTTCTGGCAAGGACTGAACTTCCTCATGCGCAACCTGTCAAGGAGCTTATGTCACCAGTGAACAGGGCCGAAGGCAATGGCAGGCTCAGCCAAGGCCAAGAATGGGTGGCCCACCCCTTTTGTCTCACTGTTCCTTCACGCTCCCTGCCCACAGTGCAACTGCCAGGGAAGGGGTAAATTACTCTCTTAATAGAGATCCGGACTGGTTGCATGCAGAGGCCTTCTAAAACAAGCCTGAGAGCCACCTGCAGCCTGAAGAGCACACCGCCCTGTCTCTCTTCAAGGTGGCACAAAACTCTTACTGGGTTTTGCATTTGCTCCTGTGTAAAGACGCTTGAAACTGGGGCCTAGAAGCAGCTTTCTCCAACTTGACGGCTCCTCGATCAGGTCGGACTACATCTCCCATCGTCCAAGGAATCCATAGGGGGAGTTGAGCCGGGGGGGGGAAGGCTGTTAAACTTGGTTCCCTCTTTTCTCGCGTGCTGGCCTACGCACCCCAAAATCCCCAGTCACGGATGATGGGAGCTGTCATACTCAGTGAAGGCAACCCCTTCCCGCGCACCGGCCGGCAAAGCCACCCGCGCCTCGCAACTGCCTCGAGCGTCGCACGGGCAACGCTCCAGCGGGCCAGGAATGCCCCCTCGCGGCCACCGTCGCCCCGCCCCCCGCCAGCGTTGCGCGCGACGCGTCTCTTGGCCTTGTACGGCCACTGTCCGCCTCTCGTCTCCGCGCCTCCTCCTCCTCCTCGCATCCAATCAGCGCTCCGCGCGCGGCCGGGCGCCGCCCCTTCGCTTCCTCGCAGAGCCCTCGGCGGCCGCCATAGTGCCCAACTGGCCTGTACGTGGCAGCCGGCCCGCCGCTGGCCTATGAGCGAGGGCCCCGTGCCCCGGAAGGGGCGTTGCGCGGGGCCGGAAGCGCCGCTCCGTCGAAGGCTATTCGCTTTGCCCCCTGGCAGCCGCAGTCGCTCGCGTGAGCCGCCGCCGCCTCCCCCTCCACCTCCTCCCTCCCCTCCGCGGCCCGCCTCGCCCGCCCGCCCGCCTCCTTCCTTCTCCGCCGCCGCCGCCGCCATGTCGCCGGTGCGGGCGCTGCTGGCGCTGCTGGCCGCGCTGTCGGCCCCGGCGGCCGGCTACTTCGTCAGCATCGACGCGCACGCGGAGGAGTGCTTCCTCGAGCGGGTCCCGTCCGGCACCAAGATGGGGCTGATCTTCGAGGTGGCTGAGGGAGGCTTCCTCGACATCGACGTGGAGGCGAGTCTTTAGCATCAGCGTGGCTGTGAATTATATTAAATGTGTCTCCCGCCTTTGTTTCCTCTTGCAAGCTACCCAGCGGGCTTTGCAAGACCCTCCTCTCCGCTCTGTCCTCAACAACAACCCTGCAAAGTAGGTCGGGCTGAGAGCCCATGGCTGGCCCACAGTGAGCTCCATGGCAAGTGGGAACTAGAACCGGGCTCTTCTGAGGCCCAGCCCGACACCGAAACCGCTACCCCAACTGGCTCTCCGGGTGTGTTTCACGTCGCTTACTTTGGAATAGGCCTTGGTCCGCAGCCATGAGTTTAGTTCCTCTCACACCCTTGTTGTGAACAGGGTCAGCATACTGCACTGGTTTTTGGATAGTTTTTTTATTTATCACATTTTTATACTGCTCAGTAGGCCGAAGATTTTTTGTTGGTAGGATCAGTCCAGCATATGTGAGATGAGCTGCTTGTGACAAGAAGGGAGAGTCATTAGTAGGGTTATGCTGGGTTAAAGAAACTGAGTGCTGCTTTGCCTCTTTGCTACACTGGGTAATTGGCCTTGGGGAGGGCAAAGAAGAAAGGGGTATGTGGAGATCCCTAGGTATTTGTGGCTCGCTGGCATCTCCCCATTCTGAAGCATATGGGATTCTTCACAGTGGGATATGTGGCTGGAAAAAAAGTGCTTTTGAACCAAAATGCACTGTTTTCTTTAAAAGAGACTTGCTGAGCCAAGTGGGGAGGGCTCATCATGCTGGAATATACAAAGAGGAAGTTAAAACACCCCTTAACCATTGCAGGGTGCTATTTTTTTAAAAAAAGTGATTTCTGGTATTATGCCAGAGGGGGTCATGTAGCCCATTTTTCCCTTTTATGCCTTTCCCCCAAGGACAAAAGGAGAAGAAATGGAGTATAAGTAGTTTTAGTAACCTGATATCAGTGTAGCGTGAATGCAAATATCTTTATTTCCTGGTTAGTCACAAACAGTTGGAAAATGCTATAAGTATAGACTTCAAACCCTCAAATCTCCCAGCTTTTACTTGTGAATTAGAAAATAGGGCAAAAGGTTTCTAACACTGAAATGAGTATGTTAGTATATTGCAGCAAGTACAACAAAAGGTTTTGCAGCATTTTGACAGCACAGTTGGTATAAGTTTTTAAGTCTCTGAAGAAGTGGGCTTTAGTCTATGAATACTTGAACCAGTATATATTGTGTAAGTCACAAGTCTGTAAGGTGTCACAAGGTTCTTTCTTGGGTCTCTATGCCTCCCTCCTTTTCCCTCCCACAATTTAAACAATGTATATAGAGTTTGGCTTTGGTTACTGGAAAGAGTGGCTTGTTGGCTCATTGGAAAGGGAAAGTCTCAGGTCTCTTTGTTTGTTTACTTACTAGACCATTGAAGCGTATTTCCACCTAAGGGTACATATGTAACAGAGAAGAGTTCATGCTAGTCATAAATACTTGACAAGAACCAGTAATACCTTGAGGGGTGGGCATAGCAAGGAGGCAAGGGGATGAGAAAGGAAGAGCCAAGGTTTCAAAACCACAATGAAGAAATGCTTGAATGGAGTTGGGATGGCAACTGGCAGAGCCAAGACAGTTTGTGTGTGCGTGGATGGGAACTTTGGTAATAGGAAGTATTTGAACTGATTTTTAACAGAATACAGCAGTTAGAATTGCCCTTTCCACCCTGGTGCATTCCAGATGCTTTGCACTACAGTTCCCTTCACTCCCTGTCAACATGTTGGGTATGTAGTCCCTCGCATATAGAGGGTACCAAATCAGGGAGAACTGAGTTAGAAAGTAGCAATTAAGTTTTAAAGAATCCAATTTGGTTTTTTTTTTATTTTTATTTGGGTATTTTTACCCCGTCCAATACCCCGCGGGAATTGTTTGGGAATACTTTGGCCAGGTGATTTGTTAACTAACTTTGGTAAATTGACCAAAGAGGACGTGTAGCTATTTACATGGGTGGGTTGCCAAAGGAATGAGAGAAGAGAGATTGCGAAGTAATGCTGATTGAGGAGAGATGACCTATTACCTAGTGGTAAATTATTATGCTGTGAATATCACCATATGGCAAGAGTTTGTACCGTGCTCGGCATAGTAAGAGATCGTTTGTATTGAGCGTGTTGCATGGAATTCTCAAAGGACAAGGCTGGGAGCATCCCTGAGGCTTGAGAAAGTTTCATTGACTGATGGTGACAGGTCATGCTTATGCCCCAGTCTTAGATGATTGTGACTTCTCGAAAAGTTAATTATCTCCTTGAGCCCGCTGAAATTCCTCTCCACTATAGATCAGTTTGTCAAAATGTGTCTGGAAAAAGTTCCGGAAGTGTTGGTGGCAGCATTGGAACAGACACAGCACCAGGCAATGCTTGGGTTATTCTGTCAGGTCAAGTCACATAGTGCCATCGCACTTGGGTTTGTGCCAGCTGCATGCAGAAAGTCAGGCCAGGCAGGTCCTGTGGCCCTTGGCTGCTTTGCTTTTCAAGTCTGTCAGTGGAGGGTCAGCTGTTGATTTCATGTTTAGATCCAAATGTGTGTGTGTGTGTGTGTGTCAGTTTCTCAGGCTCTGCTTTGATACATAACACACTTTTAAAAATGCAATTTATAACTTTATTTAAAACAGTCCCAAGAATGTAGAATTCAAGACTGTGGACTAGTCAGCTGCCTGGCAGGGTGGTGAAGACCTGCAGTGGTCAGATGGACTGTGCTGCTGTGCAGCAGTGACCAAAATGGGCAAAAGCTTTTCTCTTGGGGAATTAAGCAGCATTCAAAAATGGCGTTGCCCATTATATAGTTGCTTTGGAGAGACAAAAGATAGATCGTGACCTGGTGGATCTCTGGGTGGGTTGCAGTGTGTCAGCAACCATTTCCGATTACTACTTCTGTAAGAAGATGAGTTACAAAATGAATCTTTTACTGCCCTGGAGGTAACTAGGAATGGATTTTTGCATGGAAGGATTTGAACTCTGCTCAAACAAATATCTGGGCTCAAAATGGTTTCAATCAAATTTAATTTTAAGTATTTCTGTTTTCTGCAATGGGCTGCAGCCAGTGAGTCTCAAAGTTGTAGTAAAATAACAAAACAGATCTTGGAACCTAGGAGCCTGCCTGCTCTTTCTGCATCGTGAATATTCCCAAACCAGTTGCTTCTGCAGTGAAGCAAGGGCAGGGGTGGAGGATGACAGAACTCTGGGCGTATGGTGCAGTGTCCATGGAGAGAGAAATTATTTTCCAGTCTCAATTGCAGGATGCTGGGAGTGCATATTTTAATCCAACTCCGCACATCCTGGAACCCTTCAGATGTCTTAGGCTACAAATCACAGCATGCTTCCGCAAGCATTTCTTGTCCAGTGTATCTGGAAGGCACTAGGATGAGGAAGGCCGTCATACCCAAACACAGAGAAGAACCTTTATTTCAGTGCTACTGGTCTGACAAATGAATATAAATAAACTGTAGCTAGATTGGAAAGTACAGGCTGGAGGTGACTGCTGAAGCGGCATGATCTGCTTGGTGGGGCTTTAAGTCAGATGTGTGTCGTATCAGCCACTGCCTGCCCAGTCCCAAACGACATAGCTTGTTGTTCTGCAAGGTGTCCTGCTGAGCCTGCCAGCATAGAAGATGCATGAGGAGTAACAGCTTTCCTCTTTTCTTATTTGTAGATAACAGGTCCCGATAACAAGGGCATCCACAAAGGAGACAGAGAGTCCAGTGGAAAATACACCTTTGCCGCTCACATGGATGGAACATATAAATTTTGCTTCAGCAACCGAATGTCCACCATGACGCCGAAGATAGTGATGTTCACTATTGACATTGGTGAAGCTCCAAAGGGCCAAGATATGGAGACAGAAGGTGAGGTCAGATCCAGGATGTAGCACGTTCTTGGTCACATACAGGGTCAGTAGAGGTCATGGCCCTTCTCCTGCACCTTGAAAATATGATCCTCTAAAATCCAAATTCATTCCGTTTCTTGGATTTCATTGCTTCCATGTGCAACTTAATTAGCATTCTCTGCAACACAATGGCTATTAAATCTGGCAAACCTTAAGGGTTCCTTAGTTAGAGGATCATCCTCACACAGGATGGAAACTCCTTGTTGCCTGAATGCTTCAAACGTAATGTTCATCTTAGAATCGGCTGTTTTTCTTTAGCTCCCTGCAGAGCTAGCTTCTTCACAGGTGGTCGCTGCTGAGACATTCCAGCCAGGTGCCCTTCTGCCCCTCTGCAGGATCTCTTCACTTGTCTCTCTGTTCCTATTAAGCAGGCCTGACTTTGCCCTCCTCACTGACTTTCGCTCAGTGGTAGAGCGGCTGCTTTTCATTCAGAAGTGCCCGTGTTTGAGCCCCCGCATTATCAGGAAAGTCTCAGAGGGAACCCTGCTCTTTAACCCTGGAGAGCTACTGCCAGCCCGTGTCAGCAATGCTGGGCATTAACATACAGATTTGAAAGACGCGTCAATAAAATGTAACAACAACAATAAAAAAACAAATTCAAAGCACAGTGATAGAAGAAAGGAATTTCACCCAACCCTTCAGCAACAGACCCGTTTCTATGCCACGGTCTGCCTGAATAAAAACAGCTTTGCCTACTGATAGAAGGCTCACAGCGTTGGCCAACATAGCCTTCCTTTGCAGGGAGTTTGGTCACTATCCTGTCTGGTACTGTAGCTCATCATCTTCCCCGATTCCTTTCCATCTGTTGTAGTGAGGGGATCTCCAGTTGTGCTCCCCACGCAGGGAGCATCTCAGGTTGGAGATGCCTCAGGAGCTTCTTTGGAGCTGTTAAAGCAAGGAGGACCCTCTCTCTCTCTACGAGACCTGGCAACCCTTGCTGTGTCTGTAGGAGAGAACAGGTCCCGTCCTCCTGCAGTGGTGGCAGAAGCACCATCTGGACAGTGAAAAGGGGCTCTGTGCAAGTGGCGTCTTGTGCCTCTGGGCCTTGAACCTGTGTTCATCTCTCGTGCTTTTCTCTAGGTGGCGGAGATACCTGGGATGGTACGTGTTCTGCTTCTAAGGAGCTTGTTAGTCCTGCCTCGCTTCTCCTACGTTGCTAATGGCTACTGCTCTGTTTGTGAGAGAATTTTGCTAACAAATGTTGATTAGCACAGTGGTGTTGTAGTCAGAGGAAGACAGCAGAGTAAGCAGCACCTGTCCATTTCAAGGCCTCAGACTGCTCGGATCCAAAGGGTTGTAGGATCCCCCTTACCCCAGCCGAACCTCAACCCCTGCCAATGTCAAACCTGGACTAAGCCTGTTTTCCCATTTGACAGTCTGTTTGAGACATGCTAGTTCCAGAGCCTCTTTGGGATGATGCCAGTTGCTCATTTTGGATCCTAGCCCTGTGAGGTAGGCTTCCCTAAGAAGGTGCAGCCAGTTGTCCGGAAGAATGCAGGCCTCTCCTCTCCCCTCCCCTCCCCTCTCCATGTCCCTTGTTTCATGTCTGCCTGGAGGAGGCCATGTTGTGCTCAGTGCTTCATCCTGGACTTCGAGAGACCCTTGTTGCTCTTTGTCCTTCCTGCTTCATGCTGTCTTTGGCTCCCAGCGACCAGTGTTGGAGGGACCCTGTAGGCTTGATCTGGACCAACCGTTCCGGACGCTTAAGTGACTGTTTTCTCTCTCTTCTCTGGCCACTCACCATCCTAGCACCTACGATCCGGGTTTCCTGCTATGACTCAGGCCAGCAAGGCACCCTCCAGCTCTGGGATTCTGGGATCGCTCTGTGCTGTCCCAGCATTTATTGCCAGCAGCCTGAGTAGCCCGCCCATGAGACCCTGGCAAACTAAAATCGCTGTCTAGGACCATTTACTCTGAAGAGGACCGTTTAATGCAAACATGCATGTTGTGGGTGTTCGCATGCTTAAAGTGTGCAAAAATTTGGTTTTACTAATAAGCCAATCCAGATTGCATTACTTGTGTGATTGACTTGATGCAAATGTAAGGACTTCCTGGTTCTTCTCACTGTTCATCTCGCCCATCTCTCCCTACCGGAAAGAATTTGGACTCTTTGTGCTGTCTGAATAAGGTGATGATGAAGAAATTGATGCTAGTGTCTCCCAAAGTGGACCAATTAAACACCAGAATGTGCAGTGGAAATGTGTGTGCATGTGCTGAGGTCAGGGGAGGTCTGTGGGAAAGTTTTTTCACTCCCTAACAGGTATTAGGCACAACCAGGAAGTAGCTAGAGGTTGGACCAAACACCCAGATAAAGAAGTTTTGTGCCTCCGAAAACACAAATTCTTCCCTCCCTTTCCCAAAGATGTGTATTTGCAGTCTGTGAAGACTGAAAATGTGTATGGCGTGGTAGCTGGGCTTTGAATTTGTGCCGCAAGTTTGATCTCTTGTGGTCCTTCTGCAGCTCATCAGAACAAGCTGGAAGAGATGATTAATGAGCTAGCGGTGGCCATGACTGCAGTCAAGCATGAACAGGAGTACATGGAAGTTCGTGAAAGGATACACCGAGCAAGTAGGTGATGCTGTTAGGCACATGCGGTATCTTTCTCTTAGTACTGATAGTAATCATAAACAGCGATACTTAAATTTATATAAGCTTTGTTGCCCAGTGCCCATAGGCAAGGAAGTCTCTGCAAGCCAAGGAGCTGGCCTGGAGGAGCTGGGGCAGAGCAGTGGGACTCTCGTCTACCATGCTGTTTGGTCTCCGTGTTCACCACCCAGCAGGAGGACCCTCCTCCACAGCCCACACAGGAATGCAGGGGGCCGGGGTTCACATGCCCCCCTGGCTTCTCCATCCCTTCTCTGCCAGTTTGTTCGGTCAGAAGCTAACTTTTGTAGCTGCTTCCAGCAAAAGAGGACTTGCAGGCTGCTAGTCTCTCTTCATAGACTCAATTTCAAGGCTGGCTTACATAGCACTTTAGTGCTCAGAGCTCTTAAACTATGTTATCTTGGCCACCTTTTCATCCTCATCAAGACAGCTAGTGACTGTTTAATCACCACGCAGGTGTCAAAGAATCGTACAAACATCCACAGACTAATCAGAATAAAACAGGATGATAAAACAGCCACAGTAGAAAGAAACCAAAACCAGAGGCGCTAAAGTTTTCAGTGTCCATCCAAACCAAATGTATATTTTAAATCACAGCTCTTTGTATTGCGATCTGTAGGCAGTGAAGGAAGTGGGCACTCCAGTCTTTCAGAAGAAAATTCTGTAGCTTGGGCTCTGTTATTCAAATGACCCGTCCTATGGACTTACCTTCAAGTGAGATGCAGAGCAGGGCTTCAGCTGATGTTGTGAATATGTAGGGTAGCTCTTACAGGAGGAGATGGTCCTTATGAAATCAAGTCTCGGACTGTTTGGTTTTATTAATTTCTCTGTGTTAATCAACCTGTCTTTTCTTCCTGTTTTTTTTCCTCACCAGTTAATGAGAATACAAATAGCAGAGTGGTCCTCTGGTCGTTCTTTGAAGCCCTTGTACTAGTTGCCATGACACTGGGACAGATCTACTATCTGAAGAGGTTTTTTGAAGTCCGGAGAGTCGTTTAAACAAACTCCACTACCCCTCCCTTTCAAATGATCCCAGACTCTCCATTCACTGTCTACCAAACAACTTGGTTGAAAAAAATCACTTAGTTTTCTTTATCCCTGCATTCTGAACTATAAGACTTGTGTTTTAAGTTTCTTTTTAGCTTAAAAGGTTTTTTTTATATAGATTTTCTCTCTAATGGAATATGTGGCTGGGAGTTGTTTGTTGAAATTGGCAGATTTTGTTTCTCACGACCAGAAGTGAGTTCAACCAAAGTTGCAAAAGATAGTTTTTGGTTATCAAAAAAAAATGGTTATAGTTTTTGGTTATTTTGGTTATCAGTGTTGGTTATCATAAACTTTTTCTTGAGTCTTTCTTTTCCTACCCCCCTTTCTGTAATGAAATACTTTTTTTGCATAGGGGAAATCTTGCAGGATCCAAAAATATGTTTTTTCACAACACCAATTAAACCTGTGGGAATATGCCTATCAAGGTATTTCTCTCCCTTTAGATGAGGGAGCATTCGTGGTGTGCAGCGGCCATGAGTCTAAGAAATAAGCCAGCATGCCAAGAAACAGGCCCTTTTTTTGAGAGGCACTGAAATTAGCTGTCGATCCTCTTAGGGTTTGGTTAGGCGGCGACTATAAGAGTTCACTCTTTAAGAACTCTTCTATAAGAGTACTTTCATTGTATTTACACTGGTTTGTTTTCCCTGTTTCTTTTTAATTAGAGATGCAACACTGCTCTTGTCACTTAGCTGTGTCGTCTTAGTGTGCAAACCTGTGAACAGGCAGAAGCTGTCTGTGGGAGCTTGGATAAACATAATCTCTCCCCCTTTTCTGATTTCCGACCCAAAGCTTCTCAGCTGTTTAGCACTATAGTAGAACTAGTGTTCAGGATGCTGGTTCCTGATGCCAAAGGGTTAACTGTTTGGAGGGGGGAGGGAGGTCATTACCATGCTATGCAGCCCATATATAGATATTTTTTAAAAGCAGCAGGTGTGCTGCTACGGGGTCACAACAAGGAGACTGTAAACACCTTTCCTACAAAAGAGTCTCCTGTGCCTTTTACATAGCAGAGAGAAATGAAGCGGGTATCGGTTTTTCCCCCTGCTGGTGAATCTTCCTAAGAGGCTCTTGCTCATTTAATGGCAGCAAAGCAGGAAAATTCAGTAGGTGCAGCTTTCCCTGTTACTGCATCTCCAGGATGAGAAACTGTAGTTGCTGAATTCTCTTGTTGAACTGCTGTTAAAGACACAGGAGCCTCCATTGAGAAAGGAGTTGGCACTCCCAATCAGGTTAACTTGAAGTATATTTTCTGCTTTTTCCTCTCGTCAAACACACGTTGACTTCAGTTTTTGTACAAACTATTTTTCTTGCGATCTGGATGGTGGGTTTAAAAATTGAAACGTCTGTCTATGGGAGCAAGGTGCTGATCCAAGATTATGTTGTGGCTAATGTATATTGGACTGATGTATATTGGTTGTAATTTTGGGGGTGGGTGGGAGCGGGTTCTTTTCAGGGGGGGCATTCTATCAGTAACACATAAAGAGTTTTGTACCAAATTTAATTTAATTAAAATTTGTTACAAGTTTCCATGGTCCAAGAAATCTTTTTCAGCCTAAGGCGGACACGTAACAGCAGTTCTTCAAAGGGTATGGCTGGCCACCTCCATCTCAATGCAGCTGTTGTATGCCAACTCCGTGTGTGAGACAAGTTGAATTTGAACTAGAAGATGTACATTAAAAAGTGCTTGAAATATGGCCAGATTGATAAATAAACACCTTCTTTAAAAAAGAGAGAGAATGCATGCCTGATGCTTACAATACATTTTAAAATAGCAGTTTTCTTTCTTGTTTTTTTCTTTTTTTTTCCAGCCTTTTCATAAGGAGACTGCTTGGGTTTTACGGGATGATCCCAAAGGTGACATGATAAAACCTTTTAACATTTATTTCTTCCCCTGTTTTTGTGTCCCATGGAGAAAAAGTGAGTTTAGTCATATCTCAGAGCCTTGAGGAGGGTAAAAGACTGAGAGCTTATTTTAAAAATCTAACAGTATACCTATATCCCACTTTCTTCCCCTTGCAAGGGACCCAAGGTGACATACATGATCCTGCTCTCCATTTTATCTTCACAACAATCTAGTAAGGTAGGCTAGCCTGCGATTCAGACTGGCCCACTCAGCCATGACATAGGGTAGGCTGAGATTCTATAACTGAGTCCCAATCAGCCATGAAGGACCTTCATAGCTGAATGGAGACAAGAACCCAGGCATTCAAGGTACCGGTCCAACATTCTTAACTGCCGCACCACACCACTTGCGAGTTTATTCTGATCTAAACCCCACCTTTCAATCAAATGCTTCTTAAAGCAGCTTACAGGAGGTTATTGTAAAGTGCACACGCACAGAGCAACTCTTGGCCTTCTGGCTGATGGACAGAGCCAGGGGACTTCCAGGGCAACCAAATATCGGAGCTGAGTGGTCTTGGCAGGGATGAAGGGACCAAGCCGTGTTCGGCAGCTGCTGCTCTCGTGTTTGGATGGGGCCAACCTGGTCTTCAAAGGAGCATGCCGGGGAGGGAAACTTTAGAACCAAGTGAGGGGACGCCAGTGAAGAAGATGGGCAAATAAGCTGAGTGACAAGCAGAAGGATGATTTATTCCATGCATTAGTTTCTGTTCAGGGACACCAACATACACAAAATGAAAGAAGCCGTGGAATGTTAGAAAGGCGAAGCATTACAAGAAAGGGTTACATGAGACACTCTTTAGATCACAGTAAGCGCAAGAAATGCACTGGTAAAAAGGCGTCCAAGGCCTTGAGCGGTACTGAAAGTGTGGCTTGAATTCTTAACCACTCTCCTAGAGGCCCTGCTTGTGTGCCCACCAGCGAAATTTACTAGGTTGGCGGACACAAAGCAGGGGCTTTTTGGGGAGTTCCCGCAGTTGCGGACCCTGCTTTTTGGTTAAGAATGCAGGGCCGGACCGAGGGGATCTGAGTTCTACTCCCCGCTCAGCCACGGGGCTAAACGGAACCCGTCATGAGAAGAAAAGCGGGACGAGAAGGAAGGGCCCTTGCTCAGCTTGAAGAGCAAAGCGGTTCCGGGGTCACCTGCCTTAGGCAAAGGGGGATGCTGAGCATTGCAGAGCAAACCCCTCGGGAGGCCACGAGGCTGGAGAGCGACAGCCGCGACCGTCCTGACCTGGGGGGCCGCGGGCCGCTCGTTCCCGCAGAGCAGGGAGCCTTCGCGCCGGGGCGGAACCAAAGGCGCGCGGGTGCTGTTTCCCCGCCGGCCGCGGGAAGGGCCGCACACGTCCCTTGGCCGGGGGGGACGCCGGGGCCGGTGGGCGTCTGCTCGCGAGGAGGATCCCTGCAAGATGGAGCGGGTGACCGAGGGGACGTGGGCTTCTCTGCCCGTCCAGCTGAGCCCAGGCGTCGTGCTGGCCTTGCAGGAGCTGCGCTTCACTCACATGACGCCGGTGCAGGTGGGAGCTGGGGGCGAGGGCGGCCTCCCCTCTCAGAGAGGAAACGACGTGGCCTTCCCTCTACAGCTGGACCACAACTCCCAGCATCCCCCGGCCAGCTGTAGAGGGGGGATTGCGGGGGCCGTCCTCTCATTTAACCCCCCGGCCCTTTAATGCTTGTAAGGAAGGAATATGCCCCCGACAAGTTGTTTAATTCTCTCTCCCTCCCTCCCTCTCTCTCTCATAGATATAGTTTTATATATTTTAGGCTCCCAATCTCTGCTATTTCAAACCCTTTGCTGTCATTTAAAACTTTGTACTGCTGATAGGTTTTACTTTAAATGTTTATAGTATCTATGGTTTTAATTGTTGTGAACCACTCAGAGAACTTTGGCTGTTGGGCAGTATAGAAGTGGAGTAAATAAATAACTTGTATTGCCGGTGAGCATTATCTGCTTCAGTTGAAAGATATTGCTCCTGATAGTGCTTCTGCCTGCAGATTCTTTAAAACAGGGATGGTAGCCTGACTTCACCTGCACAAGTGCTTCTCTAAAAGTACGCTTCTCTCTCTTCCCCTCGCAGTCTGCAACGATTCCCTTGTTTATGACGAACAAGGATGTGGCTGCTGAAGCGGTGAGTGTTTTGCTGCTTGTGTTGGTTAACATCTTGCATTTCTGTCATGTGAACCGCTAAAGAAAATCTTTTGTTTCTACGTCCCTAGGTAACAGGCAGTGGCAAAACATTAGCTTTTGTCATTCCCATCATAGAAATTCTTCTCCGGCGGGAACAAAAGCTCAAGAAAATGCAGGTGAATCCTCCTCTTCTATCCTCCCTGCTTTCAAAAAATCAATGGAAGACCCAGGGAAGAATTCTGGCTGGTCAGCCAACCATCTAAATATGTGTTGGTGGTGCCCAAGAATGTTGACATTTATTTTCTGATTCTGTACAGGGCTGCTGAATTAAAAGGAAGCATGACTTACATCAGGGTGGGCAGAAGGTTTGAGAGTTCAACTCCCAGAAGCCCCTATATGACCAGTGGAGAATTTGAAGAGTTACTTTCTGCCATCCTGGCATACATAACTCATTTTAAAAATCCATCTTAGAGGAAATAGTTTCATTAGGCCAACTCCAGATTGCAAACTAGTGTGTAAGCTTTTAATTTCTCCAGAACTTTTCATCAAGCGAGATGGTAAACAAAGCACAAAAGGATATAAGGCAGGTGGGGAAGGAAAACATAGGCTGACGTTCAAGCCAGAGAGTCTGCCGCAGTTCTAAACATCTGGTGGGCACCGTGGAAATTGCATGGGAATTTAGTACAGACCCAGTTCAATTTATTCAGGTGGTTGTTCAGATGTTAAGTCATGTCCAGCTGTTCATGGCCCCATGGAGCACCGCACGCCAGGTCCCTCTGTCCTCCACAGCCGCCTGGCGCTTGCTCAAATTCATGCTCGTTGCCTCGACTACACCCTGAAGCCCTCCCATTTCATTGTATTTCCCCCCTGACATTGCAGGTTGGTGCAATTGTCATCACACCCACAAGAGAGCTTGCTGTTCAAATAGATGAGGTGATATCGCATTTCACGAAGCATTTCCCACAGTTCAGGTAAGCATTATTGTTGTTATTGTTAACTTACATTACAGCGGTACCCTGCCTTCCATCCTTTTGCAAGGAACTCAAGGCTTACAAGGTTCTCCTGCTGACAGGACTCTAACCACTATACCACACTGGCTAATTCCAATAGCTAAGAAATTAGGTGGGGTTGTGTGTTGCCTTGCTTGAAGCATGCTTTTGGAATAACGTGTGTGCTTTTGTTTCAGCCAGTGCCTCTTAATAGGTGGGAAGAATCCCATGGAAGACGTTGAAAGATTCAAAGAACAAGGGTGAGTTACTTCCTAGGACAGCACTGTATGCTCCTGCTACTTGGGGGCTGAAGATTCTGAATAGCTTTGGTGTTTGAACTGACTGTTTCTCCTCCATTTCACGTACGGAATCCAATGTCAGTTGCACTTCCTTTGTGCCTGAGCAGAAGGGTGAGATCAGTACCACAAGGGCCTGGATTTTGGTGCAGGGGAAGGAAGAAGTGCAAGAAGGAAGAAGAAGTGGCAATCATTTTTATAGGAAGGGGCTGATATCTGTTAGTATATTTTATTTTTGTAGATTTAAAATGAAACACACAAACCCTCACCAAACATCTCCCATTCCTTCATTCACTCTCTTGATGAGTTTCTTGATGTCAGTTCCAGGAAGGTTTGATTCCCTGGTAACCTTGCAGATGTTACGGCCTCTTCCCAGCCCTGACAGCTGTTTTTTTCTCCTCTTCTCCCAACAGTGGACATATTCTCATAGCCACTCCAGGTCGCTTGGAGGACATGTTCCGGAGAAAATCAGAAGGGCTGGATCTGGCTACCTCTGTGAAATCTCTGGATGTTCTGGTCTTGGATGAAGCTGATCGGCTCCTGGATATGGGCTTTGAAGCCAGGTATTTGCTTCATGACTGAGCAAGCCTTCCATCCGCACAGGCCTTGATTGCTGACTGCCTGCGATCTTGACTGAGCTGAGGTTTGACACACAGCTGTTTTCCCCAGATAAGGTCCCCAGTTCAGTCCCCATCATTGCGAGACAGAGCTGGGAAAACTCCTGACTAAAAGCCCATAAAGCCGCTGCTGCCAGTCAGTCTCAGCAGTGCTGAGCTATGTGGACCAAGAAGCTTTTAATATTCTTCTGTGATCACCTCCCGTCGTGCCCCAGAAATGACGGCATCCAGCACATCCGGAGGGCTCCAGGTTGGGAAGGGGAGGGCAGGCCAGTGCAGTCTGTTGAAAGTCACAGATCATGGTTTTTCACCATCATGACTGAATTTGCAAGCTGTCAGGTTGTCAGCGGGTTGATGGACCTGAAGTTGTCCCCAGATGGCTTTGCTGACATTCTTCACTGTTCATTTTGCGTACAGTTTAAATACCATTCTGGACTTCCTGCCCAAGCAGAGACGAACAGGCCTTTTCTCTGCAACTCAGACTCAAGAGGTGGAGAACCTGGTGAGAGCTGGGCTCCGGAACCCTGTCCGTATCTCGGTGAAGGAGAAGGGGATGGCAGCGAGCAACACCCAGAAGACCCCCACCCGGCTGCAGAACTACTACATGGTGAGGAATGGGCTCTGCTTGCTCACATCCCATCTTGCCTCCGGCTGTCAGGAGCTAGGTTCCCCCCTGCACACATTCCAGGCAACAGACCAGTCCTTTGCAGAAGCTCTTCATTCTCCAAAGTACTTCCAGTAACCACAATCACCACAGGATGTGGGCTGGGTCTTTGCGGGGGGCTTGGAGCCCGAGGCTCTTGATCCCTGAGGTAAAAGGTTTTGAGGGGGCATTGGAAAGACTCCAGTATTTTGTTCACTTGCAGCCTGCATGTTTCCTGTCTATTTATGTTCCTGTTCTTTGCTGTTAGATCTGCAAAGCAGATGAGAAATTTAACCAGCTGGTCCACTTCCTCCGTCAACACAAGCCAGAAAAGCATCTGGTTTTTTTCAGGTAATGCTTTTACTCCTTATTTGCAGAGAGACCTTCTGATCCAGGGCTGGGGGGAGGTCAGGCCTGTAAGAAGTCCACCAGCTGGAGGCAGGTGCAAAGCAGTGGCTCAAGGAAGCAGACACAGATAAAACGGGGGAGCAAAATGCCTCCGAGGACAGAAAAAAGAATTCTTTCTTCTGCTGGAGCTGGAGTTTGTGTCTAGATCTTTTCATGCACAAACCTGCTCGTGTTTTCCCCTTGATTTCTGAAGACCAGTTTGTGGGGTGAAGGGAGGTTTTTCCCCCCGTTGCTCTTATTAAACTAGGAAGCAGAGGTGATCCGTGGTGACTTAGATCCTCTTTTGCCCTCTGCCATACCCTACTCCTGGCCCAACCTGCAGGTTACCTGTGTGGCAGGTATGGGGACGCTGTGGGCCTCCAGATGTAGCTGAACAACACCTTGCATGGCTCCTGATCACTGTCTCTGTTGGCTGGGACTGGTAGCCACTGGACTCCCACAAACCCTGGAGGGCTGCAGATTTTTCCATATGATGAGGGACAGGGCACCCTCACCAACATCTGGCTGAACAGGAGAGGCATTTCAGATGGAGATTCCTATGACTGCAGAAAGGAAATAGAGGGAGATGGATTTGTTTCAAGCGTTTTACCTTTGCTCTTCAGAAGATTTTTTTCAGGTGGTATAGGATTGCCTTGGGCAAGCTGCTCACTCTCAGCCTCAGCAACAATGTAGAGATGATAACAGATAGGTTTGCATTTCAGAAGGAAAAGAGAGACATGTCACCCTAACTGGGCATGGGTTGCTGAGACATCCGAACCCAACAAGGGTGGGCTGAGGGTGGCTTCCAAAGCACACTACAAACCACGGCTTGTTCTAAGGTTCCAGCGTGAGAAGGAAACTACCCCATTGCTCACACTTGCCAGGTTCAGAAGTTGGCAGTCTGGGCCCAGCAAGGGTAATAATGGAAATACGTAGCATATGACGGAAACACCTGTGGCAGGGAAGGATGCCCTTGTACCGCCTTCTCCTTCTCTGAGCGTGGGAACCCAGTCATGTTCTTGCACTGGACTGTTCTGCAAGTATTTTTGCCATTTTTTGCATCATGGTCCTTGGCTGCATAAGCTCAGATTTGTCTGGCTGACTCATTTGGTGGGGTTCTGTTTATACTTGCAGTACTTGTGCCTGCGTAGAATATTACGGGAAGGCTTTGGAGTCATTGATCAAGAACGTGAAAATAATGTGCATCCATGGGAAAATGAAACACAAACGGAATAAGATCTTCACTGAATTCCGGAAACTTCCAAGGTGCAAGCTCGGGGGATAATTTAGTCAATGGCTAGAAATATATCTGTCAATTTCTCTCTCTTGCTCCACACACACAGTGTGAATGTCTGTGTATTTGTATACATATACTCCTAGAGTCAGGCATGACTGGACATAATATCAAGGGGAAACCTTTACCTTTATCTTTATTGAGCTCCTGCATGGTAGAATGATTAGAACGTTGAACTGGGACTTCAGTGATCCAGTTTCTAGTCTCCACTCAGCTGTGAAGCCTAACTTTAGGCCAGTCACTGATGCTCAATGCAACCTACCTCACAGGGTTGTTGTGAGACCCAGTCATACGTAGAGTATTGGAGTGGACCTTGGGAGATCCAGGTACTGGTCTCCACCTGGCTGAGAAGCCAAGGTGGCTTTGGGCAAGTCACAAGCTGTCAGCCTAACCTCCTTTACATGGTTGTTATGAGGCCTATATGTAGAAGAATATTGTCTATGTCACTTGAGCTTCTCTTAGGAGAGATGGGATATAAACCTACCAAACAAATACATAATTGCATTCATTCAGAATCCCACATGTAAGAGCCCAGGTTGCGCAGCCGGGAGGATCGTGTGGTGTAGCTCTTGCGCCTTCTTTAAACAAACCGACATTCCCCTTCACCCTCATAGTGGCATTCTAGTCTGCACCGACGTGATGGCCCGAGGCATTGACATTCCAGAAGTGAACTGGGTTTTGCAGTATGACCCTCCAAGCAATGCCAGGTACCAGCTTTTCTCTTTCTTGTGAATAGAACTGCTATTTCATTGCCGCTCTCTGTATGGCTGCAGAGGAGTGGAGGTTGAGTGTATGGAGTGCGGAAGAGCGGTTGTCTTCAAGCAACATGGGATCTTCAGTCGTGCTCTCTTGCTAAGACGCTTTCCCCTTATTTCCCCACATTTCAGCGCCTTTGTTCATCGCTGTGGCCGCACCGCACGCATTGGCCACCTGGGCAACGCCCTCGTCTTCTTGCTTCCCATGGAAGAAACCTATGTGAATTTTCTAGCCATTAACCAAAAGGTGAGAGAGACTTTTCAAGGTCCCTTTGGAATGGAGCTTTTGAATGTTGTTGTTACTGTTAGGTATTTCTAAATGCCTGCTTTTTTAAAGTACTGAAGTTGAGGCGATTCTTATCCTCAGGATTACAATCTAATACATATGATAGGGAAGGAAAACAGGAGGAGGAGGAGGAGGATGAGGTTGGAGGAGCAACTCCTCTGGCTGATGGACGAGGCCAGTATGGTCTGATAGGGTGGCTTTAAGCGATGGCTAAACTGACGATGGGGTCAAGTTAGCCTCTTCCTTGCTGTGGAAGCCTCCCTTAGCGTCTTGGCCAGTTGGCAGAAGATAGAGGGCATCTCCCATCTTCTCCCCCTCACAGCACTTCTCTGCCTGCTGCATCAAATATGTCAGTTTTTAAACACCTGCAGAGTTGATACGCCCACCCGACAGGGCCACATTCTCTGTGTCTCACGTTATGGTCAGTATTCACATCTGTCCAAGAGAAATAAAAGGCAGGTGTGGTTTCCCGTCTCCACCGCAGCTTTAATGGAAGCATCAGCAGCTGCAGAAATTTTCTCTTCTACACGGTTGTTTATCAGGAACAAAACTAACATTGAGTGCAGAAAATGTGCAGTATCTTCAATGCGTGATGTGATGTTTTGAACCAACTGAGAAAGCGGGTAGCGCTTCCGCTCGTTTGTTTCAAGTATTTTGACATTGTTCTCTTTTTATGTAGTGTCCTATGCAGGAAATGAAACCGCAGAATAATGTGGCAGATGTCCTGCCCAAGCTGAAGTCGTTGAGTTTGGCTGACAGGGCGGTGTATGAGAAAGGGATGAAGGCGTTTGTGTCCTCTGTGCAGGCCTATGCCAAGCACGAGTGCAACCTGATTTTCCGACTAAAAGGTAATTTACCCATTTTTGTGTATGTTTCTACTGCCTGCTCTGATGATTTCTCAGCCATCCATTGCCCTGAGGCTACAGAACTGAGGGAGATACTGAACCAGTTCCCTTGACTTCAGCCTGTTGCTAGAGAACCGGGAACTGGAGGGAAGCAGCTTTCACCCCTCTTCTGGAAAGAATTCTGCCATATGTAAATGTCTGATGTAAATTTTCCTTCTCACTCTGATGCCTAATTACAGGAGACACTCCAGATGAAAGAATAGCAATTTTTAAATTGGCATAGCATCTTGTTGAACAGATAGGCAAGATGAAGCTGTATTTTTTTAATATAGTGAAGATTAACCACAGTTTAGGGTTTGGACATAATGCTTAACTGTAGTTAATTAAACACTGACGTTAAAGCTTTCTGTCTTGTGGCCACACTGGAGAATTGGAAACGGATTGCTGCAGCTAATTTCTGTCATCGTGAAATGATTATTTTTCATGACGCTGGGCCAATTATGCCTCTGTATTGTCCCTGATTTCCACATAGCTCTTCTTCACTCCTTTCCTTTACTTCTACAGACCTCGATTTTACCAGTCTGGCCCGAGGGTTTGCTTTGCTAAAGATGCCAAAGATGCCAGAGCTGAAAGGCAAGAGTTTCCCAGACTTTGTGCCTGTCGATGTTGACACAGACTCGATTGCATTTAGAGACAAAAACAGAGAGAAACAAAGGCAGATATTTCTGGAGCAGCGAAAGAAAGGGAGGCTGGAACAGGAAGGGAAAAGGAAAATCATCAAGAACAAGGCCTGGTCCAAACAGAAGTCAAAGAAGGAGAAGAAGAAGAAAATGACAGCCAAGCGGAAGAGAGAGGAGGTGGGCTTTTGGGAAGATTTCTGCATGAGAGCAGGAAGGTTTGGGGTTCAGTTCACAGGGTTCTGTTAGGACACTGCGGCTGGTATGCATCCACCATTCCTCCAGGAACTCGGGGGTGCCATATCTGGCTTGCCCCTCCTCACAACCACTTGGTGAGGTAGGCCAGGCATAGCAAAAGCCGCTTGATCCAAGCCGTCCAGTGCGCTGCGCGGCTGAGTAGGAGGGATTTGCCGCAGGCTGTGCCCCTGCCCTGGGTCAGGTGGATCCTCGATCAGCCACCCTGCATGCGAGTGCATTTGGTGGGATTTTGTGTGTCTTGTTGCTGCGTGAAAAACCGCTGCTCTTGCCACAGCCTGTTCCTGGAGACTCCTCTCCATTTCAAAAGCAGTTTTCGTTGAAGCACTGCTGCTCTTAAAGTTGGCATTTGGTGTGATTAAACACTTCTGAACATAGTGTATGCTTGTGGGGTTTAATTGCAAGCTGGTCTGAGTGCTGATCTTGGTCAAAAATGTGGGTGCCGGGGGCACCGGGGGGAGCAAAGAAACCCTGGGACCAACGGAGAACAGTTAATGCAGCTGCTGAGAAAAAGCACAAACCATGTACCTGCCCAGCTATTTCTGACTGTTCCAATTACTATTCCTGCCTGCAGGGCTCTGATGTAGACGATGAGGAGATGGAAGAGCTCCTGAAAGACACGCGGCTCTTGAAAAGGTTAAAGAAGGGCAAAATCAGTGAGGAAGAGTTTGAGAAGAAACTGCTGGGTAACAAGAGAGGGGCCCAGGCGGAGGCTGAGAGTGGCTCTGACTCTGAAGGCTGAAACATCAGCTCTCTCTCGGAACTGCCTAGTGGATTTGCCTGACGGTCAACTCAGCCTTTTCACCAAAACAAGCTGCAAAGAATTCATAAGCACCACTCTCCTAGGCCCTATTTGCCTTTTCGAACTGGCTGCCAGCAAAACCGCATCACCTTCAGCACAGGACTCACGGACATTTTACAAGTAGAGTTTAATGAGTTCGTCGCTAACAGCAGAAGGGGTCAGAACCCCAAGATCTGTAAACAGGAGCGTGATTAAAGATGGGGAGGTGTAATCAGTCCAGGGGTGCTCCTCTACGAGGGTCTTACTTCTCTTCAGTGTGTCTGCTTTGTACTGTGGAGACAAAGGGAAGAGTCAAATTACATTGTCTGAGAAAAGACAGACCGATTTTTCCCTCAGGGGTGGCAGCTTGACTCGGATGGTGAAGACAATCCACCTACCCAAACCAGGAACCATACGTGTGGTTGGAGCGCGTCTACCTGCCTTCCACGGCCGCTCAGTGCCACGGGCTGTCTGTACGTGGCCATGGCATTTTCTGAGTGTGTCAAAGCCAACATCACGTGAACCTAGGTTACTCGGTCTGAACACAGGAGGCCGCCTTGATAATATTGAGTTCATGCCTTGATCTGTCTAGCTGTGTATTTCCTGGAACGGTGACGCTGAAACATTTTCAGGGACTATACTCCAGTGGCGAGTGGGGAAGAAGGCCGAAGGGTTAGGGTCAAAACTACAGCGTGATCTAACCTGTTGCTGAAAAGGTCACAGCCTTGGTAACGGGCAGGCTTCAGTGAGGGGATTCCTTAACTGGGAAGTACCACTGCAAAGGCCTTCTCCCAAGTTGCCGTATTCTAAGCGTCTCTCAGAGGTGAGACTCAGAAGAAAGCCTCTGATGTTGGTTTGCTAAGGTAGACTCAGGTCGGGATGCTGGGAAACGTCCAGGGAAACTGCTGGTTATACAACCCCAGAGATCAGGCACGTGTTGTTCAGAAGTTCTCAGCCAGAAGCTACAGAATTTTGAATACAGGCTGCCAGTAGGGAGTCAGCGTTGTTTCCCCCTTACCTTAAACTTATCCGGGACATCCTGCTGGTTCAGAGGGAAGAGCCGCACGAATTTGAAACTCTCCGCGACCACATAGAAAGGCTTGTTCTGAGCTTTGGCACACACGGCCATCTGATTGGTACCGATCTGAACCAGCCATGTAGATGGGGAGAAAGGTTAGGATGGTGAGCAAGCAACTTTTGTTGTAATTTTAGAAAGAAAAACGGCAAGATCCAGCCTAAATGCCCAGCCGTGACTCAACTCCTGTTCGTTTGAATAACTCTGTTTGAATTGAACAAATTTCATTGTGCTGGAGAGGAAATGCTGGAGATTGGCCTGGCCCTGGTTCGTAGCCTCCCCAAAAGCACGCGGCTAATTGCTAGCAGAAACAAGGTACCAGGCAGGCAAGATGGAGCTTTGTTCTGATCCAGCAGAGCAGTACTGCCGTTTCCAAAACTAGGAAAGCTCAATAGCAAGGGTTCTACCCAACAGCATCCTACCGCCCATGGAAGGCTCTCTGATCCATCAGAGGCTTCCCTCTGCATGACGGAGCAAGGCAATTCTCATGGATCCTCTCCCTCCCTCCCTCCCCCTCGCCCTCTCGGGTTGCGGGGCTGACTCTTGGGCACTGGGTGCCAAGTGCAAGGTCTCCCCGTGAGTCACTGTTTCTGTCGGAGCTTCACGCGCGACATTTAGGGAGCCCGTACAAGCCTCCTGCATTCACCTTACCTTGTTAATAATTCCTCCATTCTCCACCACTCCTTCAGCACCAACTATTACCAGGTCTACTTTTTCCATGATATAACTATTTGGAAAAAAGAGAGTCAAAAGCATAGGCCACGTTAGGAGCTATTTCGGGGTGTCTTTTTGCATGCATACAGCCATGTCTGTTAAATATGAAAACAGCCTTCCCCAAACTGGCACCTTGCAGATGCACGCGACTGCAATGCCCATCATGCCTAGCTACCAGAGGGGATATGGACTTACCCAACTGCAGCATCCAGGATTACAGTCACCGGAATGCCAAGATTGGTGAGGGCCTTGGCCATCTTCTGCCTGTGAAATTATTACTGTTTTTAAAAACAATTCCCCTAAAAAAAATTCCTTAGTCTTACCTCACATTACAAGGAAAGCAATCCTATGATCACGTTTCTTTCCTGTTTTTATTGTTTTATTTAATTAGTTTCTACACCACCACAGAAAGACAAACAAGACACGGTACCACGCTGCATTGTCTAGCTGTTTCTTCTCTGAGGCTTGGCATGAAGCAAGATCTCATTTCTTCTTCCCCTGCCTCAGAATCTCCTGCCACATGCCGAGGAATTACAAGTAGAGGCAGTGTGATACAGTGGTTATGCTCACAGTCCCAGATTTCCATGCACACAGGGTTATTGTGTGGAGGAAATGTGGAGGTGCGGAGAAAAAAGAAGAACTCTGCCACCCCGAGCTTTTAGGAAGAAGGGCAGGATGAAAAATAAATGAAGCAAAACAAGGAGTCAGCATGGAAAGGCTTGCTAACTCTCCCAAATTAAAAGTGCAATCAAAACTGTCCACCAAGTTTTAGTGCGGCTTGGGATGCTTATAAACCACTGTTGGGTCATCCACTAAGTTTAACAATTGATTGGCTAGCAGCTGAACCTGCAGTGCAATTCTAAGCATCCTTTCTTAGAAGCAAGTCCTATAGGAATCAGGGCTTTCTGTCAGGTAAGTGTTGGAGCTTGGATTCATAAAATGGCAAGCTTGTTCAGGTATAGGCTGAAGCAAACATTACCTTAAGGCTCAATCCTATGCAAGTTTAGACAAGAAAAAGGGCTTGCAGTGACGAGCACGCCCCAGCCCCGACTGTGCCAATAATGGGAATTACATTCAGGACTCTTCTTTGCACAGCGCATGGCTGACAAGAAGGAAAATGTTTTTTCCCCCCTATTTACCCTGCTCGATCGGGCTGTGATTCGGTGACGTAGACACTGAAACGTTTCTTTGAATTTGCGGCAGCTTCTAACACTCTCAGGACCACCTTGGAGTATGCATGAGTTAATATTCTCTGTGAAGGCAATGCAGAACATCCTTCAGTGCATCGTTTGCAAGCTGCAGAACACGACATTTTGCAGCCAGTGCCGGCTCCTGCACTCGCATATATTGCAGCTGAGCCAAGACCCTCCCTGGTTGCCCCTTCATCTTACAGAGCTTGCGTTTACTCACCCCACCATCTTTGACAAAGGTGTGACAGAGTGTGGCAACTTTCTCCCTCGAATGGGAGATTCGCTGGAGGAAAACCTCCCCTCTCTCAATCATGATCGCTTTACATTTGGAATAGTCCTGAGAAATGGAGAAGCAGCCATGGTTAAAAGACAAGATGGGAGACTGAATTACAGAAACAAGACTTTTGTATGTAACGGGTCCCCTCCAAAGTAACACTGCTGAGTTTCATGCATCCCTGACCTAGATGACCCCTCCCCTCTCGTCCCAGTTGCGTCAAGTCTGATTCCCAGTTATTCAAATACTTTGCTCATCCCTAGAAGCCCCTTTTAACCAATACAATCCTTTAATTGTCATGGCTGAGCCCGAGCATCTAAAACTGGTTCCGCAGCAAAGTACTCTGAGAAAAAGTGTTTCACTGTAAACTATTTTGCAACTCTTAAGGCATTTCTTTCATCAACACCTAGTAAGAATGCAATAAAAACTCTCTCAAATAATTCGGGGAGATTGAACCTTTGTAAGCCCAAGATCTGAATTCCCTTTCATAAATGGAAAGTTGAGCAGAGGACTAAAGGAGCAGGGTAAAAATGCCAGCATGTTTTGGCTTAAAGCAGGGGCGGGCATCTCGTGGCCCTCCAGATGTTTTGGCCCGAAAGTCCCAACAGTCCTAACCAGCACAGCCCATAACTAAGTCTTAGGGCAAATGCTTCCTGGAGGTGACCTCTGTACGAGCCAGATTTGTCCCCCAAATCTGAAAAGGGGAGATCCACACATCCTCTTTTACAAATGGCTGAGTGAAACTCACCGGGTTCTCCAAAGATGTGAGACTGATAAATCTTAAGAAGAGCTCCCCTCCGGATGAGATAGCCACAGAGGAATCGACACTGGAAAGTGTTTCTATTGCATTTTTGAGATTTGCTCTCAACCCTTGGATGGTCTCACCTGGCAGAGAGAGAGGGACAGGGAGTAAACTACAAAGGGTTCAAGGCCAATCTAGTCTTCTGTTCTCTGAAACCCATTGATCTAATCTACTACTCTCCCCCCCCCCCCCCCCCCCCCCCCCCCAGTCCCCACTCCAACATCTCAACCCACACAGTCCCACGGGGTTACATGCCTTTGTCTTTCTTCAAAAACTCCAACAAAACACGGATAGCAGCCACTGCAGAGGCAACATCTGGGTCCTGCCTTATCTGAGTCTTAAAGGCTTCTGCCAACTCTGAAAAGAAGAAGAAAGGGTACACAGGAGAAGGGGAGATGGACTCAGTTCTGTTTTAGAACCTCAGAAGCTTTAGCATCACATTAAAATAGTATGATTATACCATCATTTTCTGGAACTGCAGATAACCAATAGTCCTAACGTGGCATAAAGGACCCTCCTACAGAATGTATTAGCAAACGAAAGTTCTTTAGTGAGGCTTTAGGAACGACAAGTTCCCAAATGCACTATTCTATGCTAATTTAGAAAGAAAAAAGGTCCAGCAACTCCCTGGATCTTTAAACGACAATCCTAGCGAACGAGAGAAACCAAGAAACGTGACAGGACTGCGCCACCGTCTCAAATAACCAGAACAAATTTTTACAATGTGAACAAGCTATGATAGAAAAGCTAAGCATTTTGTGCTGCTTGGAATGATATTTTTTTCTCCTTGATCGAGCCTCTTCCCCAACGCCCCTTTTGGATGGCAATACGACGAACTCCCCCCAGTCAAAGTATTCCAAGAGGGTTCAGCCCCGAAGCCCAAGGGCAACGTTGAAACCAAGTAATATTACAGATCGGTAAGACCGGGGGTCGATCCGCGGGAGCCTCACCTGCGTTGTTCATGCTGCCGGAAGGTTTCGTGCCTGCAAGCCTCGCAATTCACGCTGCTCGCAGGCGGAACCTTTGTGGCAGGACCAGCTGCCTGCACCGGAGCCCTTTCGCGGGCACTCGCTTCCGGCAGGGAGGGCGGGAATGAGAAAAAGGGAGCGCCGGAACGGAGTGCGCCTGTGACGTCCTTTCGGCGCGACGGAAGGGGTGGCTTCTGCCTGGTACGGGCCGCTATGAGCGGGGGTGAGTCTGGGGGCGAGCCGATCTCTCCTCCCTCTCCCCGCCGGGGCTTCCTGCCCGAGCAGAGGGAGCGGCGGGGTTTGCATTGCCGTCCTGGTTGATACTGTATTTCTGTCCCGCCTCTTTCCCGCAAGGGATCCGCGGCCGCTCACACCGTCTTCCTCTTCTTCCTTTTGTCTTCGTAACGAGCCTGGGAGGCTGAGGGTCGGTGACCGACCCAAAGCACCCACGGAGCGGGGACTGGAACCCGGACCTCAGGCCCTCGCCCAAGCCCTGCTCCGCTCTGGCTTGTAGCGCCCCGCTGAATTCGGATGCTGGCGCCCTGCGTATATTCCCGCTGCGTTTGATGGTTGATGGTTTGGGGAAAGTTGCACAAACACGTCAAACCCTTGTTTTTTTTTTTTTTTTTTTTTTTTTTGGCACGACTGTTTCTGAGCCTGTGTAGAGTGCGCCCCCTGACCTCTCCCAAGAAAGAATACGACTGATAGAATAAAATAGGGAAGAGCAAGTGAGAGGTTTAATTAATGCAACGTCTGTGGTGCTTATTGCTGCAGGATCTGGTTATGCTCTCTTAAATGACTTCAAGAGCGCATAAAATGGACTGGAGGACACGAGTGGGAGCATCTGCTAGCAGCTACTAGCCACCTTAGCTGTGATAGAGGCAGGGGCAGTTGCCACTAAACTCCACTTCGGAGGATGGTAGCAGCCTAAGGAAAAGCATTTGCCTTTATGATTTGCCATTGTTTGGATGCTAGACTTGCTGGGATGTTGGTTTTGTTCTCTGGGGCCCTTCTGAAGTTGTGAAAATGTTTCTGAGTGTGCTAAGAGGTGACATGTTATAGACTATACTTTCTGTATTTCGTGTTTTGGCCTCACTGTTTATAATTATTCTCCGGTATCTTGTTTTTAATAAAAAGTGCTGACCCAAGGGAAATACTTGATGTGTCTTGTGAATGTTTTTGTTATAATGTTGTTAATCTTTTAAGTTTCCATTGCCATTTTTGCGTTTTCTCTTTATGAAGGCACTGTGCTTTTCCTTAAACAGAATCAAATGGATGTAGGGAGGGAGGGATTATCAGATAGTAACATTCCTTCTTTTTAAAGGATGCTTTATTAATCAGAACTAAGCGCACACTGTTCTATGTTTCTTTGCATGCTAATAGGATTTATACTAATTGGAATATTACGCAATGTGTTAAGTTTATGGTGTACTCACATCTTTTGAAAAGAGCAGAGCAGAATCACAGCAAGAAAGCACTGGGAACTGTCCCAGTAGCCCTTTCATGTCTGTTTCTGCAGATTAGATTCTTCTGAATGTGGATGATTATAGAAAGCAAAGCAAAAAAATAAAAAATAAAAATCAAAGGAATAGAGCCTCTAAAAATTGATTCTTTAAAAACAAAAAACCCAAAATCAGCTAGTGTTTTCACATCGCTAAGGTTTTTTTTTTCTTTTCTCTAGATGATGAGCTGAATCTCTTAGTCATTGTAGTTGATACTAATCCCATTTGGTGGGGAAAGCAGACGTTAGCAGGATCAGAGGTAAGATGCGCCTCTTGTAATCTTTCAGGTTTATTTGTTTTCTGTTCCATGCATTTTTAAATGTAGCTTGAGTTCCTTGATCCTCACAGATTTAATTTCCTTTTTTGGATGTTTCTAGTTTTTAATAATTTCCTCTCCCACTCTTCCTAGCTTTCATTATCAAAATGCCTCGATGCTACCATGGTTTTGGGAAACTCACACTTATTTATGAACCGCAACAACAAACTTGCTGTGATAGCCAGCCATATACGGGAAAGGTATTGTAACTTTTTGTCAGGTACCTTGGAGAGTGTGGTTGGGGGTGGCTATGAGGTGGGTGCAACTGCAGCCCAAGATTCTGGAGATGAAGAGCAGCGGTGTGGTTGTCTTAATCTTGCTGTGCTTTTGTACTTCTGTGGGATACCTGGACACTTCTTGGAAATAACGTGCTGGGAGAGACGAAGCTTTAGTCCCGCCCAACAAGGCAATTTGTGCATTTTGGTGCTCACTTAGAGGCTTGTGGGTGTTTGCCCTGGGTGAGTTTGTGAGTACGACAGCACGCAGTTGGCCTGGCCTAATGAGGATAAGTGAGATAAATAGCAGCCATTCGGTTCCACTTTGGCGTAGAGAAAGATGGGAAACAAGGTCACTCTGTCATCTCTGTTAAAAGATCAGCTTCATCAGGTTCCACCTTTCCCTAAACTGTTTCCTTTCCAGCTGGCCATCATAAGAGCTGCTATTTAAGAATTGGTGTCTGAGTTTGCTTTTATCTTGTTCTTCCCCATCCCTTCTTCCGCTCTTGTCACATTTATTAGATTGCAAAGCTGACTTCCAGTCATAGGCTGATTTTTTTGTACTGACTATATATAAACTGGTCTAGGAGGCTTTATGGCTGAGGACCAGGAGAAAAATGCTTTAGCAAACAGAAATATGATGGAGGATTTTATATGCTGAAATGTAAGCTAGAAAAAAAAACCGCACAACATTACTTCTGTCTCTTTGCCCTGATATACAGGTCACATGTCTAATGTGTTGCCTGGTGTTTCATATTAACTGTGATGATGGAGTTCTTGAATGAATACTAAACTTAATCTTCTGCGTGTCGTCTTCTCAGTCGTTTCCTGTACCCTGGAAAGCACTGGGCACCAGTTGATGTTTTTGGAGAATCTGGAGAATCTAACATTTTGGGAAGCAAAGATGGAAAGTATGAGTTATTAACGACCATCAATGAAACTATTGCAGAGGAGTTGAAGGATCTCATGACCAACAGTAAGATTAGCTTTCAGTTCCTTTCACTGTGTTGCAGAACCTCTGGGTTGGCCATGCTTGCTTGGGATAATAGCAGTCCAATGCATCTAGCAGGGACTGGCTTGGAGGAATCTGTATTATTAAATAACACCTGGCTTGGGCTTGGCCTGTTCGAGGAGCCCATCTTTGTATGTGGAAGCTGGAACCTCTTCCATTAAAGCTCAGTTTAGAGATATGTAGCATAACAGTATTTTTGAAAGTCTTTTCTGGACAGGTGCTTTAAAAAGCTTTGAGGAGGAGAACAATACATACCTGTTAGCTCTTGTTTCATAGTGGTCCATAGCAAATGGTTGTAGTATACTGTGGAACAAGCGAAACAGCAAATGCAATTCTGATTTCCTTTTGGTTTTGATTGCAGCAGAAATAAAAGGGCAACAGACTGAAACATTACTGGCAGGATCTCTTGCTAAAGCACTTTGCTGTATCCTTTTTGAAACCAAAGTTTCCCAGATTTTTAAAAATGTTCTATCATTTTAAAATCAAAGTGTGCAGATATGTTCTGCAATTACATCTAGAGTCATCACCAGGAAAAATATAATGATAGTTATACTGTGGTTAACATTGTATTGTTACATTTTACAGTTTCATGAGCAAAAAAGAGGGGAATCTTTGTTCTTGTAGAACATATAATATAAATTTTGACAGTGGAGAAGGCAGCAAAGGGAGGGAAGAGGACAGACATGAGGGAGAAATTCAATAAAATGCAATCGGACTTGGATTTGGATTATCAGTGGAAAGAGGGAGGATTAAGGTTTAAACCAACAAGTTAAGGAAAATAGAAAAGTTATCTGTCCAGTTGGGGGGGGGGGGGGGAACCCAATTCACCCATAATTAGCTGTCTCCTATCACATCCAGACCAGGTGATCCTGCTATAATGCCTGGGGGTCATTATACAAACCACACTTGTTTTTTAATGCATTTCTGAATGTTGCATGTCTCAGATATTCACAGGATGATTAAAGCAGGAACAGGTAAAGTGTTCAGTATTTTTTCAACAATGTTTCTATTTCCATTAACTAAATAAAACATTTCTTTAAAAGATTTGTTGCAAATTGTGGCTTTTAAGCGTGGATGGACTCACTGTTTTTCCAGTATTATTACTCTGAATATCGTCTTTATTGTTGCTGGAATTATTTCTTAATATGTACATTTGTTATTTTCATCGCAGGTACTGGTCATGCTTTGACCCAGGGCAAGCACAATGCTTGATTACATTTAGGGGAAAACAAGATATGTTTCCTTCATCCCTGTTAAAATCCCCAAAGAGGCACCATAACCGTACTATACCCTACACAGCTAAGCCCTGGACCTGCAGGACAAGGAAAAAGAAAACCCAGTGACACTTAGGAAGCTACTCAACCTATGATTTACTGGGTGTAGATGTAACACTTCACCATGGTTAATGCCTACTATGGTTTCTAATGCAGCTGTCTCAAATCTGGCACTTTCCAGATGTGTTGGAGTACAGCTCATTTCCAGAGAACGTGGCCACTGCTGGGAGCTGCTGTCTAGCTCATCTGAAGGGTGCCAAGGTGGAGAAGACTGTTCTAATTCATCTTCAAAATCTGAGCTTTTAGATTGTGTTTTGTGTGCAGTTCTTAATCATGATTTGGGAATATGGGAGGCTGCGGTTATACTTTGTCAGAATCTTAGTCTACTTGGATCAGTATTGTGTCCTCAGGTAGTGGCTCTGCAAGCTTTTAAGTGCAGAAGAGTCTTCACCCTCCTTTGGTCCTGGCTTTTTTATCTGGCAATTCTAGAGGGTTAATCTGGAACTTTCTGCATGCTAACCTTGTGTGCTACGACTGAGCTGGGGTTAAATTGGGATATAACATTTAGGTATAGTTCAGTAAAACAATCTATGAGGTTAGCACAGAGCCCTTGTGAATGGAAAAATCGTAGAAGATAGTATTTAAATTGATTTCAAAGCAATCATAATTTTCTTTTCTTTTCCTTCCCCTTCCACTCAATATGTAGCCGGCCAAGAAATTAAGTCCAGGATTTTGGTAAGACTTGTCCGACTTCCTTGACAAAAATTTAGGCCCCATTAATTCTACGGAGTAGGTAGCCTCTAGAAATCAAGATGTGCTGTTTTCTTTCCCAGGTCATAAAAGCTGCTGAAGACAGTGCATTGCAGTACATGAACTTTATGAATGTAATCTTTGCTGCTCAAAAGCAGGTGATGATGTGCACTTACTATAACACAGATAGTCAGATGCATGTGTTTTGTGTCGGTTTGCTGTTCGGTTTTTAACTGACTTCCTCTGTGTCAGTACCAAGTGGTGTAGCAGGAGGAGATGGCAGAAAAGCCAGCATGCGTGTGTAAATACGTATCTTTCTTGCTCTTGCCTTTTTTCTCATCCTCTTCCAGGGAAGGGGGTGACACTGTGATCCACATTTTGCATATGCAGCGTCTAGTCAATGATAGGCTTAGGTTACTATGTGATGTCTGAACCTTAGCAGTGTAGGTTATAGAAGCCACAGTTCACCTACGGTTGTTAACCTACACTTGTTTAACAGTGTAGGTTAAACAAGCCACAGTTCACCTACAATGTGTTCTTAAATAGGTTGCTTGATCCACACTTAATCTGCAGTGTCTGGGTTCAGATGTATTGTAGCAACCTCCACTGGGCCCGATGGGGGATTGCATGTACAAATTGTGACTTTGTGACTTAACAAACCCATAATTTGCTGCCAATGTGTGCAAGTGGGGCTTCTGAAATGCTGTCCAGCCTGCTTGCTCCAAACATGGATTCTTTGTGTTAATATTTTTTTCTCCCTCTCCTTCCTTCCTTCTTTCTTTTGGACAGAATATCTTGATTGATGCCTGTGTTTTGGACTCTGATTCAGGGCTCTTGCAGCAGGTATGAAGTATGCTTTCTAATGATGGATGATTGCATGTCCATGCATGTATGCATGCATATATATACACCTTAAAAAAAAACTCTGACTTTTCACATAAAATACTGAAACACTGCTGTTAACAGTGTATTTTAAAAATTACTGCATTGGCAATAACAGGAAGGAATACAAAAATGAGTAAAATGGAGTCACGGCAAGAGAACTGCCAGTGGGAAGGGTGGAGTCTGGGAGGCTGCTTGGACAAACAGCCAATGCTGTGAGTGTTGCTCCATTTCCACGGCTGGTGACCGACCTTGTCTTGGACGTGTCCTGTGGGAAAGCAACCTCTAAAAGCAGTGGTTGGGTGGCGGCGGGAGATTGGCATGACCACCTGGGCAACCTCGGAGGCCTGGGTGAGGCCCCTGCACCAGATGTTGTTTTACATCTGGTCTACCCCAAATGATAGCTGCTGCTCCCCAGGGCTTCAGGCAGGGAGCTTCCCCACCCTAACTTGCGATGTCGCCATCTGGCGCCATCTGCATGCTTGGCATGCGATCTGCACTGAGTTACCCTTTCAGTCTTGGTCTTGTCGGACAGGCACTGCTGTTTCAACACAGGTCATGCCATCTTTTCCAGGCTTGTGATATTACTGGTGGTGTCTACTTGAAAGTACCCCATATGCCATCTCTTCTGCAGTACTTGCTGGTGAGTTCATCTTACATCAACCTCTTGTGCTCTAAAACTGCTCCATAAATTTTTCTCATAAAAGAATTACTGCGGTGGAAGTTATATGCTTATGTGGTATTCTGGAAAGTACCTTTTCCCCTCTTGACTATCGGGATGTCCAAAACCTCCTACATCATTGGATGGATGTTTGACTTGGTGATCTACAGGGCAGTGGATGGAGAACCTTATTTTGTGTTGTTTTAGCTAGTGAGAGTTGGGATTAGAGAGCACGTACCTCAGATTAACAGGTGCTGGGGACAGGCGACAGGGGATGGCCCCATCTGTCAACTTCCTGAGGCTTGGAAGCAGAGAACTGAGTCAGGCAGACCTTGTTAGCTTTTGTTCTTGGTCTCATCCTGGAGCAAACAACCCTTTGGTTTGTGGGTTTTTCTTAAGGGCTTTTTTGAATTTGACTGGTCAGGGATGAAGTACCCATGTGTCTCCTGTAAGTGAGGTGAGGATGCAAGTGGGGGCATTCTTAGTGGCAGCCCCCTGTTTGGGGATTCCTTCCCAGAAGAACCAGTTAGTTCCCACTGAAAATACTTTTAGACGTAAGCGAAGGGACATTTCACTGACAGAAAGCGTTTGATTTTGAACTTGTTTTTGATGTTTTAAGGTTAGACTATTGCTCTTCTTTTGGATATTTCTATTGTATTCCTAGGATTTTATTGTTTTACTGGCAGTTGTTTTAATAAAAGAAGCTGGTTTGTGCTCTTTTTGAGGAAGGGCAGAGTATAAACACTTCAGATAAATAAAATAGGAAGCAGTATCTTAGGAAGTGGAGTCAGATGCAAAGCGGTGTCTCTTGGGGTGAACACAATGGCCAACTGTATCCTAGAAACCATATCCTGGAGTACCTGTATACACAAGTGCAAATCCACATCCAATTTACTATAGATTAGGGACTTCAACCTAACTTAAGGGAAAAACCCTTAAAACAGTCAGGACACAGAAACCCTTCCCAATCGATTGTAGATCCTTCTACTAATGCATTCTGATCTCCCTCCACCCTAGAAGACTCTAGACTAGCAATTTTCTCCTAAGTTCTGAAACCTTTTATCCTTGCAGTGGGTTTATTTGCCGGACCAGGAGCAAAGATCTCAGCTGCTCCTCCCTCCCCCTGTCCACGTTGACTACCGAGCCGCCTGCTTCTGCCACAGAAACCTCATTGAAATCGGTTATGTCTGCTCCGTGTGTCTGTCAAGTGAGCTTTATCTCATAGTCACTCTTGGGATGTTGCTTGCCTTCTGCGATCTTAAAGCAGCCGGTCTTGTCTGAACGTATCTTTTCCTGTTCTGTTTTCCAGTATTCTGCAACTTCAGTCCAATTTGCACCACTTGTGAGTAAGTGTCCCTGAGAGAACTTTTGAGGCTGTTGCAGGCATGATTATATCTTTTCTGCTGTCTGTTTTTAAACATAAAGCAAGTGTCTAGCCTCTGCTCTTACAGAGGTCGGGCTTTAGAGACAGCTTGACAGGGATTGGACAAACAGGCCCGGCTGAGCATTCCATATCCCGTGGCGATGATTTCAACATCCTGTCCTTTCTCGTCCACTTGACACTGCTGGCCACCTAACCCACCCTCCTGCCCTCATCTCACTTTTTGTCATTGGCCTTCCTGAGCCGATTCGTTACCAAAAATCCTAATTGCTGAGGGCATGATTCCACGCATGGGTCAGCACAAAAAGTTCTAAAACGTCCAGCACGGCCCCAGCCAACTATGCTGAGCTTTGCAGGGATCTTGGTCTAAACACAGATAGGATTCCGTCTTAAGGCAGTGATTCTGTGCAGGCTTACCTAGGGGCAAGTCCTGTTGCCCTCTGGAGAACATCTGTAGCACTGCAATGCTAGAAACCAATCTTCCAAGCAGAAAAAATATATATGTAACAATGCAGCTATGTGAAGTTTAGCTGGATTAGCACCATTGATTTGGAATGAATATTTTGGAATTTCTTATAAGCAGAGGTTTTTTTCTGGAGTACATGGAATATACATAGTTCAACCCAGGCAAGATTCCTGACTTACTCTCTTCTCTTATTCCAGGACTGCATTTAAGATTTCTCTGCCTGCTGTCATGAAAGCTAAGAAAAAGAAGCTTAAGTTGGCCATCTAATGGCATTGGGAATGTCTGTTGCCTTCTGTGTGCAATTCCACGGCTCGGGTAGTGGCCGTAAAACTACCCGTGATACTTGTGAGATGCCAGAACAGAGAGACCCGTGTTAAAATGGACAGACAGAGCTAAGCAGCTCATGAAGCTTTGGGCACAAATCTAGTCTCTTGCTGGCAAATGGCAGTGCTCTCGTTTACCCTGTGTGTGGTGAAGTCGTCATACTGAATCTGTGATTGCCTGCAGCTGGTGGAGATAAGAAGACGGAAGCGACCCAACCCAAGGGCCTCCTGTACTAGAATATCCTTGGACCAATGTCTAACAGAGCAAGCTAATTTAAACTCCGATTCTCCTTCAAAAGCCGTATTTCGGCATCTAATTCCCACCTGTTCCCCAGCAACTGAAATTTCAGGGCTCAGGGGCTGGTCCTGCAGAGCCGTTCTTAAGAGAGAGAACTTCCAGTTGAACGACTGCAGCAGCATTGCATGCTGGGCTGCTCTGAGCTAGGCTCTCCAAGACGGTTAGCAAGGAGTCTTGCGTGTTTCCAACGTTTCCCTTTTAGCAGCGTTACCTGCATCTAGTTCAGGTGCATTTTCGATTCTTCTGCACCCATGCCCTGCTCAGCCAAATCTTGTGACAATTACCATCAAACCATCCAGTCTTTTTCCTGCGGAATGTTTCCCAACATCCCACTGCTTCCAAACAACTGCTTGATAATTTCAGGAGTGAAAATCGGTCACGTGCTTCCTTTTCTGGATACAATGAAAGATCTGTTCTGTACCAGAAAGAAGATTCTGATAAAGGCAGATGCTCCTTGGAACAGGTTGGTTCTCTTCTGAAAACTAGGGAAAGTTTGGCCTTCCACACGTACTAGCAAATTTAAAACTGTGTGGCAGCCGTCTCCCACCTGTTTTCTTCTGGATGTTTTTGCTTTCAGCTCCCACCTTCCACAGCCAGCATGCATGCTGATTGGGGATGATAGGAATAGTAGTCCAAAGCAGCTAACAGGTACCAGGTTGGGGAAGGATGTTCTCTGGTTTATCTTTTCCCACATTGGATCAACTGCAAGGAAAGAGCAGATTGATCGAGGCTGTTGAGTCTGTAACCATCTTGTTCTCATTTTCTCTCCGTTCAAGAGCAAGCATTTGTCATGTGGTTTTATTTCTTTGAACATTGCCATGGCTTGAAAAGCAGCCAAAACACTGATACTTTTTTTCCTGCAGTGCTCTTTGGTTCCTGAGCCCAAATCTAAAGACTTGCGTTCCATTTGGCAGTCCAGGAAGAGTCCTTTCTTCCTAGAAACTGTATAATTTATGGATCATCTCTGTGTTACACCAACTCTCTTACTGTTTGCCAGTTAACGGCTGTTCTGTTTTAACACTGTTTTGTAACTTTTCCTTAATAAATTGTTCATAAGAAAACAGACTTGGATGTGTAAAACAAGAAAACCCAAAAGCTTTTCAGTAGCTAGGATTTACCGAGTCACTTTCGACATGGGCAGGTCCCACCTAGGCCAGTGACCAATCAAGGCATATTTCTCGATGACTTAAAGGGATGTGTGGTTTTCTGATCCGGTTTCCTCACGCAAATCCCCTCATCCTGGTGCAGTAGTGGGTCTGACCTAGCGTGAACCCCAGTGAAGGGCTTTCGTAAGGCTCTTAAGTTGGAGTTCAGGAGTGCCTTCGTATGTCCTAAGCCGTGGTTGGTGGATGGTGCTGCTTTTGTTACCTGAACAACAGTGCTCATGGCCTGGATATCAGAGGTAGAGGTAAATATTATACTCTTGTTATTGTTGGTGCTTTTAATTATGTACCCCCTGAATGATGCTTCAGAAAATTAGTAAATCTAGATACTTGAATTTGGGGATTTTGGTCTAAGGGATTCTCTACAAGAGGTATTTATTGTGCAAGCTTTAATTGTCTATTTGAAATAAAGCAACATTTCCACTTGTGTATTTACACTGGTTCCAGTGTACCACAGTGCCACCTAGGGGCAAAGTAGTGGGAACACAGGAAAGGAAATGCTGCTTGCATAGCTGTTTGGGCTTTGGTTCTTTGACCAAACTGAAAGTAGATTCAATTGATTAACAGCCTCATGTAGAAGAGCATTGTGGGCCTCTATTATGCTGCCTTCCCCAGCTTGAAATCCAGCTGATAATGTGCGCCAGCTGAAAGATGCTGGTGGTTATAGTCCAGCGGATTCGGAGAGCACCAGGTTAGGGAGGGCTGCAGACGCTAGCTGAAAGATCTGACATTTTTTTCAGATGGTAAATTACAAGAATAGGATCTTTGGGAAATAGTTTTTATTTTTGCTTTAATTTTAAGCTTTAATTTTAAGTACATAGTGATACATGGGATTCATAGACACTGCCGATAATTTTAGGTACTTCCATTGGAGGCTCTTTTCCTTTCGATTACACTGTTAACTTGCCTCGGATGCCACATTTCAAAGCCCCAATTTTCCTTAGGCTCTAAGCTTACTTTGCAAAACTTGGGAGGGTGAGTTGCTGGGAGCTCACAGCCTTCGGCTGAAAAGATCCGGGCATTCGGTCTGGCAGAAAACTTGGGATCTAGGCTCTTCCAGCTAGTTGCTCTTGAAGGCAGAGAAGAAAATGGGACATTACAAAGCCGTTCTGTGCCAATGCGTCTCTCTGCCGTCTCTCTGCTGACGGTAACCCTGGGGGCTAATTTCTTGATCATAAGCAAACGAAACTGCTTGTTCTCTTCGTTCAGTTGTCTCAGTCTGCTCAGTTTCTGACATTCTAGTCTTTTTATGGTCTGAGGGTAGGAGCAGAGGAAAAGATTAAGAGAAGGAAGGCAGTCAACTAAGAGTACCCATTTAGTGCATTTTAGGCTCACCTTTAGCCAAAAAGGGTTCCCAAGGCAGCTTAAAAAGTTAGTTTTAAGACGGCCACTATTTACAGGCTAGCAATCTAAAAGAGCATAACACAAAAGGAAAAAGTCAGGAGGGGGGGGCGAATGCATATTCAGGCTGTAGATTCATAGCTGCGATTTCCTCTTTGGGGTAATAGGACCCTCTTCTGTTGCATCGGTTCACATGATCTGTGGTGAGGAAATGGGATTCCACCATTCTGTTTCCCGCAGTGGCCAACTGAATGTCTCATATCAAGCAGGACATGAAGGCTTCTGTACACTTTTAACACTACTTCCCAGCGACTGGCACTCGGTGCTGTGTCTTACCCAGAGACTGCGTATAGCAGCTGTATTCACTAATGGCAATTTTTCTCTCCAAGTGCTGGTTCTCATGTACTCGGAACAGTACAGTCTGCACACGAGGAGGAGGAGGCATCAGCTGGCTTGAGAAAATGCCGACATTGGCAGAAGTTAAAGCACCCCCTCCCCTTCAGTGGCCACAGAACACTGCGTTTTGCAGAGTGGAATGGAAAATTGTGGGGATGAGAATGGAAGAGAGTCTCCGGAGTGCTAGCCTCTTTCAGAACAGGACCATTACATGCTGCGATATTCTGTTGCAGCTCCCACCTTCCTTGACTAGGCGCCTCCGATAGCCCTACCCTCATCCTGCCCTGAGAATCGGCCTAAGCTTTTGCAGCCATCGAAACTCATGACTATCGCCACATCTTGCAGTTGTTCTGAACTCGAGCCAGGAGATAATTAAATAGGCCGCCTTACCACAGTGAGGTTCTTCTGCTCTTTGAGAAATTTATTCTTCACTCGCTGGGGTGCTGTCAGCAGGTCTGAAAGGCAGAGGGAATAGAAAGGGTCATTCTGATACAAGAATGACAGGCAGATCTTTGGATCTGCACTGACAGTCATTTCTGTGCCGTTTTCCCAGCTGAGCGATGTCACCAGGATCATAAGGGGCGAGTATCTGTCTGTCTTCTCCCAGAGAGACCCATCCATTCAATGCAGTCTCTTAGCAGATGACCGAAGGGGAACTTTTGGATAGGTGGAGGGGACGAGGGAGGGAGTGAATATCCTGCTTGACTAGTTGGAGCCAATTGGATGTATCCCCTCTGGGCATGAACTGACACAGTGAGCTAAACATTTATCCAGTCTTTGATGAAGGTCAGCCCAGTGACCCTGAATCTTTCTGAACAAAGCTCTGATTATTTCCAGATTCTCCTCTCACCCCCTGCAGCTTTTGCCCCATCACTTTGAGTATATCATCCATAGAAAACACCTTCAGGTGCCAGCTTTGATCAGCTGAGCTTAAATAATATGCTTTTTAAAAGAAGCAGCAACAAATGAAATAGAATGGGTTACCAGTAGAAAATTCAGTCCTAAGGGCATTAGCCTGCTGCAGGGAATACCTAAAACATTTCTGGGACACCGTAAAGTTGAACAGATTTACACAGCAACCCTATGCCTGCTTGCTCAGAAGGCAACCTGCTCTGTTGTGTGAAACTTCCTCATAATGTCTAAGATGAATTGCAGCAGATGCTTTTGTCCACAGATGTTTCCGCTGTGATAAAACTGTAAGGTGGCACAGCACTCCTTAATAGGACCCACGCTTTCATATCCTGTTTTTCCGCTGAATGTGGTACTCAAGCAGGCGAACAACAGATACTTTCTTTAAAACATAACAGAAACCAGTGAAGAGACCATAAGGCATGCAATGATAAAAGGAACCCAGTAAAACCCCCTTCAGCTGATATGCTGGTAGTCCGCTTGAAGAACCCGTGGGTGCTGGTAGGACAGTAGAGAGTCGGTGCTTTCCAAAGAAGGGCCTTTCCCAAGGATCCTAAGACTGGGGCAGGCTCATACACGTGAAAATAGCCTAGGCCCAAGTCATATATGGCATTATAGGTCATTACCAACACACTGAATTACTCCGTCCTTGCAAGTCGTAACAAGGGAGTCCTGCTTTGCCCGTAAGCAGCCCTGGATAGTCTGTCTGCAGTGCGATAGTTTTAGACACTTTTCAAGGGCCGCCCCATAAGGAGCATGTTAGGATTTTCCAAAGAGCGTTCCTCAGCAATGTCGTCTTGAAAAATGAGAAATTGAGGACATTCTGAGCGAGCAACACCTCAGGAAAAAGGTGTTTTCCCTACGTTTGTACTATGTAGAGTTGTAAATATAATTTCCTTGGTGTCACAAGGTGGCGCTATAGGAGTTTTGAATTGGAGCTGGCATCCGGATTAAACATTCACATTTGTTTTAAGGGTAGCACGGTGCAGGTCGTGAACTTGGAATGGGTAACAAGACTGTCACGGCTGAGCAGGTACATCTTGGTATAAAACTGTGGAATGTAAGGGGGATCTCCATGGTTTTGTCTCCTAGCAACTCTGCAGGGAAATTCGTTCGAAATATCTGGCATATTCTTGTTCCAAAACAGCGTTCAACTTAAAAAAAAAAAGGACTTAGAAAAGTGCTAAATAGCATTTCTCTCCTCTTCCACACAGGAGAAACGAGGGCAATGCCTCTTGCTATGAAAGTTTAGACAGAAAAAAAGACATGCGATTTCCAGCATTCTCCTGCCAGCTTAGAAGACTTGTATGCAAAGAAAAGCAGATCCAGCTAGTAATGCATTTACACAGGTCTGTGAGGAAAGCAGCCGGAATTCCTGAGCATTTCTTCCTATTCCACGGGTCGAACCGACGAGGTTCGGCACAACTCTTCAAAGAAATCTAGGAACGTCTGCCGCAAGGGATGATGGGAACTGTAGGAGAGCGGAAGATCGAACCGCGGCTGGGATATACCATTCATGCCGCTGGGAGGGGGAGATCAACCGTGAAAGCAATGCTTGCGCTTCTCGCCGTTCGGCGTACCTAAGCGTTCTCCCTGCAGCCGCTCTTATAAAATGTCCAGACCCTCGGGCTGGGGTTTGGAGGCTGCACGCGGGCCTTTTCCCCTGATGTTAGAGCGCGTGATTGGGAGGAATGGCTCTGCCTGGCCGGTCCCATAGCAACCGCGGGAGGCCACGGGCAAAATGGCGGCGGTCGCCTCTGAGGCTTGCTCCTCTGCGCGCAGCGGCCCGCCTTAGCAGTGACTCCGCCTCGCTATGCTTGCCTGGTGGCTCCTTTGGGGGCTGCTGTTGGGCTTCGGGGCTCGGGCCCAGGACGGGAAGTCCGGTGGGTGGCGTTGGGCAGGAAAAGGGCAACCTGCTTGGTGGGCTTCTGTGCTTTTTACTCGACCTTTCCCCGAGCTGGTACCTCCCAGACGGGTTGGGCGAGGACTCCTATAATTCCCAATCCAAACTGAGGGTAATGGGAGTTGCAGCCAACCCATCCAGGCAGCACCAGGTTGGAGAAAGCGGCTTTAAAGTGTTCAGCATTAACAGCTGTGTGACAGCCAGGAATCCAACAGGTGTAGATCTTCTCTTTTGTGCCATCTCTGTGGCAGAGAGAAGAAAAAGCAAAGCATACCGTAACTGTTCATAATTTCTCTCTGCTACATAAAAGAATCCTTAGCAATGTCTACTCAGGTCCTATTAAAGAAGACATGTGCCCAAAGTCTTCTGTGAACTTTTGACAACTTCTTCCTTTTCACAGTGTAACTCACTCGCTCTAGAAGTTAAACATTGTGAGATGCATGGAATTAAACATGCAGTTCTCTGGCTTCCAGTTTGTAGCTTGAAGTTACAATACTTCATAGAACAAAATCTCAAAAAGCAGCGCTATGAAACACTGCTATACTTCTATATATTTTTTTAAGTTAAATGGATGCTTGGATTTTATAAATAAAAACATTTAGCAACTTGCTTTATTCTTGGAATGGTCTGAAGTGGAATTGTAAGAAGGGGAAGACACATCGTTTATTGTGCATATGACCTATTTTTCAGATTTCCAGCCTCCCTTTATATTAATGTCTGGGACCACAGTCACGGCTTCTTTGGCTGGCAGCTTGGCAGATGTCTTCTCTCTTGCTGTAGTAGACAATGAAACAGGTAAGGTTTCTTTTGAACCATTTTTCAATTTGCATTCAGGATTGTGAGCTACTTTCTGCACAAAAGCTCACTGGAGAGTATATGCACTTCCCTGTTTGGAAGACTTGCTTCCATCCTTCTTCCAACTCTGGTGGGGGCAAAGCCAAAAAAGAGATACAAAAGAATGCGTTTGCTAGAATACATATTTTGATCTTTGCTCTCTTCTAGGATTGCTGCCCTCTGAAGACTGTAGTGGAAGAAACAGAACTGGTGACTGGAGTTTGAATGTCACATATCAAGTGGTTAGTTAAAAAGAAAAAAGAAGATTCCATAATTTCAGTGGCAGTTAAATATCGTAAAAAAGGGCTGTGCCATAAATGCCTTCTCAGATGCTGAACTGCAGTTCCCATCAGCCCTAGCCAGAAGAGCCAATAGTGAGGGATGATGGGGGCTGCAGTCCAATAAAATCTGGAGAACCACCAATTGGCTACCCCATCTTACTTTAAGCTTAATTTTATTCATTTCTGAACTGTGGAATTTGCTTGTAGCTTATTGACATGGGACCCATATAGTTACTGTCCCTCATCAGAAGCATTGGGACGTACCAGAAAGATTCTGGCCTTTGGCTTCCTAGACAAAAATGATGCACAGTTTTGCATATACTAACTTATATATGCTGTAAAGTTTCTCCTTTTCTGTGTGTGTTTTAAAAGGAGCTTGTTCGCTAAGGTGACCGCTTTTGTAAAAAAGGATGTATGGACAGGGGAGAGGAGGGAGTTTAATCCTCCCTCCAAAAAAAAAGAAGAAGCCCCAGACAGGAAAATTCAAGGTAGGAGGGCAGTAGCCAAAGGCCCAGCCAATCCAGAGGGCTCAGAGGCAACAAGATCGTCAGGAACCCAGTGCCCGTGGTTCTCAGGGTGCTGGGGCAAATTGCGTTCCAGAATTTTCGGGCACCAAAAAGAGTTGTCTTTTTGTCTAAATTAGGTATATGTTTATTGCCAACAATTACATGTGGAATACCAAGTGCACCTTTCCATGGCTGCCGGAGGACTGCAGCATTATGTACATGCATTGATGATATAATTGGGTGCTTTTTTTTTTAAACAAAGGCTGCAGTGTTAAGCACAACTAACTAAGGCACATTGCCATTTTATTCCCTCTGATTTTCTGGACAGGGTCTGGCCAGTGTTCAAGGTTGCTTTACAGCAATTTGCCTTAAAATTTCTGTAACACGTAGCACCTTTATTACCAGCAGTCAAATTATGTGTTTCAGAATATTTCCAGAGTGACTGTGCACTTGAACAAGACTCCGCACCTGTGCACTGAGAACCTCACCAGCTGCTGCTCAGAGGAACCTTGCGTGCTGGAAGCTTTGCAAGTCTCAGCTTGTCACGGGTTGAAGGTCGTGGCCCGTCTGTTGATCCAAGCTAAAATATATGCCAATACGTCCTTGGGAAACATGACAGGAAAAACAGAAGGTAGTTCAGAGCTTGTCTTTGCACGCAGCACAACGGCTGGGATCTGCAGAAGCGTGTGTGCATGTGTGTGTCGGTCCACCCACTGTGAGGCTTGAATGTTTTGGTCCAGCAGCCCTGCCACTTCAAAACGGATACATTGTGCTTGTGGATGAAAAGCAAATTTACCTGTATTTATTTAAAGGACACAGAGTTGCTTTTCAAGTCTGTAAACTTCACAAAGTAGATTGTAGTATATTTTCTCCCCCACCCATGTATCATTACAGGTCCCCCGCCATGCCAGTCAAGAAGTGAGGGAGAAAGGAACTCCTTAAGGTTCAGTTCCTTAAGTTCTTCTTTCTTTTCTTCTTTTTAACAGATAATGCGACAGTGATTCCTAATCAAGTGTTTCAGCCTTTGGGCTCTTGCCCCTGCAATCTTACTGCAGGAGCCTGTGATATCCGTTGCTGCTGTGATCTGGTACCAATATTTTGTTTGGTTTAAAAAAAAGTTTAAGGAAATCCCACAAAGGATTTGCAGGAGGACTGTGCATTGCTCTTCATATTCAGAACTTTGAGATGATAAACCGACAAAGGCTCGTTTCTATGGGACTGCTGTTAGTAGAATAATTTGGTAAAGAGGGAAACACATGAAAGGGCAGGGGGCCCTCTGGATTGGCAAGAAAATGGAGCCACCTCCAAAGGGCGACCCTTGCCGAAGAATCGGATATCAAGATAAGTTAACATAGCAAGTTGCTTGATATCTTGCCAGAACATTTGCTCGTAGTGTCTATGATGCTTGACAGTGAGGGGTCTCTCTGGGGTCTCAGCTAGAGGCCTTTCCTATCATTTGTTACCTCGTCCTCTTACCCAGCGATGCCAGGCGATAAACCTGGGGCTTTTTGCTCGCATGCCACTGAGCCGCAGTCCCTTTCACCTCTGCCTTTTGCCCTTGATGTTATTCAGCCTTGCTAGCTTGTCTAATTCTTTTGCATGTCTGTCTTTCAAGGAATGCTCCTCAGAGATGAAGCAGCTGTTCAGCGGGTCGTGTTTTAGAGGTGTGTTTGGTGGGGACGTCAACCCACCTTTTGACCAAATGTGCTCCGCCCACCCAGGAAGCAGTGCCCCTGACTGGTTTCCCTTCTTATGCGTGCAGTCCTCACTTGACAATACACCTTTCCTGGGTTATTTCTATCAAGGGGCATTGTAAGTATGGAAGCTCCTCTCGTCTTTGGGTGTGATAGGTGTGTGCATGCATGTGTGTAACCTCTTTCCAGGATATTTCTACTTTTGAAAAAGCTAATTAAAACTCTGCTTTCCTTGATTTCATTTCACATAATTCCACCATGTGTGCAATAAACGACATTTCTGTATGAGCTGGGCAATAAACAGCCTCTGCCATACTTTTAGTTGCCATCTTCCAGCTTCCCGGCGGGGGGTCTCTTCAGGCTTTATGGTGCAGACTCTGTGGAGGAGAGACTGGGCTAAATGTGCTTGTCCTGCATATTGGTCTACTAGATGCCCTCACGTGACTGCGATATAGTCATGAAATCTGTGTGCTTAGCCTCAATTTTTTGGTTGATTCCTGGGTTCCGGGTGAGCATGTTTGGGAGTGGAGGAAGAGCATAATGGTTTAGCATATGCCTCTCAGGAGATACAACCTGCTCTTAAAAATGGCTTTGCAGATCCTCACGTGAAGTCTCTTCATTTAAGATTCCATTCCAAACCATCCCAGGAAAACTTTTTAGTGGTTACAAGCAAGGAGATCCGATTCTGAACATGCAAAATGAGTATTTTACCATTCCTCAGGTAACAGCATGAATGATCTTTTTTGGTATGAATTTAGAGCTGATAGGGGAAGGAAGGAGAAATTGTGCAAAAATAAAGCTGATATTCCGCTCTCTCTTTCTACATGATGTAGCAATTCCTAGCTGGGCAATGTGCGAGAAATGCCCCCATCGCATTCCTTCGCAATGTTGAAGCTAAATGTCTCGCTACTTGTAAGGAGGCTGGGAGCTCGATGCTTGATAGAGCAATAAACAGCGGTACTGGCGGTATGTTGTTTCAGAGAATAGGTCGTTTGCTGTTGTATCAGTCCTTTGGTTGATCTTAGGCTTCACAGTTTTTGGTAGCTGTGAACGTCTCGCTGCGGTATTGCTCCCCGCTTAAATTGTCCTGTTGCACTCTTCGTTATACTCCTGAAGACAAATGATGCAGGAGTTGATGAAGCACAGCTGCAACTGCAAATCACGCTGAGACAGCCTTCCCCCAACAGTCTTAAACTTCCATTCCCATTAGCCCTAACATGGTCAATGGTAAGGAGTGGTGGGAATCGCAGGAGAGCACCAGGTGGGACGTGGCTGCAGGAAGAGCATCCAAACTCCCATCCGGCAACAGATCCTGTTCAATATCTCATCCTTCTCCCATTAAGGAACACAAGGTGCTGGATTCCTGGTTCCCACCGGGACTCCCATCCAGGCACTAACCCAGGTCCGCTTAGCATCACTATGGTTACTTATTACCTGGAAACTATGGCCCATCAGCATTTATGGTGCCAGGTTTTGAAGGGAAGAAGTGACTGGAATTAATGCACACACCCAGCTGCCAATGCTGATGGGTTGCTGGTGCAGGGAACTGGCAATCTAAGCTACAGATCCATCGCAATACCTTGTTTCATGCAAATTGCTATTTAAAAACATCCGTGCAGAAAAAGGAATACTGCACTTGAATCTGCCTTGCTGAGATGAGAAGAGTATCTCCTGCCCTTTCTTTATAGATGGGATGTATGTTTTTAGACCAACTACACTTAACAATTCTTTTTGTTTCCAGATGCCGTCAAGCCACAAGTGACTAAGCAGATAAAATTGAATGTAGGTAGCTGTGCTGGTACAGGTAAATATGTATTGAGTGTAAATGTACACATATAAAGCAAAATTAATCTGAGTGCAAGCTCTAGCAGTGATACTGAGAGTTCTGTTTCAATTTTTCTTTGTTTGCAGAATGCAGAGATACGACGTTTGCAGAAGATTATACAATCATATGGGAAGGCAAGAGAATAATAGAAATTAAAGTCAAAGTCCTTACTGGAGTGATATGTTCAGAAGGTACCATCAAATACCCTTTGCATGGTTTAATCAGAGCGCCTTTCCCATCCTGCCCCCAGCATGTTGAATTTGTGCCATAATTTTATTAAAGAATTGTGAGATTGTAAATGGAAACAGATTGTTTGGGCTTTTGCCATGTGTCTGCCATAGACAAAAGCCAAAATTGGCTGCTAAGAGCAGTTGAACATTATTGACTCCATGCTGTTTACACCATATCTTGTAGGTTAGCTATGAGCACTTCATGATGGTTGGAAAATAGACATCAGTTGTGCTGCTCATCCAAAAAAAGTAATATCTGGGTGGCATCTAAAAATCACAAGGTTCTCTCAGTTTTGAAATTACCTTTATAAAAGCAACCTGAAACATGCAGCATTTCTGCAAAGTTTCTGGTTGTCAAAACTTAAGTAAGGGCACAATTGTAGGACTTTCTCCTGTGTGATGGTACTGGATGAAAGTTTTAACCAGATCATGTTTTTTCTTTTTTTTTTCTTTAGAGGTACTGATGCAGAAGTTCACCGTCAGCTTTGTGAGTGTAAATGCTAGCAGCACAGAAGAATTATCTGGGAATCCAGGTGAACTGCCTCCTTGGCTTAGAAGACACATGTTTTTATACCTATGGTCAGCAGTCAGTGATACTCAGTTTTCTGTATTTGTTTTGTCTTTGGATGTTTTGGTTTGGTCCTGTCAGGACCCGTTACCCCTCATCGTACAGCATCATGCTACATGTGCACATCAGTATGTCAATTTTCTTAGTTTTTTGTGGAATCCAAAGCACTGAAGCATTCTTGCGCATACATTTGTGCTGCGGGCTTTGCAGCGGGTGACAGATTTGACTGGCCTTGGTAGTCCAGCCCAGATGCGTGTTTGCCAGGCTCCTGCTCCACCCCTTCTGGTCTGGCTTATGCTTGGACCTTCTGCAGTGACCCGTGGCCTAGGAAGCCACCTCCCGCCTCACCCAGTGCCCTTTGCTGCAGGGGGTTGAAGTGGGGAGCATGCTGACATGCTGGCTGGTGCTGGAGCCCGCAGCCCAGGGTGCCTGCCGCCCGCCCCGCTCGCCAGCAGGGCAGTGAGGCAAGGAGCGTGCTGGCTGGGGCATCTCGCCGTTCTGCCCCAGAGCAGGAAACGGGAGTGGGCGTGAGGGGCGTGCCGGCCTGGCCTTCTGCTGTGGGGCGCTCGGGTGCTGTGGCATGGCAGCGGCCAGCCCACGCTCAGTCTTCCGGTGGAGGTTGAGGGGCGCAGCCCTGGGCGATTGCCTGGACGGTGCCTGCCAGCTCCTGCGGCTGAAGGCTGGGCGGGAGAGGAAGGCAGGGGACTTGCATGGCATTTGTGCTCACAGTAGGGCAGGGGCCTCGGGGTTTGGAGGCCAGCGTCAGCAAGACCGAGACCATTTTTGGCAGTATCGTCAGCACTGATGGGCGTCTATGAAACCTCACAAAATCCCCTTTTTCCCTATGTAGGTTATCAAGTTGGCAAACCAATTCGAGCAGCAAATCTGAATTCTTCTGATTTGGTTACCACTTTAAATCTTTGGAAGCCTGGTACTACATTTTTATATTCATTGTTTTGGGATTTCAATATAAATAACCATTTTAAAATCAGGCTTATTACTTTAATGCTAATTTTAACTTTTGGTAGCAGTTGGTTAGGTGGTAATAACATGATCAATTAGTCATATTCCGAAATATAATAATGAAGCATCCTACCCACTGAAAGCTTTCAATTGCTTTTCTGCATCATCTTCTGATGTCTAAATGCTTCCTTTGAACGGCTCCAGAAGAGAAATATTGAAAATACTAGCATTAAAAATCTTTCCTAGTTCAGGGACATTGCCTTAGCTTTCCAGTAGAGCGTCTGCTAAGATAATTCAACCACGTCACCTTAAATGGCATTAAAACATAGCGTAGATTGGATGTTTAAGATGAGCCGAATCCTACTATGAGAAACAATGTTTTTAATGTATACTTGAGGATTGTTGTTAAAAAGAATATTGTATAAAACGTCAAGCAAGAACCTTAAAGAGATATTGAGGATTTCTGAATTCTCTTACACAGATGGTAAGGGCTCATGTGCGTCGGCCGGGCTCACGCCACTTTTGTTTGGATTGAATTCAGTCTCTGGATGCATTGAAGAGGTCGATCTGAAGGACAGCTGCAGTCAGCTGAGGTGAGCAGCGTGTTCTCCCTGCCTGCTTGTCTTACTTGGTAATGTGGCTGAATTGACGGCATGACCCTAATCCTAGTGTTAAAATCCTCATATTTTTGATCGAAAGGAAGTCAAGTCATTCATTGAAATACACTGGTTTCTCAAATGCTGAAGTCTGTCTTTTCAAATAGGAAAATATGTAATATTTTGACTGACCAAAAAGAAAAAGTTGTGAGTTCAGTCATAATATGCACGTCCTTGAAATGAAATGCTAAGAAATGCTACGAGGGCCAATGTGGTATAGCGGTTAAAGTGTAGGACTGGAACTTGGAATATCTGGGTTTAGTTGTCGCTCAGCCATGAAGTATATTGGCTGACTTCAGGCTAGTCACTCGAGTGGCATTTTAACCCACCTCATAGGTTGTTACGATGAAAGGGAGAAGAGGGTCATCCTGTGAACTGTCTTGGGTTTTTGCAAGAGGAAACAAGGTGGGATCCGAATATAATAAATAAAATTTGTTTGCAGAGAGAATGTTGCTAAAAGACTAAATTCCTTGGTGGAAGTTAGCCATGTTGGGAAGAGAGGCAACTCCAATGCCAGTGTCCTCGATGACTGGGTGGAGATCATCCGTGAGTAGCAGCGTCCTGTACTAGCAGTCTAATCGCTTGACTCCGGACAGCCACAACATTTTTTCTGAGTTACTCTCTGACATATAGAACGGCACAAGGAATACGTATACTTCCTTCATATTAAACTTGAAGTCTGCAGCTGACCCTTGGTGTTTTAAGGAATAATTTTCTGAAAAGCGTGGAAAACAATGTATGTTACTCAAAGTGTGCCCACTGTGCTCGGTTTGATTTATTCCCTAGTAAACGTGGCTAGCACTAGCCTAAGCAACCTTGTCTTTAAAAACCCAAAAACCAACCCCCCCACAAACTCTTTCCCATGTAACTTTGAAAAAGAATAAATTATTCAGTAACAGATTCATAAGTTTCTTTGAACAATGTTTTGTTCCCATTAACAGGTTTAGATACACTTGGTCCCAATACAAATGAAAGTTTTGAGAATTTAAAAGGCACCTGCCCCGATATTCCCGCACACTTGAATATTCAGATAATCACTGCTGATGTGGGCGCTGTCGAAGGGATTCCGCAGCAGGAGATACTTGGTGTACAGCTCAGGTTTGTAACATCCTATCTCTGTAGCCACCGCAAATGTTGATGTCGCCTTTTTACCTAAGAGCTGATACAGGTGAGAACTGATTATGTAAAAATATTACAAAGCACACAAGTACCATAACAATGCACAGTCTAATACCTTCAGTGTTTCTACTTGGGCTTGTTGATCCCTGAATACCTGTTCATAATATTGATTTTCCCCTCACATGCAGCTTTTCAATGGTAACCTGGCAAGTTCAGTGTCCAATTATCTGTGAAGATAAAACCAGCACTCTGCCTATCTCTGTTGCGGTACAATTTATTAAAATACCGGTTCAACCTCCTGTTCCAATGACAAGGTAACTCTCTTGCCTGTAGTGTAACTTCAGCTCTAGTAAACATGTCAGCACTAGTATCAATCGCCTAGTAATAGGGCTTCCTAGGAAAAGGTGGTAGATTTGTGATGTGGATTGATTGGACCTTGTATGCATTCTGGGTTCTGTTTTCTGTTAATATTGGCCCTTTTCTCTCTCATTTACACTACAGAGAGAACATGTCTTAAGTTTCTGTTTTGAATTGTTCTGCAGATTTCAGATTAACTACACAGAATATGACTGCAGGAGAAATGATGTTTGCTGGCCCGAGCTTTTTTATCCCTTGACGCGCTACTACACAGGTAAGACACTGGGAACCTGTTGTGAAGACCTGGAGAATAATTTTTAAAAATATAATTAATTTTTCTGAAAATTTATAAACCAAATCTATTCAAATTTTTAAAGTGATTCCTTCTGAAATTATGAATACAGTTAAAATGCAAGCAACATAGTGTCCTGCTATTAATTTTTTATTTTAAATTTTCAGGAGAGCCGTACTCCCACTCTCTTGCTAAAGGTTTGGTGCTGGTATTTTTCATCCTAATTGGAGTAGTGCTGAGTGTTCCTTGGAGAAATGACTAAGTATGACTCTTCAGTTTACCAACAGCAAAGGCAGCCATTTTGATAAAGCTTTTTAATACTTTTAATAAGGACTTTTCAAGAAAAATTATGGAAACATATTTGTTTTTAATGTATATTTTTCTAAGGTCAAACAGTAAAATAAATATAATGTATTTACAAAATCATAGCAGCATTGTAATTCTGTGAAAATAAGCCAGATAATTCAAGTTTAAAGAAACCCTTGTTATTTATAGCACTTTCAACCTTGTTCTCTTCAACCAAAAAAACTTCCAGAGTGACCTAACTTATATAGATTAATAAGACTGCCCCTGCCTTCAGGTTTAATCGAAAAAGCATTGCACAAAAGGAAGAAAAAAATCAAAACTCAGTATGACCTGAGATTTTGTTTGTAATATGAATCTCATTCCAGATTAATTTTCTTCTACCCAAACTTGTCGATCCTCTTTAAATCAAATTCCTACATTAATTCGAGCGGGGCACTTGGAACCAATAAGAGGCTTCCAATCAGCCCCCGCTTGGAAGAGAAAGACGCCTGCGCCAGCTTCGTTGGCCCTGTCCGGCCTTTCGTGCTTATCCCCGCCATTGAGATGCCATAGAGTTGGAGGAGGAAGTCTCCCACCAGCGCGTGCGCGTCCTTATCTGTACTTCCGGTCTCCGGACGAGCTCCATGGTAGCCGAAGCAAGCGGCCATAGAGCTACTAAGGGTAGGGCGGTGCTAGGGAGAGGGCACGTGGCGCGTTCCTTCTGAAACCGGAACTGCAGCCGGCGCGTCGTTCTAGCCGGCCCCTACTCGAAGGCTCCGCGACGGTGCCGGAGGTGAAAGCGGAAGCCGCTGGAGCGCGGCTGGTGCGTCGCGTCCTTCTCTGCATGGGCTCCGGGCGCGGGGCACTGGGCAGCCCTTGCAGGCAGCGCGGCGGCGGCGCGACGAGGCGAAGGTAGCGCCGAGGGACCGGGGACGGGCTTTGCCGCCGCCGCGCCTCCTGCCTGGCGCGCCTGCCTGGCCATGGGCTCCCTGTTCCGCAGCGAGGCGATGTGCCTGGCGCAGCTGTTCCTGCAAGCCGGCTCGGCCTACGAATGCCTCAGCGTCCTGGGCGAGCGCGGCCTGGCCCAGTTCAGAGATGTGAGTGATGGGCGGGCCGGCCGGCCTTGCCGCTCTTACTTCTTTATGTGTTTTTTAGAGAAACCGAACAATAAAATAATCATGTATTCGAAAAGTTGTTTAGGACTGACCCAAGTTATAGTAGCAAACGCCTTGCGGAGGAAGTTACCTAGCCCTTCTTATTTGTCGGAGGAGGATTCCTTCTCATTCCTTTAGATGCATTCTTTCAGGCAAAAGGCCCGCAGAGACGATAAACTAACACTTTGAGCTTTTTATCTCCGTAGCAAGTTTTGCCGTACTCATAGCATTACGAGCGAACATTAAAGTTTTATTGTCTTGCGTACCAGCAAACAGCTTCAAAATAACTATAATCTGTAACCTTTTATTCACAGACTCTGGTTATGCTAAGGGTTTAATTCTAGGCCACATACTAGGAAATAAATCCTACTTAGAATCTGTGGGATTAGGATTTAATTCGGTATTTTTTTTCCAGTTATTGGTCAGGGTCTAAAGCATTACCCAGATAGTTCCATGCACTTTGGAATTTATCAAGACTCTTTATTGCAGAATTTTTAAAATTAAAGTTTGGCATACTCACAGATTAGAAAATATATTTTAAAGTGATTTTGAATACTGGTGGTAGAATGGCCAGGAACCAAAATGCTTCCTGTTTAACTAGCGTAATGTTTGTCAGGAGGCCCCAGGAGTTCATGTTGGTTGAAAGGAGAGAGATTTTGGCTGGGGAAGGGAAGAAAAAGATTGATGTCAGAAGGTGGTTACTTGACTATGGTTATTGAATGCCTAGTTCTAGCTATTACAGTCATGTGTGCCATGTCTCCAGGACTGGTCCAGTAAGTACTAGTATAAAACACACTGTAAAATGAAGCTCATAGTCAGGCAAATAATGTTTCCTATCTTTCCAGCTCAACCCAAGCACGAGTGTTTTCCAGCGGAAGTATGTGGGTGAAGTGAAGAAATGTGAGGAAATGGAAAGGATACTAGGTAAGTGTGGGGAGGCTTGCTTCTACTTCATGCATTAAGCACTAGACAGGAAAAGGGAAGCATCCATGATTCTCCTAGCAAAATGTTGGGCCTCAGATGATGATCCTTCCAGGGCTGCTTCATTTGTGTCAGTTTTGTTGAGTGAAAAATGTGTCTGCTGCCCACCAGTCTGAACCTGAGAGTGAGTGTCTGTTTCAAGTGTGCGCAGCTAAGTTCTTGGTACACTTGTTTGATTTTGTGTGCTGTCTGTGCATGTACACCCACTTTTCCAGAAATCTGACCTGCATGTTCTCTCTCTCAGGTTGTTATTGCCTTTCGGGGCAATATGATAAGCCTATTAGCATACAGCATAACTGGAGCCTATTGAATTCCAGAATGCAGCTGAAAACATTGGCCAGTGTTGTTAATTGCGTTCTCATGCTTCCAAGCTTCTGAATCGATAGTAATAGCTATTGTTCCAAACAACAGTTTGAGATTTACGGCCATGTGCCAATGTGTTGTACGCAGGTGTTGTAGAAGTCTTGCTTTCAGTTGCTGCATCAAGTGTTTAATTTCTCAAAATGGGCATTTGCAGATTGCATTACTGCAATGCCTTTAGTGTGACTCTGCCCTTAGATGGAAAGCTTCAAATGGCTCAAAGGGAGGCTGTGAGGATGCTGGTAGGAACATGTTGGTGGAATCATATAACTCTATCCTGAACCGGCTACGTTGGTTATACATTTGTTTTTGGTTCAATTTAAGCTGCTAATTTTGACTTTCAAAGCTCTCAGTAGTCTTGGCCCTGGTAATCTGAAGGGCTGCCTTTGCCCATACGAACCTACGTGTCACTTGTGTTCTCAGGTTTTCATTTTTGGTCTCCTTTTTGCATCAGACTGATTTGATGAGTACTAGAGGTTGGGCCTTTTCTGTAGCACAGACTTGGGGACCATGTGGCCTTCCAGATGTCGTTGGTTTACAACTTCTGTCATTCCTAGCTAGCATAGCCAGTGGTGAAGAAGGATTGGTTTTGGAATCCGATGACCTTTGGAGGGCCACACATGCTTCATCACTGCTCTGATGACACTTTGACTATGGATTTCTGTATCTGGAGAAATCCCTTTGATTTGTGTGCTCTTGGTAAATAGTGTGCCGAAGGTTCCCCAGGGAAAAGAAATGTGAAAGCCCTCTGTTCTAGAGTGGTGAAAAAGGTTTTCATTTTCCAGCAAATTATGGCATAGACATGTATCTGTTTAGAACACTCTCTTAAAAGTTCTCCCCTCCTTATTCCAGGGTACCTGGTGCAGGAAATTAAGAAAGCAGACATTCCTCTCCCAGAAGGAACTGTTACCCCAGCTGCCCCTCCTTTTAAGCAGATGTTGGAAATTCAGGTAAGTTGAGGGAGCAGGGATCTTTAGAATTTAAGTAATAGAAATAGTTTTGTTTGTTTTTCCATTAGCTGGACTCAGACCAGTGTTTTAATCTTGTAACAAACCTGTGAGGTAGGTTAGGCTGGTGTATTTGGGCCGCCTTGGGAGCTTCATAGCGGGGGCTCTTCACTGTTGGTGCAGAATCTTGCATGACGCCTGGTCACCAAGAAAGGATACCCTGATCACTCTCTGTCGTTCAGCTTTGGGGCTCGCTGGGCTTGTTTTTCACCTGGGGCAAAGGAAAGGGGCTGATGGGGAGCCTGTGTGTTCGTTCCAGCTGCTGGCATCAAGTGAGCGCGCCCGACACTTACTAGCTGGCCTGGTCACTGGCAGAACTGCGACACACAATGGTGTGTGTGTGCCTGTGGTGGAGCTGTGAAGCCCCGATCATTTTAGAAGGCCAGACATGGAAGATGGACGCGAAGAGGAAGTCAGAGTAGGAAAGAGCAGGCAGTGAAGCCCACAGGAAGGGGGAAGGCGGCGAGGAGGGAAAAGCAAGTCACGCAGTCTAGGGAAAGGAAGCAGAGAAGACCAGAGAGAAGTGAAAGGAAGGAAAGACGAGGGTCGTCAAACCAGGTCAGCCAGCTTGGTATGACCTAAGAAGCCACAGAGCTAGAAGAGGCCCGACCTTCGTTCAGAGCAGGATCAAGGGCGGCATTCCTGACCGCCGGCCGCCCAGGCTCTGCTTACATAGCTCAAGCAACGGTGAGCTTGCCCTGTGCTGAGGCAGTGTGGTGCCGTTAGCAAGCCTCCCGGTGTTTATCCGCAGCTTGCTCCCTGGCAGATTCCACTCGCTGGGCCTAGTCCTGCCCTCTGGAGCAAAGGAGGCAAGCGCCGTCCTCCGCGTGACCGAGCACCCTTTATCGGGAGAGTGCTGCCTTGCCTCCCTTTACTTTGCCCCAGGCAAAACGCGCTGGCTCTTTCCAGCATTCCTAAACCTCTCACCATCCTGCTGAGGTGAAAGGTGGAGGGCCGCCAAGCAGTAGAGAAGAGGGAGTAACTTTTCCTCATAGCCATGGGAGAAGCAGGTTCCAAGCACAGTGCTCTAGCTGCCAGAGGATAAAGAGCTATGGAATACTGGCTCTTTTTTCTTTTCCTTCTGAGCAGTAGACCCCAGAGGGGTTCACAGTATTGAATGAAAGGCCTGGAATTCTGGTGTAGGGGAGCAACAGGTGTAGCGGATTCAATAACCTACTGCTGTCCCATAATGGTCCCACTTTCCTTGTGTTTTGGGGATTAGAGGTGAGGTAGGTAGGTATGAGGTGCTGCTCCCACCTGAGTCAGGGACATGGCTTATGAGAACTCGACCCTGAGAACTGGTCAAGCACCTTTTTCCAGTTACTCTTGCACAGTGTTCTGTAAAGTGCAGCAAAAAGAATGGAGACCACGGCAGTGCGACTGAGCTGTCTTTCTGCCGTGTAGGAGCAATTGCAGAAGCTGGAGGTCGAGTTGCGCGAAGTGACGAAAAACAAAGAGAAGCTGAAGAAAAACCTCCTCGAATTGACAGAATATACGCACATGCTACGGGTCACCCGGACCTTTGTCAGAAGAACTGCTGAGGTACTGGGTGTACAGGGCTGTTTCTGCTTGCCTGGGCAGAAAGTGAGCCACGAGCCCCTGGCCGGTCTCCCTTAGTCCTCCTCGTGCATGAGGGTGGCTGGCTTGTGGTAAAGACTGTTGGGCTTGGTGGTCCGCTCCCCCGGGGCATTGGATGCGCTTGGAGGCGGGCGTGTGCAGTAGTGTCGAACGGCCCTTGTTTTGGATTTCCACGAGAACTTAGAGCGGCTCTGTAGTTTGATGCAGCTAGTCCATTCTAAAAGCCTTCTTTCTAATGTTTGCATTTTAGTTTGAGTCCTGCTTGCAGGCTAATTACGAAGAATTCCCGTCTTTGGAAAGCGAGCCTTTGGTGGACTACAGCTGCATGCACAGGCTTGGTGCCAAACTTGGGTAGGTCATAGGAAAAGTGTGAAGCCGAGTGGCACCGCCTGGCAAGGTGAGCAATCCAAGGCAGAAGCTGGAGGTCTCCAGGCACTGCTCACAGTTGTGCATCTGGCTGTGAACAGGCGCTTTACATTTAGATGACAGCACAAGCCAGGCACCTGGACGCTATTTTAGAGGGTGACCCTGTATTTGGCCCTATTTTAGTTTCCCTGTTCTGGTGAGAAATGGATCCTGCACGCATTCTGTTTTATTTAGGTGTTGTGCCCAAGTGCGCATGTAACTTGTCTGCATGCAAGCGGGAAGTGGCTTAACGTGCCATTTGAAGCATGTTTACTTAGAAGTAAATCCCACTGAATTCAGTGGAACCTGCTCCCAGTAATGGTGCGATCCCCTGTGTATTTGGACGGGCCTTTTTCCTGTCAAACATACATGGAACTTCAGCCTAATCTCTGTTTTCAAACTGACAGTATCTCTAAGGACCCATGAATGCCGTTGAATTCAATTCCGCGTCCTGTATTGTGCCTCCTTTGTATGCTTGTGGTGAGAAATGCTAGTGGTGTAAATGCTGGGATCACTTAGTCCATTGGGTGTAAATTGGTGTAGTTTTAAGGGCTTCAGTGGAGTAGCATTTTAGCTTACAAACCATCCGCGAGTACCTGTTCTTCCTGATAGGATATGATAGGATAACTTTATTCCTATAGTGCATTTTGTCTTTTTTAATGTAGATTTATATCTGGGTTAGTTCACCGAGCAAAAATTGAAGCCTTTGAAAAAATGCTTTGGCGGGTGTGCAAAGGATATACAATTGTTTCTTATTCCGAACTGGAAGAAAGTTTGCAAGATCCAGATACAGTAAGTAACAGATAAATACTGTGGGGCCTTTCCAAAATTTAGTGCTGGATCAGCTCTCCGGATTTAAATTACACAAGCCTGGGACTTGTTTTCCACCACCCCTTATTTATTTATTTTTTATTTATTTAAACCATTTTTATGCCGCCCCATTCGCAAAAAGCCCCTTCCCCATAATTCACTTTTTTTAATAAGCAGCTGAAAAGTTGGTTAACCTTAACTGGTTAATCTGAAAGTAGCCAATTTCATAACCCATGATTAACAATAGTTTTCTAAATTCCTAATGGAAAAACCAGCTGTGATTAAAAAAAATGGAAGCGAACATTTCTCAGCTCTTCTTTGTAAGCCCATGGCTTACTGTGGCCTGTGATAAGTCCAGGTTTGTTGTGATGTTTGAATGCAGCCACTGGATGAAGATCGGGGCTTCCCATTATTTCTCTGTACAAGTCCTCACTTTTGTACATCAAAACTCAATTTAAAGCCTTTTAAAAATGTATAATATGGTTGTAAAGCATAGTTAAACTGAGCCACTTATGTTCTCTTTTCAGGGAGAACCTACCAAGTGGTTTGTCTTCTTAATCTCATATTGGGGTGAACAGATAGGCCAGAAAGTTAAGAAGATATGTGACTGGTAAGGATTAACATGTTGCCATTGTCAATTTAATATTCATGAATATTCTTTTGAATTTTATCTATTTAGGTTTTTGTTTTACATATAATACTGTTGAAGACTTTGGTTGTTGAGTGCTATAGAAATAAACGCATGTATAAATGTTCTGGGGTTGGTTATACATGGGGTGAAACCGTCAACATCCTTCTGAACCTGAGGCTTCCTCTTTCCATTTCTGAACATTTGCTTGGTGGTGGATGTCAAATGGCATCACGTTGTGTTATGACCTGGCACTTGGATGGAGATGTAGATCCGGCACTTTCCAACTCAGATGTTAATCTGTGGACGACAAGCGCAGAATCGCTCCTTGAGGGTTTCAAACTTCTGCCTTCCGTCTGTTGTGGAATCTGCTTCCTCTGTGTCGGGACTCTTGTGCACCCATTACTGAAGGCTTGAGTCACTGTCCTCAGGGGGTGGGACTACTTTTGCCCACCCCCCTACCTCCCAGGCAGCTTAGCTTCCTGTTTGTTGGGAGTTCTTGTATGCCGCCCCCTTCGCATAAGCCTCGGGGTGGCTTCCAACAAATAAATATTAATACAAATACAGAAAAAACTGGAAACATCCTGGCAAATAGTATAAAACCAATAAATAATCAGCAATTAATTAAAATATCGTTTAAATAAAAAGGTCTTGGCCTGGTGCCGAAAAACAAATAATGGCGCCAGGTGGACCTCTCTGGGGAGCACGTTCCATAAGTGGGGCGCCACCCCACTTATGCCATCCCCCCCTACCTTTCCTATTTTGTGTAAACTTTTTTTTCTTTTTGGCCAGCTACCATTGCCATGTCTACCCCTATCCAAGCACCCCCGAGGAGCGACGGACCGTGATGGAAGGACTCCAGGTCCGCATTCAGGATCTTCATATCGTGAGTAAAGAATTATTCGTGCTTGTTTCCAGACATGGAGGCCCAGGCAGGTGTTTAACTCAGGGGTCTTCTACTGGCATGTCAGGACCCTCCTGGATTATAGTTTGGCTTAAGGTGAGTTGCCGCAGAAGCACTGCTAGCATGCAAGTCTGTGGAGAGGAGAAGGGGACGGAGTCCCCACCCGCATCATGGGAAAAAATCATGGCATCACCTGCAGTGCTGAGGGTATGCTTAGAAGCACAAGGTGGAGACTATCGTCCTTTCTCAGGGATGCTCAGATTCTTTGTTCTCTGGCTTCCCTCTCTATTCTTCCAAGTTTTTGCACTACGCATCCTCTGGCACAGGCGTGACGTGTAAGTATGTATGGATAAGGTGCATGCGAGAGCCAAAAGACAGGAGTAGCAGAAAGTGTGGACTAGCTTTTTCCTACGGAGTGAGAACTTTTCGTTAGGGTACTGAGAGTCAAATGCTTCTGAGGCTGCCATTGAGCTCTTCTTGATATTAATGTTGGGAGAGATACATGGCTTTACAGATACGTGTGAGGGACACCCCTGACCTGTTTGTTAAAACTTGCCCTTTGTTAGTTCGATGTCTTTGCTATATATGCAGCATTTAATCTTTTGCCTTTAAAAAAAATCACCAAGGTGCTGCGTAAAACAGAAGATTATTTGCGACAAGTTTTATGCAAAGCGTCTGAATCCATTTATACCTGGGATGTTCAAGTGAAGAAGATGAAAGCCATTTACCACGTGCTGAACCTCTGCAGCTTCGACGTCACCAACAAATGCCTGATTGCCGAGGTGTGGTGTCCTGTGACCGACCTCCCAAACATGCGCCAGGCTCTTGAGGAAGGCTCTGTAAGTGACGAACCCTGCAGTGAGAAACACTCGAGGTTTTCAATAGGAATCCTCTGTGGGGAGTGGCTTGTGAATGAACAGGTATTGGTCATGTGCCGTTTCCCCTCGGCACCTTCTGATTCCTCAGCCGTGTAATCCAGGCAGCACAGCTGAGCCATTCGTGTCAGCATGTGAAATCTGGCAGTCAGTGGTGCAAGCTCAGAGAGGGTGCGTGCGTGCGTGCACGCACATGGGCCTCTGGGGAGGCACAGTTCTGGCCCCCTTGCCGTCTGTACTTCCCTAACGTCTGTACATGGATGAGAGCTTGGGGTCATTCTAGCCACTCTGCTGAAGACTTCTCCCTTGGAAGCTCTCCCCCCGCCCCCCCTGTCACCCCCAGCAGCCATTCCAGTAGCAGGATGAGAGAGAGGGTTTGCCATTCCACCAGCCCTGCTAAAGAACTCGCTTTTTCCCTCTTCCCTCCCATTCCCCTTTCCTTGTGTGCTGTGTATTTTTAGATTGTAAGCCTGCAGGCAGGGACAGACCTCTTTAATTGATGATGCGTAAGCTGCTTTGGGAGTGGCAAGAAATATTATTCCCCCCCAAAACCCCCCCCCACCAAATTACTAGCTCCCAGAAGATGGGAACTGAAAAGCAATGTTTATTTTTCCAGCTTCACAAAATAAACTGCAACTAGTAATAGAGTGTGGGGCTGGTACAGGTGATCTGAGGAGCTCATTAGCCGACTTTGGGCCAGTCGCAGACTCTCAGCCAAGCCCAGCACACAGCGTTGTTGCTAGAACACGACTGAGAGGAGGAGGGAAATCACACAAGCCGCCTTGGGTTCATTGGCCGGAAAAAGGTGGGATTTGAATGAATGAATAAATAATATTGGTCGTTGCTGTTTAATTCCTCAACCAGAGAACAAGTGGAGCTTCTGTCCCTTCATTCATGAACACGATACCAACAAAAGAAACACCTCCCACTTTGATACGCACAAACAAATTTACCTCTGGATTCCAGAACATAGTTGATGCTTATGGAATTGGGAACTACAGGGAAGTTAATCCAGGTGGGTAGCTCAGAGATTGAAACACAGTTACTGAGAAGAAAATTTATTTTTCTCCCACTGTCCTTTTTTTCCTCCTGGCTGTTGGTCAAAGTACTTGCAAGAGCCTCCCAAAAAATGCTCAAGAGGGCATGGAAAAAAGTACCTTCCGTTTAACATTTTAGAATGGACATAGGTGTCCAGATCTTCTGTTCTTCCAGTTCTTGACTGCAGCTCCCACAGTTTCCTGACTGTTGGCCATGGTTGCTGGGGCTAAATTCCAAAAACATCAGGAAGGCCATGGAATGCCTACCCCAGTGTGTAAAGACTGTAGGGGAAAATTTTTCCTCGTTCAAGGCCCATAAGAGTCTGAATTGCAGAAAAGGGTGGTGGAAGATGTTCCAAGGCTGGCAAAGGAGCGGAGTGGAGAGTCAGAAGGGAGAACCAGGTTGCACTGGAATGTCAAGGTATAAGATGAAATGGGAGCGTTTCCAGAATTGTTTTCCTAATGGGCTGCTTATTTACATGGGCACCATCAAGGCCATGGTTATTTCTAATGTGCAGAACAACAGGTCTCTGCCCCAAGGAGCTTATACTTTAAACATTCACTACAACCAAGGAAGGGGAGGGAAATGAAGGCAAAGTTAAATGGGAAGAATATTTGAGGGCCATATATGTATATAGACCTGGTTTGCACATAATAAGTCATCAGTTAAACAGTCCATGGGTTCTTGTATATGAACAGAGGAAGAGTTAATTGTTAGATTATTGAGTTAAATGACGGGCTGTTAAGGCCCTAAACTTTTCAGAGGTCAGGGTTCGGATGTGTCACTGCACAACCTACAGAGGCGCTGATCATGGGTTGCTGACAAAAAGCAGAAACATCCCTGACTGCTAGAGTTATTTAGTCCGCAGGTAGTGATGTACACACATCCCACGATTATAATAGAGCATTGGCATTTGATGGACAAAAGCCCCCATGAAAAAGCTGGTTTTGGAGGAGGGCCATGTTTGGATTGTGCTCTTTTTCCTTCTGGCCTTGATCTTTTCGGTGAAGCCTTTTATGTTAGCTTTCAAGCATATCCATCATTTTTAGCATGCCAAGTAGCCTGAGCTTAGATATAATTGTGCATTAATGAAATACGGTTGTAGGCCTTTTTTGTTTGTTTGTTCAGAGAGCTGGACACTGCCAGCTTAACTCATTTTCCCTACTGGCCACTTGGCTGCTCAGAAGAGGACACAGGCCTGCTCTGGAAAACTTTCTTCTTTGCCTGTTCATGTGTGCACAGCTCCAACAGATTTCCGGATTTTAATTGTATTTTGTATCATGTTTGTTTGTTTATTTATGTGAGCCTTCCCCAGGCTATAAGCAATGGGACCGCATACAAAACTCTAACTAACTAACTGAGCATCTGTTCCTCCTCTCTCTCACAACCGTTTTTTCCTCACTCAGAAATGGTTTACACTCCAAGAAGGAGCTTCTATGGGAAGAGTGGTGATACTCCTTATTTCCCATGTCATTTTCCCCTTTTGTCAGAAGCCACCTTGATGGATGGGCAAATTCTGTTGTCCCAGATGTTTCTGTCCTCCTACGAACGCCCATGAGTTGTGTCCACCCCACTGGCTTTGCTGGTGCGAGTTGTGGGCCAAACATCAGGAGAAGTCTCAGAGAAACTTTTTGTCACTGACTTAAAGCATAGGTAGGATGTGGAGAAAGTTGATACTGCATATTATAAAGTGGCTGGGGGTAATGCAGAAACTTGGCTCCTCTGTCTTTGCAGCTCTGTTCACCATCATCACCTTCCCCTTCCTGTTTGCTGTCATGTTTGGAGACTGCGGGCATGGCTTCTTAATGTTCCTCTTCGCTTTGTTCATGGTATTGTTTGAAAAGCATCCCAAACTGCTGCGATCACAGGATGAGGTAAGGAGGAAAACTTATTGTATCCCTTGGTTTAGTGGGAGCATGCAGTAATGGTTAATTCGCTGTATTGTGGCGAAAAGGCAGAGATCGCGTGTCAGGAGACCTAGTCTTGGTCTCAGTTCCTTCTGACTGTGCCCCTTCTTCCCTGGTTTTTTCCTTCCGTCCTCTCCTGCACCTCTCCCACGTTGTTGGTGTGTCTGCCACACAGAACGTTGGAGTGAGTGGGCACAGGAGAGAGACCTTTTTGGTACTGGCCACTTACTTTTTTCGCTTGGGCCAAAGGCATCTCTATTCTGCCCAATAACCAAGGCTCTCCGGTTTCGGCAGGTCTTACATTTTTATACACAAAGCCATTTGTTGGACTTACTAAGACTGGGTTGGGTACTCCTTGTGCTGAGCTTCTGGCCTGTCAGGGTGCTGTGTAGTGCAGTGCACATCAGGCAGAGTAGTTGTAAATTGGAATTGGATCACAGCCTGTGTCTGTGGCATCTGTGACAGAGGCTCTTGTCTTTGAAGTTCACCTGGCAATGCATGATCTTCTCTGTGTAATGTCCACAGATCATGAAGATGTTTTTTGAAGGGCGATACATCATCTTGCTGATGGGTCTCTTTTCTGTATACACCGGCCTGATCTACAATGACTGTTTTTCAAAGTCTTTGAATATATTTGGCTCTCGTTGGAATGTTTCACGCATGTCTGATGAGATCTGGAAGTAAGTGGCTCCCGTACAACTCACTGTGATGACAAAAGCAACCTATTGTGTTACGATAGGAAGATCTGGGTTGTTTCTCCTCAATTCTTGCAGTGTAGCATATTTGCAAATTTCATGGGTAATTAACATATGCACCTGACTTCTGCCACTCATGACTTAATTTGCATTATTTCAGTTTGCTTTACAAAATGTTGTTTATCTGTGTGTAAATAATAAATGGTTGACCAACCACCTCTAATTACATTTACCTGTAAGAGAAAAGTGAGCTCACAGTTTCTTCCCTGCTGTTAGAGATAAGAAGAAAGTGGAAATCCCTGGCTAGATAATATGGTTTCTGCTGACAAGTAAAACCATGTCTCTTCCTAGAAGTTTTCTTTGTCTGATAATGCTTTGCATTTTTTATTGTTGAATCTCATAACATTTCTTTTTATATTAAGGAAGTTTTAAAGTCTATCAAAACTCAGATGTGAAGCAAAGAATAGAAGGTGGTGGCTGAGGCACGGGAGGGAGAATGAGAAGTTGGGCAAAGTTATTATACGCTACCTATTATGTTTTTAGGTGTGACTTTTAAAGTAGGACCTAATAAAGGTGTGACAATCTGTAATTCTTGTACATTTTATGTCTTTATTGGAATGATTATTCAGTCAGTCAACTGTGTCATATACCTGCTAGTATACTTTTATTAGAAAGGTGTAGCTAGCAAATAACCGACTGGAGTGAGCAGTGTATCTGTATTCAAGACTCCTGAATAGTCCTCAGGACTGTTTTTGTTTTGCATCTTCTCTCTCTCATTCTCTCAGTGACGAGGATGTGAAGAATAACCAGTACTTGACGCTGGATCCAAATGTGACCGGAGTGTTTGGAGGAGTGTATCCTTTCGGCATAGATCCGGTTAGTGTTCCTCTGTGAAGCATTTCCTGTGCGGGGGGTGGCAAGCACGCAAAGAAACTCAGCAAGCTTAAAAGTGCCCAGTCATAGACTTACAGCGCTACAGCTTCCATGGCTATAAAACTTTTGGTTCGTTAGGATATACATTTTTATGGACCTTTGCAACCAGAAGGTCCCAGATTCAATATTGACAATGAAGGTGGGGCTGGAAAAGCTGCTGGTCTAAAAGTAGAGTTAATGTGAACACACCAGTTAGAGGCCAGCTGTCTAAGGACATGAGAAGGACCTTGCTGAATCAAGCTGAGGGTCTGTCTAGTCTAGCACTCTGTTCACACGGTGCCCAACCAGTTAATGGTGATCCTCCCTCCTTTGCTACCCATGAGGTAATCGATCAAAGGTAACCTTCCTCTAAATCCACCCTTCCTGGCTGGATCTCCCGCCAGCTGTGTGAGCAGAGCCATTGGCCACCTCTCAAGCGACTTCCGGAGAAACTAACCCATCTCATGCTGTCTTCCAGTTCTGGGCACTGTCCTGGCTTTTCCCATGTTTCTAACCCACAAGAGATGAGAAGGAGCTGCACAGATTCTTATTTGTCTTGTAGACCCAAATATTGGAGAAGAAACCCCTCTTCAAAGTGTTACGGTTAGCTAGGATTTAAGTAAACGTCTTCAGAATGGCTTCCTGCATCAACACTTAAGTGTGTATTTTTAACATTTGTTTCTTCAGATTTGGAACCTAGCAAGCAATCGTCTCACCTTCTTAAATTCTTTCAAAATGAAAATGTCTATAATAATTGGACTGATTCACATGATATTTGGAGTTGCCTTAGGGGGATTTAACCACCTGTGAGTATGGAACTTGAAAGTTAAGATTGTAGTAATTGCCTTGTATACCTTGAATGTAGCAGTACTGTCGCGGGCCAGGGGGGGGCGGGGGGGCGGGGAAGAGAGCAGTCTTTGGGGAGGGGACTGTTGGGGTATCCCTTTACTAGCACAGATGTTGATTCATGAAATCTATTTATTTATTTAAACCTTACATGTCGTCCTATGTGTGGCATTTCAGGACGGCTTACAACATTAAAATCAAAAATGAATAACAGTTGATACAAATATAAAGCAATATACTATCAATAAAAATAAATTAAGTCAAGAGCGACTGATTAAAACTATTAAAATACTAATTTTAAAATAACACTTAAATAAAAAGGTTTTGACCTGGCACCAAAAAGAATATAGGCTCGGCGCCAGGCAAACCTCTCCAGGGATGGGTGAACTTTGTTCCAGCTGGAACACTGTGCCTCTGGTCTATTTATTTCGCAGTATATTCTTGTTAAAAAGTGATTAAACTTTAATTCTACAAAAATAAACCAGCCCCCTTCTTATTTCATCAGGCATTTCAAGAAGAAGTACAATATTTATTTCGTTTTCATTCCTCAAGTTGTGTTCATGCTGTCCATCTTCGGATATCTTGTGTTCATGATCATCTTCAAGTGGCTGACTTGCAGTGCCCAAAACTCCAAGATCGCTCCGAGCATCCTAATTCAGTTCATTAACATGTTCCTGTTTCCTGGCAGTGGAACAGATGACTTTTTCACAGGGCAGGTTGGTAATCTTTATAACCTGGAAGTGAGCGACAGAATTCAGAATGGCCTCTCTTTGCTTAAGTTAAACTTGTATTTAAGTGAGATGTTACTTAGTGTACTTATTCAGCAAAAAACTGGCGCGGTGTAACGCGTGGTCTGTTGCATTTAGATCATCTCAATTGCAACGAGGCATATGTTTGTGGTTTTAGCTTGCTAACAAGGGAGTAGTTGATCACTTTGTATAACAGCTTTTTCTTTTGTTTCTTCCCTTTTTAAAACAGAAAGTTGTGCAGCAGTTTCTGCTAGCTGTCGCTGTACTTTCTGTTCCTGTGCTGCTTTTTGGAAAACCACTGTATTTATTCTGGTTGAACAATGGAGGCCAAAGCATTGGGGCATACAGGGTATGTATCAGAAGGAACTGTATGTGGTCTACACTTGATTGGCAAAAATCTCATCCATCCCAAAAGTACAAATGTTCTTTAAATTTGTAGAAGGATCTTGATAAAGGTAGGAGTTGGAAAAGATGGCTTTTTTTAAGAAAAAGATGGTCAGTGTAACCCAACATAGAATCACAAAGTAACACTGAGTTCATATTTTTATGTTAAAAGACGAGATTGTGATGTTTCATTCCATCATCAGGAATGAAAACAGGTGAGGGTGTGTGTTCTAGAAATCTTAAATTGCTGTTATTTAAGTGCGTCAGCTTTCTGCAAGACTCTCATATTGGCATAATATTATATACAAATGCTAAACATTATTAGTTAAACTTAAAAGCATGAAAGCAGCATTTCATATTTTTTCCTTCAGAAAGGTTACCGGTTGGTACGAAAAGAAAGTGAAGAAGAGATTGCTCTGTGGCGAACGCACGACATCGAAGAGGGAAGCGTCTCTTTGGAGAGCAGACTCAAAGATGAAGAGGAGGAGGAGGTGAGTGTATGTGTTAAACCATTGTCTGTAATTTGTAGTAAAAACAGTAATGTCAGGGCGGTGTGTGGATTTTTGAACCTCATGTTTTGTGACCTTACCTGACTTTTAGAAGCATCTTCTCCAGCCACTTTTACTAGGCTTAATGTGTTAACCCCAACCACCCCTACTGAAATGCATATTATTCTACTTCCCGTTGTCTCAAAATCATCAGACATTCTGCCTTGAGTGAAACCTGTTCATTTCAACTTGTCTGCCACAGATCCCTGGGCCCATCACCATATTTATACAATCTTTTGCTTCAGTTTAATTTTGTAGATGTGTTCATGGATCAAGCTATCCATACCATTGAGTACTGTCTAGGATGCATTTCAAACACGGCTTCGTACCTGAGGCTCTGGGCACTTAGTCTGGCACATACACGTGAGCATTCCTTGTACAATCTCAACCACTCCATTTTCTAGCTTCTTCCTTAGTCTTCTAAGTGTTTCTCTTTCCTCTTTGATCTTAAAAACTCATCAAACAATTACGGAGCATGAATAATTTTGTTGGAAGCATTGAACATGCACATTTTTACCTTAATCCAAGTTAGGGAAACAATTACTCTTCTAGCTGAGGGGATTGGAAACATCAGTTATCGTATTTCCATGACCTCTGAACCTGGCAAACTGGTTTGTTTTAAACTATGATATGAAAACAAGTTAGAAACTGAAACCTTGGTTTGATCCTGCTTTGAACTTACTAACTAGAACTTAAGTAAACTACAGTTCCCTGAATTCAGATCTCACAGGGCACTGCAGTTAGTTCAAAAGTATAGGAAATGCCTCTTGTCTCACAGGTTAGAGAAGAGAGAGGAAGATGTAAGCACATGAGAAGGAGGCTTCCTGGCAGCTTGTTCAGGTAGCAGAACAGAGTAATTCCCAGGCACAGCTATTCCATATGGTGATTACGCCCTCAGCTACTTTATAACAGCGGCTGGGGTGGGGGGCAGTAAGCAGACGACCTTGTTTAGTATGCACCTAGAAGAATATTTGGCAATGAACATTATAGATACCTATAATGGGCCCACAGGTAGACTTGATTTAGATAGGTGCTAGGATTTTCTGTTAAACTGAGCTTTGAAAACACAAAACACATTTCTTCTTCTAGAGTTATCAGATGTGCTCTGGGCAATGGTCATGCGAGTAGGCCTTCGTGTGGATGCAGCCTATGGGATCCTACTGTTGGTACCAGTTTCAGCCTTATTTATGGTTCTGACAATATTCATTCTTTTACTCATGGAAGGCCTTTCAGCTTTTCTACATGCTCTACGGCTTCACTGGTATGTATTTTCCTTCAAAAGTTTTATAGTTTAAAATCTTGTGGCTTGTCAGGAAAACATTTTGGATCTTTAAAAATAAATGTCGTTAAACCGTTGGGTTTGAAAGTACTTTTATTGCAGAATTATTTATGAGAATCAAAGCATGTCTGCACGGCAATTGTGAATGAACCGGATATGCATGTATTAATGCTCTTTTTCATAATCTGCTTTGTTTTCTAATTACAGGGTAGAATTTCAGAACAAGTTCTATAAAGGTGAAGGATACAAGTTCACACCTTTCTCCTTTCAGGACATTCCTTTACATTTTAATAGATATGTTGCATAGCTTGGCTGATATTGGCAGTAAGTCTCTGGAAATGTTTGGAAATCATGAACTGAGTTGTCATTTTTGCACAGCTCATTGTAGTATAAAAACATCACTGATTGCCTTATAATGCAGCCAAATAACTTTGCAAAATATAACCGCACATGGACTTTGTAACCATGGAACCTCTTGTAAACTGGCATAGAATGCGTGTTTCTTTCTTGTCATAAGCACATATAAAACTGATTCTAACCATCTGGTTGCTGTCCCTAAAATGCTCCAGCTATTTTAAAGAGCTTTTTATATTCTTTTTCAAATTCTTACCCTGTGCCCGCTTACTTGGGAGGGAGCCTCATTAAAGCCAGTGCAACAATTCTGAGTAAATATACATCGTTTCCATTGTCAGTCTCCCTCATGCTACCACTAACATTGATGTTCCTTTGTGAAAGTTCATAGCTAACAAAAAATTGGCAGCAACTTGAGAATGAAGTTGCATTATCTTTCAGTATTTATAGGAAGCGACTAAGATTTTATATTACATGAGTTATAAGATACTTAAAAAAAAAGAAAGAAATTCTTCATTCTGGTTAGAACAAGAACTACATGCTTTTGCCATTGCACATCCTGAATTTTGAATAGAAGCGGCAGCATTCGAAGATGGATTGCCTGAAGAACTTGGAGGCATGTGGCCCTAGTTTTGTTCAGGGAAGCATAAAGAGCAAAGTAAGGCTTATTCCCAAAAGGGATCTGTTCAAAGATCTGAAATTGTGAAGTTTTAAGTATTTTAGCTGAGTCCTGGTGGTACTCAGGCATTTGCTTTAATTGAATACATGTCCTTTATGAACAAGTATTTTTCTCCAGTACTGTTGCCTGTTGATCTGCCTTTTCTCAGTCTCTAGTGGAGAAACCACGTGTTAATACAAGTTTTCTTAGGCACTAGTTATACCAACTTTCCTCAGCCTGGTGCCTTTCACATGCCTGAGAATAATGCAAGTTGCAGTCCAACCCGTCTGGAGGGCACCCGGTTTGAAGGACTGAGTTTACACACTCCTTTTTATGTAGCATTCTGCTGCTGGAAGTTAGTATTTATAAAATCAGGTTCTAGTTTAACTTCGGCTTCAATTCAGTAACTGGTTTGGTAATGAATAACATCTTTTTAAGTTCTGTGAAGATAGCTACCTTCTAAATGATTTTTTAAAAACGTTAAAAGGATGTATTTTACTTAAATAGTGTAAGTGCTGATGGAAAAAACATAATCTTGTTTCTTTAATACTCATTCCAAATAAAAGCTAATTGGTACTTTTGAGAACATAGATTCTGCATGTTTAATTACTGCTTTGATAAATATGGATTGTTCTTATGGTTGTGATAAAACCTCTGTGGAACCAAGGTGTGGGTGCAATGGAGCAGGAAGAATATTTTAAGCTTCTTAGACCTTTCTCAAAATGTTATTAAATCCATTTGAATGTTTAAATGGATACAAGATTTGAGGTAAATTATCACATATTCTTTGTATCGCAATCAGGAACTGAACCATGGTGAAGCATTTAGGCTTATTTGTCTTAAATTCCACGTTTTACTTTGATTTACTGGAAGAATAAAGAATAAAAGTAAATTTGCTACTCTTGTACTATCCCAGTTGTGATTGGAGGATACTGATTAGGAGTTTTAATGGGTAACAAGACTGTGATACATATAGGAGAGAGGCCAGATGGGCAGACAGAGTTTTGAGGATAAATTTAAGAAATGCTTTTTGATTGAGGTGAAGTAAATGAGCAGGGTTTCTTCTGGACAAAGGTTCAGCCATAGAATTTCTTCTTGAATTCAAGTATGTGAAGCTGGCATGTACTTAAAGACATGAGATTCTTATAAGCATGTGCAGGGAACTTTTTAGTCACTGTTAAGTAATTGGTTTAAGGTCAACCATGAATTGAAATTAAAGATTTTTCACATCTTGGCTCAGTCGTCAAGTCAAAGGAAGATTGCAACGAAGAAATTAGAAGAAGACTGAGATTTGGAAGGGCGGCAATGAAGAAAGTAGAACAGTTAATCAAGTGTACGGCTGTTTCACTGGAGACCAAGGCCAAGATCATCCACATGATTGTATTCCTGATCACTGTATATGGGTGTGAAAGCTGGACAGTGGAAAAAGATGACATGAAAAATGGATGCATTTGAAACATGGTGCTGGGTGTGAATACCCAAGACTGACAGAAATATTAACAATTGGGTCCAAGATCAAGCCAGAAATTTGCTGAAAGCAACAATAACAACTTTGAAGCTATTTTGGGCACATCATGCAAAGTCAAAGTCTCTCTGGAAAGACAATGCTAGGGAGAGCTGAAGGCGGAAGATGGATGAACCAACTGTGAGATGATTGCAAAAAGAGTCAAAGACGACATTTTGGAGGGCATTCGGTCATAGGGTTGCTATGAATTGGAGATTACTTGATGGCACATGACAAGTATTGGCCTTAGGGTACTCTTGGATTACAAAGGTTCGGAGGGTTGAAATGGCCAAGGCAAAGCCCCAAATTTATTTTCAGTGCCAGGGTTTAATGATGCTTCATGCAAAGTAAATACGTAGCTAGTACAATTGTTTCTTGGCATCTATGGGGTGGTTTGCTGTCATGCATAGGACAACCGAAGGCAAAGGGTGGGCAAAAACTGCAGTTTATTGTAAAGGAAAACGTTTAGGACAGAGTTGGGCAATTTGGGATGCTCCTTTAGATATCTTGGTCTACAATTTCTTTCGCTCATCTGTAACTATACTGTCAAGGGCTGATGGGAGTTGCAGTCCAAAACATCAGGACTACAAAGCTGAAACTTGCTTAACGGGTCAGACAACTCTGCCCTTGCTTCTGACCGAATCTCGGTTTTCAATTTGTGAGGAGGAAATTTATTTACGTTTTTGTATGCCGTCCCCTTGCTATACAGCCTCGGGAACCAGTGCCTTAAGGCAACAGCAACACTGAACAGTGACTTGGCTTGGAGAGCCGGTGCTTTCGAGGAAGGGCGCCGGTTAGACTTGATCTGATAACACGAAAGCGCATATCGGCCCCGTTTTCCTGCCATGACTCAGCCACGGTTCCCCAGCCCTTCCAGCCTCCGGGACGCCAGTCCTGAGGGCCCCGTCTGCGCTCTGCGCGCCCGTTGCTAGGAGCACGCGGGCGCCACCGCTCCCCCCGCGCCGCGGCGGCTTCCTGCGCGCCTGCGCGGGCCCTCCCTCGCGCGCTGACCGAGGGGCGGGGCGGGGCGGGGCGTTGCCGGGGCGACCGCGCGGCGGCGGTTGGCGGCGGCGGCCATGGACGACGTGCGCGTGCAGTGGGTGGGCGAGCGGCTGCAGGGCGCGCTGGGCGTGCGGGACGCGGCGCCCTTCGAGGAGCTGCTCAACCGCGACGACGGCGAGGAGGCCGAGGCGCTGCTGCACTTCCTCAACCAGGGCGCCAGCGCCGAGGAGGGCGAGCCCGCCGCGCTCTTCTTCCGCCCGGAGCTGCGCCTCGACGAGATCGACATCGAAATCGGTGCCCGCCCCGCCCCGCCCCGCCCCCGTCTCTGCCGCGGGCGCCCCTGAGCGTGCGCAGAGCGCCTCGCAGCACGGCCTGCCCCCGCCCGCTCGTCCTCTTGAGTGGCCACGACCTCGCGCCCGTTTCCTTTGCTCTTGAGGGATGCGTGAGGCAAGGCTAAGGTGCCTCTGAGCGTGTGCAGAATGCTTTGAAGACGGTGCCTTTCTCCTACCTCTGCGGGACACTGAGCCACTCTGGAGTGAGGTTTAGGGGCGCCCGAGGATGTGCAGAGTGCCTCATTCCTCCCCGCTTGCACCGTAGCCGCAGCCTGGCTCCTCTCCCCCCCCCCCTTTCATTCCTGCACACCTGCCTTGAGCGAACTGTGTGTGCAGGTGTGCGGGCTGGATAAGGCTAGAGTGCCTCTGGGCAGGTGCAGAAAGCCCTCCTGGGCTTCCCATTAATGAGCAGTCGCAGCTTTGCACCCTCTTTCCTGCATCCTGTGGTTGGACTATTTTGCACGGTACCTGGTCTCCCTTGCAGGCTGATTAACAGCGCTGGCTCTCTGGGCCTGAGGCAGGAGTTTCTCTCTGCCTTTCCAGGAGATGCCTGGGGTTGAATCTCGGGCTTCTGTGACTCTCCACTGAACTCTTCCTCTAAAGCTTCCTTAGATGTTATGTGATGGATGAAGCACATGTACAGTGTTTCTGTTTCTTGTTGTTTTGTTTGTTTTTGTTGCCCTTTTACAGAGCACCTAGATTCTTCACCACTGAGAAAACAGCAACTTTTTACTCTTCCTCTCCCTTCCTTCATTCTGGTAACTTTCCTCATAGAGAACGTGGAGTAAGGATAGGAGGACTTCTGTTTGTAAAGAGAATCCCTTGCCTACCATGTCACAGAGTAACCACAGCCTTGCGACTTTTCTCCATCCCTGAAATTCATCTTGACTATGCAGAGTAGTGACAACGGAAAAGATCTCTCTGAGTGTTTAGCAATGTGTTCCCACCACTTTAACCACAGCCCCAAGTTCTTTCTCCTTACAGAACTTCTAGGTCAGAATTTATAGTTGTTTCTTCCATGTTGTTAGCACTAGCACCTTATTTGGGAGGCCATGGCTAAAGTTAACCTAGAATTCACAACTGCAGCAAAGGCATTCTGTACATGCTCTGATGTGCCAAACTTTGCATTGTTTCATTCATTCCGTCACTGAACTTTGGCTCTGTAAATGAGTCCCAAGTTTTAAGCCATGCGGCTCTGCCTGTGATCAGAGAGGAGAACCCAACTGATTCTAATACAGCATTCTCTTTTTTCCTTCTTGTTGTTCTGAAACAGATGTTCCATATGATGAAGGTGGTGATGATGAAGATAATCGCTCTGAGAGGCTGGGTGTGGGCTCCTCAACCTCAGTTGTAGAAGGAAGTATGTATCAGAAGCAACTTGGAAAAGCCCTTCCAGTAAATTAGCCTGGCGTTGGGGGATGGCATAGCTAGGCATCCGCTGAGGGTGAACACTGCAGCAGGACCACTGGCAGAAGCCCCCTCGTCTTGTTGCTCATCTTTCCCATTGCTGCCCACTTCTTCTCCTGCTTCTCATTCTGGTGAGAAGGTGGGGCAGTTGATGCCCTTGCCTGCTTGCTCACGAGCTGTCTCCCAGTCAAGCCCGTGAGAAGCATGATGAGGAACAGACCAAGGAACTGTAGCAGTGGGTGACAAAGCAGTGAGAACAGGCAGTGGGTCCTTTGAGGGGGTCTTGCCCAGGGGTCATTCAAAACCCTGCTTCACACAGGAGTAAACTCTTCTAAGTCTATTTATTTATTATTGTGAGCTGCCCCGAGGCTTCGGCGAATGGGGCGGCATAGAAGCCTTCTAAATAAATAAATAAGCCATTGCTGGGCTTTCATGATGACCTAAATCTGCTGCCTTTCATTCTGCCGAGCAGCAGAGCTGGTCCTGAAGTGCATTTACAGGGAAAAGTAGACCCTCAGGATCCTCAGTGCAAAAGTTTGGGTTGCAGTGTCACCAGTACGCATGGACCTGTTACACCTCTCTCTCTTCCACCTTACCTTGGTGGCTGCAGACGTCTTGAACTGGTGTTTAAAGGAAGTGTTCAGTTGGAGGAGGGTGAACAGCTGAAAGTGAACCCACCTGAGGGAGAGGTAACCCACGTGGGCTGGGGGCTACCTAGCACAGAAGGTCATGTGAAATTGGTTCTGGATGGGATCGCCCTCCTTGCTCCCCCCCATGTGCATATCTTGGGGTCGCTCCTTGTCTGAGGAGGCACTGATCATGCCGGCAGCTGCAAGCACCTTTAAGCAGCTTAATTGCTTCCAAGCTTGACTGCTGCAACGCATTTAACATGGGGTTTAAAGACAGGACATTTCAATGAATATGAAAGATCTTGAGAAGGGGCCAGGAAGTCAGAATATGTAATGTCGATTGTGTTGCCATTACACTGGCTGCTAGTGCATTTCCAGGATCAGTGCAAGGTCCATGGGGAAATTGTGAATGGTTGTTCTTAGCATAGGTTGCGTGCATTACACCCCCAATTGCATTGGTTCATTACGTTGGATATGTACCTTTTTTAGAGAGAGAACAGAAAAGCAAAGGATCTTTGACTGAAGGTGGCGAAAAACCTGTGCCTGACCATTCTGTAGCCTCCTTTGGGGAAGGTGTGACTGATATAGAGCGTGAGCTGGGCATGCAGGATCCCAGAGGCCGATTTTATAAAGTAAGTCCGTTTTTCTTCAGTGCTCATCTGGATTTGCAGTAAGCCAGATATACGTGCTGCATGTGGGTTGTGAAGCTTAAGGCAAACAAGCCCTGCCAGTATTGTATCAAAATTATGCAGACTTGAAGATGCAGAACTAAAAACAATGTATACCATCATGAACCTCTTCCTTTTGTTAGTGTATCCTATGCTTCTTTTTAATCTTTTCTTTGTATACTGTCAATACTGAAGCTCACTTTTCCTTTTTTTCTGCCCCACACTCACCTATTTTTAAAAAAATCGAGGTTAATTCTTTTCTTAATTTTATTAAAGAATTACACCATTTTGTTTTTAATAAGAGGCTGCTTCCTCAAGGTGCACGAACTGTTGCAGTCTGAATTTTAAATAAATGCACAGAGTTGCGAAATGCAACACTCCCTCCTGATGTGTTCCAGAGGAGACTCAAATGTCTCGCTAAGGGATCATGAGTCCTAATGGGCTGGGCCAGTGTCCTTGCCTGAAGGGGTGTTCCTCACTCTCCTTGCTCATGAGCTACCACTTAAGGCCAAGCCCAGGAGGAAACACTCAAAAACAAAGGTGCAAGATGGATTTTGGGAATCCTATTCTGACATTTCACTTTGGATAAGTTGGACAGATAGCTCCTATTAGCCCTGTTTTCAGGCCTGCTTGCTAAGCAGCCTGGCGAGGCACCTGCAGGACCTGGCTCCAGGTGTATCTCATACTCATTGGATGATTCTAGAGCCTGGTTTACCACATGGACTATGTTCTGTGTGGATGAAGATTATATTATAGGTAATCCATTTGGAAAAAGAGCTACAAATAATCATGCCCTCTGCTTCTTTCTAAGCTTGTTTGTTTGTCCCTGTCCATTTCAGAAAATCGTAAAGCAGGAAGTGTATAACATGTATTATCACATGGCTATGGATGACATTCCAGAAGACTTTATGGAAAGTGAGACTGTGTTTTTTCTCAGAGACACTTCAGGTATTTTATTAGGATGCCTTATGACGTAATGTTTTAGCTGAAAAGAAACTGAAGCTAAGAGGGGACCTGGTTATTTTGATGGGGGCCTTCGGATAGCCACTGAGGGCCTGACATCCCACCCTGTGAAATGTGCTGACTCCATTGTTCTCAGTGCAGGGATTTTGAGATTTAAGTATCTCAAAAACCTTCAAAAAAAATGATGGGCAAGACTTTGCGTGGACATGGACGGTCAGAAAGTTTTGTGTTGCGGATGAAGCACAATTAGTTCATCCTGCACTGCTCGTTCACTGTTTAGTTCGACAGCCCTAGTTGAGGAATAGGCAGCTGCTCTAGGTTGCTGGGGCATGAGTGGGAGCATGCAAGGGCGCCATCTCTGGTATGCTTCCATTTTTATTTTACAGCCTAAGATTGACCCAGTGACATTAATACAGGAGATTAAATACTTCTGTCTTTGTTGTGTTTCTCTTTTGACTTCTTGGAAACAATCAAGGTTCTTTACAAAAATTCTGAAGACAATAATAATTGATGGATACCTACAATGTTTGAAGCAACCTTTAAACCAGTAGCATTTTTAAAAGCCCGATTAAAAAGATACCTTCACCCATTCCTGAACGCAGACAGAATGGAGACCAATCGTAACTCTGAAAGTAGTGCATTCCAGAGTCTGGGTGCAACAGACAAGGAAGCCCTCATCTTGTATGGTTCTCCTAATTGCAGAGTACAGCTCTTAGGCACATCTGCTTTGACTGAATGGTCCCCCACATCACAAGTACAGAATGCCAGGAGTGCAGAGAGTGAAAGAGAGCATTCAAATATGCAGGCTCCAGACTGGTTCTTTGAAGTGCTAGAGTCCCAGAAGAGATGCAGCACATGAATTCCTGAACAACCTGTTAATCAAGAGCGTTGGATTGAAGTCCCTCCTTAAAACAAATTGCTACCTTCTTTTGCTACCTAGAAACCATTTTCGAACCCAATGACCTGATCGAAGCAAATGATGTTCTGCCAGATGTGCTGGAGTATGGGATGCTGAGTAGTAACACCCTGTTGATGCTCAAGCAGCTGTTTGCACTGGTGAGAGAGATCTGATTGTTTTTGAAATAACATCTCTTAAAAAAATCTCAAAATTCAGTTATATTGAGACTACAGACATTCCCAGCAGAACTGAATAATTCTGACAGAAAGTGTTTCTGATGTCAAAAAAACAGGAGGTATCATTAGTATGTTCAAAAGAACGAGTAGCTGGGTAAAAATATGACCGTTCTCTATTCATGAGGTGAGAAATGACAGCTTTGGAGGAAATAGCAGATTTAACCATGTAACATAAACATCTAATTCAAGTGCCACAAGAATAGGATTGAGCATTTCTTTTTAGAGGTAGTTCTGAATTCTTAGCAGCATATTATGCCAAGCAGCCATGGGGAGGCTTGAGTGTGATGCCAAGGCAAAGATTTACAAATAATTAAAATTTTATTTATTTGAAAATGTCAGAGTTTACATGACATACAAACTCTACAGGCTCAATAAGGGATGAAAAGAGCATATGAAGAACACCAGCTTCTTCACTTCCTGGCTTGTGATGCTTGATCAGTGGGGATGCCACCTTAATTGGTTCAACCCATCTCTAAAGGTGGTGACAAGCATATTTTAACTGGATGCAGGCAATACAATAACCCACAATCAAGGGTTATTGTTGAGATTACCGGTCCAATCTTGCTGCCTGAAGCCAGCTGTCTTGGTTTGCTAACTGTGAACGATCCAATGCGTTTTTGGCTTGTGAACTGTGGGTTGATTTCTCATCTTGGCTGTGTATACCCAGCACAATAACCCATGGATCATTCTGGGTAAAACGTTCCTCTCTTCTCTCAATAATGCCGTATGTGCCCTAAGAAGGCATCCTTGGGCTGCTATTCTGTACCCTCTCCCCCCCCCCCCCCCCACCGGGAGAAAGCTCCACTGAACATAGTTGGGCTTACTTTTAAGTAAATATTCATAGCATTGTGTCCATTACCCTTTTTCTCTAGCGGCCAGTAGGTCTCGAGAAAAACAGAAATAGCCATTTGAAATATCCAACACTGAAATACTGAGCACTTGGGCCAGCAAGGGAAAAAGTCAATTTGCTCCTTTTCAAGGTGACAACAGTTGTAATGGGATCCACACGTGTGGGTTTTCGTTCTTCTTCTTGAATTTTTGCCTTTAACAGTTGGATGCCTGTAAAGGTGTGGAAAGAGTCCAAGGCATTTACCCTTTACATTTGATACTGAAGCAAAAAGAAAGTGGTTGAAATAACCCTTGTCTTTTCAGGTCTTTCTGCCGGCAATGTGCCATAACCAATATAATGCAGATTACCCAGAACTCGAAACGTCAGAGGGTGACAATCCACAGCCTTCCGTAAAGATGAAGAAGTTAGTAGCATTAGACAGCTTTCAGACCATGAGGAATGAGTTCTTGATGAATATGCAGAAGTTTCTAAGCCACATTCAGAGAACCATTCAGCAGATTGAAGGTAAATCCCAGATTGATCTCAGGTTATCATCATCATCATCATCAGGCTCTCTAGGAGGTTGACAGAAGTTAACATGTCCCCCTTTGGGGAAACATTCTTGCTGCTTTCATCATGAGTGAGAACATTTGACTAGTCCAAGGCTTTCTCTAGCCTCATCGCTAGTTTTGCTTTGAAAATAGGAGAGGAGGCTTCCTTTTTTGCTGTTCTTCCTTCGGGCAGATGTTTCGTGCACCTGTTTTCCCCAAGCAGTTTTACCAGGTTTATTTTCATTAGGAAAGAGGTAACTGGAAAACTTTTGGTGTTTGCAGTATTTGCCATGGGGTAACTATGAAAAGAAAAAATTGAGGGAAGATACCTAAGACCTCTTTTTGTAAGGACCTCAATAAAAAGTGTCACAGAGTAATAATAAATGGCAACACTTTCATTCTACAGGAGAAATAAAGTTAGCAATGCCAACCATATGCTTGGAAGGCGACGTGAACGACCTTGCCAATGATCGGGATGTGGTCGAGACACTGGAAACACAAGTAAATAATTGGATCATGTTGATATCCTCAGTGGATGAAGGACTGCTGAGAAAGGTCCCCCAGGTAATCCTGCGGGAACAACTTGTATTGTGTGATATGTTACCATAATAATCTCTTCATTTACAAATGCAGAAACTGAGCAGACCTTTCAAGAGGACAGAAGCAAGCACACAGTAGTGTCTTCTTCAAAGTCATACCAGCAACCTCAAAATCCCAAAATTGTGTCTGACAGCCAGAAACTTTCAGTCACTCTGGCTGCCAAGGTCATACGGTTTTCACATCTCTTTGCTGCTGCCAAAGCTCAGGTCAACGAAATGTATTTTTTCCTTCATTCTACCCTGGAAATAAAATCAAATTTATTTTATGAAACTTCTTATAGGAAGAGATATTCAGAAATCTAGGCCCAAAATGGCTTGGGGCTAGTTCACTTGCCATCTTTTCCGGACTGAACATAAAATCTCTGTGATTCCCCTGCTCTTGGATACATTCAAATGTTGGGAAAGCCCTGCTGGATCCAACCATCTAATCCAGCAACTGGGCTCTCACAGTAGCCAGAAAGATGCCTCCTGGGAGGGCATGGAAGGCCTTCTCTCGTGGCCTGTTCCAGCAGTGGCCAACAGAGTAACAAGACAAACGCAGGTTATGGTGATGTCAATTCAGAATAATAATTTCTAAAGCCTCTGCACTAACAAAATGCACTGGAACAGCTACAACCCACTCAGGCAGTGCAGATAATACCTGTTCAAAGTAAAAAATGTGAACATTAGCAGTTTCTAAAAGCCTGAGAAAAGAGACGTGTTTGTGCCTGACGCCTAAATTATAGTATGTTTTAAATCTGGGCACCTTGGTATTTGAGGGATAAGTCGCTGAGCAAATCTTCTGTCCCATTTCCCCTCTTCCTATCTTCTTTTTAATATTGATAGCACTGTAAAGTGTGAATATTGTGGCAGTTCCATTCTTATGAAATTCCCCGCCTCTATTGGTCAGGCAGGTTCTGGCACTGTCATTTTTAGTGCGTGCGGAAAATGTCGCTGTTTCAGAAAGCCTTCCTTACAAATACAAATGCAAACGCTGGCAATAAATAAAGTCTCTATTCTTGCTTGGTTATATGCTGGCACTGAATTGGAGTCTCCTCCAGTGGACGCATAACAGCATGTATAGGTTGGCATGGTTCTGTCTGTGCAGTAAGGTAAGTCAGCCATTTCAGTATTACCTCCATCCACAGATTCAGCATTTGTTTACCTGGCAATTTACCTGACCCTGATGAGGGAAAACTCGACCGGGTATTTGCTGTATGTCCCATGGAGGAGAGCATCCAAACGGGCCACAAAAAGAGCTGTCGTTTCTGGCCTCCTTTTGGCAAGGAGGTGCACTTTGCATCCCAAGTTAGGAGAGGAGGAAGACGATTGTTTTTTCAAGGCTCTGATCATGTCCTTCCAGTACCGATATTTTAACCCCCCCCCCCAGAGCACTTCAGCCTTTTCTTGTAGCGAGGTTGTAGTATTTATTTATTTGAAACATTTCTATCCCATCCTTTGCATAGCCTCAGGATGGGTTACGGCAATTAAATAATTATATAAAATACAGTTAAAATATTCAATAATAAACATTAAAACATTTGATGATAATGGTTCAGGATTAAAAGAAGGACTTCTATCAAACTTGGGACTCTTTTTATTATTGCCTAGATAAATGGGACTTTGTATAGATTTACGTATGTTTATAAGTTATCATAAATAGAAGGAAAAGATTTGGGGGCTGACCCAGCAGACCTGAAGTTTTTGATGATGGATGTTGTTTTTAGTTTTTTTTTTTTAGTTTTTTAGGATTATAATTTCAAATAAAACTTATTTTAAAAAAGGGAAAGAAAGAAAGGAAAAGAAGAAAATGTGACTATAAAATGTTATTAATTTCTTATTAAAATTATTAATTTAATTATTAAAATGATGGGTAAATAAAAAGGTCTTTACCTGGCGCCGGAAAGAGTAAAGAGTCAGCACCAGGTGGACCTCTCCGGGGAGCGCATTCCATAGTCTTCAGTAAGCACATATATGTTATACCACATAACAGCAAGCGTTTGCAGCTGCACTTCCTACTCCCTTTTCCAGGACTTTTTCCTTTTCTAAAATGGATTTGGCGTGACCCCATCTGAGCTTGTTCTATATCAGGTGCTCCAGAATCCTCCCAGTTGTATATTGGCTGCCGGACACAAGACTGCTAAAACAGGTGCCCGGGAAGAAAACCGAGAGCATCCTGAGAGGGGGTTGCGCATCCACATTCCTGGTCTCCTTTCCCTCAGGGAAACAGCCCGCTAGCCGAGATTGACCTCTGGCGTGAGAGGAACGCAGCGCTGAGCGCCCTCACTGAGCAGATCAAGCTGCCCTTATTCAAGAAGGTCCTGCAGGTGCTTGACACTGCCAACATCGGCATCGTGGAAAACCTGCAGATCGTCCTAAACGAGCTCTGCAAGCACCACGTGGAGGCAGTGGACAACGTGAGGTTCCTTTCGACTCTTGAACGACACCTGAAGGTATGTCTTCATCAGCCGGAAATCCCCCAAAGGCAGGGGCGTGAGGAGACACCTCCTTCCTGAGGAGACACAACAAAGAGTCTTAAAAGTAACCAAGTTATTCTGACATGGTTGGAAGATGCAGTGGGCTGTAGTCCAACTAAAGCTAATACAGAATAAACGTGTTACCCTTAAGGTAGCCTTTCTTGTTTTTGCTGCAAAAGGCTTATACGGCTAGTTTCTGAACATCTCTCTGTGCAGCTTGGATATGTTTGTTTATTTAGTTCAGTAGGAGTTGTTCAAGCCAGTCCTCATCTTCTGGAGACCCTGAGTAGCACCCCCTTCCCCATGTACTCCCCACCCCTCTGCCTTCCTTTCCTTTGAACTGTACATCTGTTTTAGATGGTCATGGAAATGTGCACCTTGCTTTCTCACACTGGCCTTTATTTGAAGCACGCCTTTGCTTTCCCCTGCAAAGAACTTAACCCATGGCACCAGCTTCAGCGTCGTCTTGGATACAGTTCCCTCGCTGATGAATGCCTTGAGAATGGTGTGGATAATTTCGCGGCATTACAACAAGGATGAGCGGATGATCCCCCTCATGGAGCGGATTGCCTGGGAGATCTCAGCAAGGGTCTGCAAGGCCGTGGATCTGCGGACTTTGTTCAAGTACGTGACGCTTCTTCGTCTGAACTTGGGCTATAGGTTTTATCTGTTCCCCCCTCAAGTATGAATTCCCCCCCTTTCCTGATATACATTAGCCATCATTACATCTGCACTGATAGCATTCGTGTTTGGAGTGTAACGTGCTTTTCTCTCCTGTTCCAAAGACTGGACTTGCTAAATGCCTGAGTCCACTGGTGACGCCCCTGATCCCAAGCGCATTTGGGTCTTCTTTCATTTTGGCAAACGTTTGCTCTGCTCTGCTTTATGGACTCTCAGGGAAGACAGGCAGCTTGCAAAAATGAAGATGACGGATGCCAAACGTACTCTCCAGATTTGGAAGGAGTCTTACTTTGACATCCGTGCCAAAATCGAAGCTTCGGGAAGAGACGCTCGATGGGAGTTTGACAGGAAACGTTTGTTTGAAAAAACAGATTATATGGCTACAATCTGTCAAGACCTCTATTCTGTATTGCAGGTAAGGGTATGTTTGGTTTGCAGAAGAAAAGAATATGAGTTGACATAGTTTGTTGAGGCCCTGCTTCAGGGATTCCTAAAGTGTGATGTAGTTCCCAGGTAGCCAATTTTATTTAATGTCGCAGCAACACCATTCATATCAATGAAATAAATAAGAAAAACAGTACACTGAGACTCAGTCTACCCACTCTGAGATGGCAGAACGTCCAGAGACGTCTGGGACTTCCACTGGGAGGGAGGCACATTGGAGACTTGGCCTGCCCCCCCCCCCCGATAAACAGAGTTGCCCCATGCTCTTAGAACAAGGCTGGGCAATTTGTGGCCCTCCAAATGTTTTAGCCTACAGCTCCCCATCATCCCTCACCATTGTCTGTGATAGCTATGGCTGGTGGGAGCTTTAGGCCAAAATATCGAGAGAGCCCCAAGTTGTCTGCCCCATTTTTAGAATCCCAGGTGTTTTCTTTTCCCTTCCTGGTTGGATTAGAGCACAATAGTGTGCAAGAAAGAGGGTCTACAACCATTTCGTGCCCCAGCCAGCAGAGTGTAATGGGTGGAGTCATGCTGGGAGCTGCAGTGAAAAACTGCAAAGATTTTTCCTCGTCTAGTTAGGTGGGGAAGGCAGTTTTGTCAGCTGCTGCGTGCGTGACATCGGTGCCGCTTTATTTCTCGCCTGCATCCTCCAGCTGCTCTGGGATTGCTTTTCTTCCTTCCTGGAATGAAGCCGCTAAAATTAACGTCTACCTGCACTACAACAGGTAATGGAGGAGTTTAACAACATCTTTGGTCCTGAATTGAAAGCTGTCACTGGGGATCCAAAGCGCATTGATGAAGTTTTACGAAGAGTTGATGGCCTCGTCAGCCCGATGGAGGTTCTTTCTTTTGAGCCTTTCAACATCAGATGTGCAACTCAGTGGAAGTTGGTTATGGAAGAGTTTAAGTTGGAGGTTGCGGTAAGAAGCAGAGACTTTGATTTCCTCTTTCTCTAGCTGTTCCTTAGACTCTCCTCTGCCTCCCTGTGAGAACTCCTGAACTTTAAAGGCCTTACATAGAAGCTGCATTTGGTCTTGTGATGTGAAAGGGCAGCTCACATTTGAAATGACCTTGTGGATTTTATTGTGTCAGTCACACCTCCTCTGCTTGTTATCCGGGAAAGGGAATGGTCTGGTATTTTTTTAGGCGTTAACTTGCCTTGGTTAATTTTTAGGATATCGAAAAAGAAGCAAAGAGCTTCATTGATGAATCTTTTAAGACGCTTCGTTCGGCAGAAGCCGCTTTTGATATGCTCTTGAATTTCAAGCACATCCGTTCTCGAGAGGCCATCAACAAGCAGATGATGATGAAGTTCAATGATATCCTGGTGCAATATTGCAAAGAGGTAGGGCAGAGCTGTGGCTTAGCGTCCAAATGCAGACTTGATATGCAGGAAGGCCTGGGTTTGATCCCCGGCACCTCCAGGTAGGCCTGAGAAAGGATCATGCACGAAACCCAGAAGAGCAGCTGCCAGTCAGTGGTCCAGTTTGCCCATAATGAGAAGCCACAGGGGTTAGTGTTCCTGTAGCTCATCTTGTGGTAAAAGTGCTTGCCATGGCGGGCATTTGGCATGAGGTGTGTGTGTGTGTGTGTTGTGGGTTTTCATTGTATGGTGCAATAGCACCCACCCCACCGTCTTAACCTAAGACTTCAGGGGCCAGTCACCTCTTTCCTATCATTGCCCCATGTTGCTTTCTCTTGCTGCATCGGTTAGCTGTGCTGCTTGCCGCAGCGGTGAGGCTGGCCCTGCAGGCACCCTCAGAATGAGACTAGCGTTCCCATTGCCTAGGGTCCAGGTGCTGGAACGGGGAGGCTGGGGGCTCACAGCAGCCAGCCTCGTCACCCTCCTTCAAGTACCACCAGTGCCCATGTGCCACTGCCAACCCAGCAGCTTGAGCTCCGTGCTGCAAGAGCTCCTCGGTCTGAGCAGCTGGTCTTTGCTTGGCGGTCACTGATTTCTCACCTTGATCTCGACCCCTGCTTAACTTCGACCACCCCACTGTCCCTTGTTCTCCTGATCTTTCTTGGCTGGTTTAGAGTGGGCCCCCTGCTTCTGACCCCCTTGAACTGGCAGCCTCCTCCCTCAGGTCCCAGAACTGCCCACCTTATGTCCTCCATTGAGAACTGATCTGAAACCTTGAAGATCTAGCTGATAGCAGAGAACTGAAGTAATGTAGCTAGGGAGAGCCTATGGATGATTTTGTTTGTCTGCCTTACTCCAAGGTTGACATCGTTAACAACATCTTTACCAGTAATCTCAACAGCCCACCGTTGTGTAAGAATCATCCTCCAGCAGCAGGAGCAATTTATTGGGCACGGTCTCTTTTCTACCGTATCAAGCATACCATTGTTCGATTTCAAGAAGTAGAGGAACTGTTGTCTAGTGAGCATGGAAAAGAGGTGAGCTCGTGTTGCATGACTAGCCAATCAGAGATCTGTGACTTTTGCAGTTGGGAAGGCTGGAATATTCTAGGGTCATTTTTGAGGATGGGCAGTTGTTGAATAATTTGACTAGTTTTAAGAATTGCTTTGTAAGTTGCATTGGACTGAGGATCAGGAGATAAGGTTTTCACAGGGCAATGCCGTCACTGAGTCACTTTAGTTTCAGGTCAGTCCGATTTCGCTTAGCGCCAAGTTCACATGTATCAGGCTGCAGGCTTAAATAACCAAGCAACTGAAAGAGCAAGTGCTCTAGTTTTCATTCATGGCTTTCAGGTGAAACAAAAATACCTTGAAGTGGCAAAGAGGATGAAAGAATATGAAGATATGAAGTATGACCAGTGGAGAGAAAACACAGAAGAGAAACTCCCCATCTTACTGAAAAAGACCCTTCTTGCAAAAGTTCATCCTTCTGGGGCTGTAATTCAAGCTAACCTAGAGTCCCTGGAGCAGGTAATTACGAAGTTTTTTTTTTTTATTTTGGTAGCTCATCATACATGCTTGGGAAGACACCAACAATGCGGAACAGTTTAAGTTCCATAACTTTCTGTATCCTTTTATAGCGACACTTCTTTCCTTCTATGCTTTTTGCTTTGACACACTTTGCTTCTCCCTGTTGTGGTTTGTCTCCTGGGATTTAGACCCCACGATCTGATGAGCCGGACGTTGTAGAGAAGATGATGTCCTTCACAGTCAACTTTTCTCCCATGCTTCGAGAAATTATCAATGAAACAAAGTACATGGAACACCTGGGGTTTCCTATACCTGAAATAGCAAGGAATGTGGCACTACAGGAAGATAAGCTGCTTCGGTAAGAATCCCATGGAAACTTGCTCTTGTCTGGGTGGATGACAAGAAGGAAGCGGTTGGTGCCCCATCAGTGTGGGAGCATTTTCTGGTCCAAGTGACTCCTCCCACTTGTGCTGATACAACTGTGCAGGTTAGATGATTTTGCCCCTTCAAGCAGCAAGAGAACCCTCTCAGTTCTATTCCCAACTGCTCTGAGCTGACTGAACTTGAGCTTTCACCACAGTTGTTTTTTCAGCTTGCCACCTACCCATTCAAGGTCTGGTTGGCCAGGAAAGGCGTTTTTGGGATTTCCAGTTTTCCATTCTTTGAAGGGAATAAAAATGACAGCTTTTACCTGTCACCTGAGTAGAATGTGGCCAAGTGGTGGGCACAGAACCACTGAGGAGATTGTAAAGGCACGACCAATTCCTGCACTGCCTCTGCTAAGGAAAATTGGAGGGAGAGCCTGTTTAGAACTCCCTCAGTGGGACTTGACGCGGTGGTGTGGACTGCATGTGATTTAGTGTCTTTGGAGCTACATAAATGTTGTGAAGTTGGACATTTTGAAATTCTTTTTCTTGCCCATGGTAATCTCAGAACTAGGTATGTAGGGTGGGGTGTGGGGGGAGGCATTCTCCTGCCATTGAAAGGGGCATGCGGGACTGCTTAAAATGAATTCTTTCTCCTCTCTCTCTCTCTCTAGATATACTGATAACATAAAACAGATCCTGGAACAATATCAAAAATTAATAGCAACACTGAATGAGGCAGAGATACAGCTCCTGGAGGAACATATGCAAGACATCTGGCGAGTTTTCCGATCTGGTCACAAGAGGCTCAACTGGAACTCCTTAGGTAAAACATCTTATATTATAAAAGAGCTAGAAGGTAACAATGTTCAAGTTTCCTTGCACTAATCTCTGTATTTCATGCACAGGTGCTGTTCCTTCTCCCAAAATTTGACACATGCTTTTTTTGGGGAGTGGGGCTCCTGTTCTTAATTAACGCTGAATTTTCTTAATCATACTCTTTACACTTATACAGTCACTCCTACCCATAAAGATGATATTTAGTGCCAAAACAATAAGGCTATAGCCTTGGGTTTAGATCAGTACGTTAGGAGAGGTCAGGGATCATAAAGTTTGGGTTCTGTAGAAAAAATGCTAACAAATGGGTGCAGTTGTATAATTTTTGAGGACTGAAGTGTAAAAAATGCTCTGATTATGAAGGAGTAGTGAGTCAACGATGCGTCTTTTCCAGTCTAAGATAAGTGGGTTTTGTGCCTATGATGTTACACTCCAGTCCAGAAAATCACTCAAAGCTCATAGAAGGAGACAATGTGAGATTTTCCTCTAGTGGCATTTGGGTTTTGCCTGGGATAGAAATAGAAAATAATCAAAGAAATTGCGCACAGACCAAGTCACAATTCTCTAGGGTGAGCGTTGATTACTCTGAGGTCCTCCTCCATTCAAAGCGGAGGCGAGTGGTAACCAGAGAGGGCCTGTCCTGTAGCCGCCCACTCTTTGCGAAACACGCTGCAAGGAGATTTTCACGTGGGACCTTGCAGTCTTTCCAAGCAGCCTGCGTCAGCATGGGGCCCTCCTGACATACCAGACCAGCTTCCCCACTCATCCCAACCGGCATTGCCAATGATCAGGAATGCTGGGCGCTGCCATGGAACACTCCAGGGGAACATCACTGTGGGAAGGCTGTTTCAGCCACTGTTTCTCCGTGATTTAGGCTGAGAATCACCTCTTATGTGTTTTTACTGCCCTTGATGGTATTAATTTTCACTGAATGGATTGGATTGCTACCATCGTTATCAGCTTTGGTCTTTTCCTTTCTTTTTTTAATGTCATAAGCTGCCTGGTGAACCTGCAAGTGGCAAAGGGTGGGGTCGTGTGTGTGCGGGAGAGCGGGAGAAGTCAGAGAAAAAATAATGACTTGGGACTCCCTTGTTTCAAAGGTATTGCTGACTACATTTTACGGTGTAGCCAAGCCATTGGGAAATTTGAATCGCTTATTCATCAGGTTCACAAGAATGCAGAAGACATGTCCAATAAACTTTCATTAATCGAATCAACCAATCTGTTCAAAAGCCCATCTTCTAAAGGTGACGATTATCTGCCTGGTACGTCTCTCCATTTTTGTAGATTTCTAAGTCACATAACATCGTTTTGCTGTTGTTGCATGCTACCAAGTTGTCTCCCAATTCATGGCAATCCTATGAATGAATGTCCTTTGACGTGTCTTGCCTTGCCTAGCCCTTGTAGACTCTGCGTTTATCAAGGGTTGGGTTTTCTCTGCCACTGAACTCTTTTAGATCAGGCCTGAGGCCTATCTAGTTCAGTATATATTTGAGCGCTGGAAGATACCACTGCCCTCTGCTTTCTAGGAATGGATCTTAGATTGTTCCAGTGAGTGGGAAGATCCCGAAGAACATTTTCTAATCATCTTGGTGCAACCATCACTCCTTGAAGCGAAATCAGCTACCACAGAAAAAGGCATTGGCTCTGTAACAGCCAGATATAACACCGAAGGGGGAAGAGCTTCTGGAAAGATTCCCCTGCTAGTTATAAAAGTCTGCCAGTTTCTCAGGGGCAGTGCTGGGCATATCTAGTCTTTCTTCAGAATTGCTCTCCGTGGTACTGAAAGGAGACCCAACAGCCCCTGGCTTGTGTGTACTGTACTGGCCATGGTCCTGAAACTGCTCTGTCCTTGTTCTGTTCTATTAGCTGCTTCCTGTTGGGCTGTCTCACCTGAGCCACCATCTTGAGCAGGAGAGGGACTTCTCAAAGGAGCATTGGCAACTCGCAAAAGATTTTCCTAGCCTGCGTGGGGCTGGCGGAGGATCAGTGTAGAGCTGCTGAGCATGGGAGGAGGAGCTTACATCCCTCCTCTAGCAGCTGCTTGCTTTCATTGCTGGGCTCAGAAGAGGGGCAGAATGCACCATCTCTCTTCTGCTCGGTGGCTTCCTCTCCTGCATGCGGTCCCTGGGCACCTGTAGCTTCCAGGGTAGTGTTTAAATAAAAATCTAGGCTGCAACCATCCTGAAATGGGGGCTTTTCAGAGCTGTCTGGAGTTTTATTGGTAGTATGCAAGTGTGACAACCTTTATCATTCCTACCTTCCTATGCTATAAAATGTTAGAGGATTAGTTTCAGAGCAAATCTACTCCTGGGTCCTTTTCATTCTTTGCAGGTTGCAGAAAATGTCTTTCCCCCCTTTCCTCCACCCTGAAATCTCTTCATCTAGCACAGAAAGATGCCTTTATCCTCAAAACATGAATCCTCTTGATTCTAATTCTGTTCTTCTGCTCCTTGGAAACTGTAAGGCAGGCTTCTTCAAGCTGTACTGCCAGCATGTTGACAGGAACAACCAATACGGGGGTTATTTCTTTTTTAAAAGGGGAACCATGTTGCTTTTACTTCCTTTCGCTGTAAACAGTCCAGGTATTATTAAAACACTTTTAAGTGGTTTTTAAAACAATAGCTACTGCCCTTATGAATGTTGCTAATGTCTGAAAGATTAATGGTGTTGAAAGGATTCCAAGGGCTCCTCCAGAGGTCTCTGCTCACATGTTGTGTGAGTGGGCCTGATGTGCTGACTGTGATTTTGAAGCAGCTTACCTTCTATGGGTTCACATGAATTTATTTTTTTCATAATCAAAGTACAGTGGCTTATTTCATATACTTGCTTGCAACTGATATGCTCTTTATCTATCTGGATAGGAGTGAAAGAATACTTTGAGTATATTAAGCACGAAAGGGCCAGGGATGCTGAACACATGGCTCGCAAGTACACTTCCATTGGCCCACTGCTGACGAAAATGGAGGGGCTGGTTATGAACACGAACACTGGCAGGGCTGCCAGGCTGGTTCCTTATTATGCCTTTTGGGAAAAGAAAGTTTACCAGAGCTTGACAAACCTAGTCCTGAAGTAAGTCCGCTCAAAGATCCCTTTCTTTTTATTATTATTATTATTATTTTGATTTATATCCTGCCCTTTTCCTACAAAGGGCTCAAGGCAGCTTACATTATCTCTCCTCCTCCATCTTATCCCCACAACAACAACCCTGTGAGGTAGGTTGGGCTGAGAGTCTGTGACTGGCCCAAAGTCACCCAGTTGGCTCCATGGCCGAGTGGGGACTCGAACCCAGATCCTCTGAGTCCCAGTCCCATGCTCTTAACCACTACACCACACTGGCTATTCTGTTGTTTGTTGGGTTGTTTGCTCTTGGGGGGCAAACGTGTTTTGTCATTTCCCCTTGTAGAAATTTACAGAATTTCAATGCCGCAGTGGTGGGGAATAGGCCACTGTTTCAAGCCGAAACCATCTTGTCTGCTCCTGAAATCATCCTCCAGCCAAACAGCGTGGACATTGAAAAAATGTGTGTGCACTGCATTCGTGATTGTGTGGAAATTACCAAGGTGAGGATTCCGAGTTTGCCTGGGCCAAGATCTGTGTGAGTGTCTGTTGCCTTGATTTATGTACAGATAAAGTGGATTCTGATGAAGAAGAAGATGCCTGTAGTGATTCAGAGTTATGGGAAAAGATGGAACTGAAGATCGGGCCACCAATATTCTTGCAATCTAAATAAGCATACATGCCTGTCTCAAGCAGGTACAGATTTTTAGATCACAAGAAGACATGTCCGTTAAAAGTGGCATATAAGTACTTCTAAAAAATACATGAATACCCTGGTTTTTTGCCCCATGTATAATGATACATATGGTGTCTCTTAATACATGAAACATTCAATAAATGAATGGCCCATTGTTCAAATCAGCACCACCAAAGGGCACATTAAGACTGCTTTTTGTTGGAGTTGAACTGAACTGAACCAGAATACCATGAAGGAGTTGCTGGAAACTGAGTCAGAATCAAGAGGAGGAACAGAAAGGATGGCCAGTTTGATCGAGAGAGGAGGCAGCAAGAAAGTAGCAGAGCTTTGGGTCCCGGGGCAGTGGCAGAGGGAAGGACAAAAGAATGGAGGCATGGCAGGTGCCCGCGTGCCAAGTCAGAACTGAACGGGATGTGCTGCAAGAGCAGCAAGTTCTAGCGTAGTTCAGGAGGAGCAGACGCAGCAACGGGGAGTTTGGGGGACCTGGCAAAAGGCTTTCCTCCCTCCTCCTCTTGCTCTGCGTGAACCTCTGGTGCAGCTGTGTCTGCTTTCAGTGCCAGCTGCCCATTGGCCAAGGCGAGTGCCGCAATGCCAGGCCCAGCGAGACTTTCCCATCCTCTCTCCGTCTCCCATGTAGTTATTTGTTCGCTGGATGCATGGCACCTGCATCGACTGCCCGCCACAGCAGACTGGGGACGATGAGCCCGTCATCTTTAGCTTTTACAGCGATATCTCCCAGAATCCTTTAATCATCGAGCAGGCCATCCTCATAACTCAGAACATGCACAAACTTCTGGGCAACCTGACAAAGTACTTGAACCGATGGAAAAGGTATCGGCCGCTGTGGAAGCTTGACAAGGCCATTGTGATGGAGAAGTTTGCTGCCAAGAAGCCGCCCTGCGTCGTCTTTGACGACAAGCTGCAGTTCTACACAAAGGTGGCTCAAGAAGTGATGCAGCAGCCCATGCACAAAGATGAGCAGTGCATCCGCCTTCTGCTCGGGCCTTTGGCTTACACAGTGCAGGAAAATGCCAGAGGCTGGGTGAATTCCCTGGGGAAGCTGCTCAACGATTCAGCGAAAGAGGCACTTTACAGTCTCCAGGAAAACATCGAGGTAGGACTTACTTCCCTCTGAGGATAGGTGTTGAGAGTGTGCTTTTCCATCCTACAGCCCAGTTTTCAGTCCTACAGAGTGGGATGTCCTGAAATGATGCATGGGGGATGCTGGGAGTCGTAGGACCTCCCACTAGGTTTGCATAGGAATGTGCCTTTAATTTCTTAAGCAGGTGGAGCATGGATCCCCCTCCCCCGCCATTTCTGTATGAAACAAGCCCATATTTTGCAATCTGAAGGCTATTTATTTGTGTATTTTTACATAAGGTTTCAAGGTCCTGATGATCTAATAAATCACAAACAATTGATCACTTAACTAACACTATGGATTAGTGAGAATGTTTCCAGGTAAATGATTCTCTGTGGAATTACTTAAAACAATGATTTGCACTTTCCAGAGACTATCTCATAACCTCAAGACAACTCCCAGTACCTTGGAAGATCTTAAATTTATCCTGGGCACAATTGCTGAAATCAAGGATATGTCTTTAGAAGTGGAACTCCAATACCTAGATATTCAGGAGAGATACCGTACCCTTGCAATGTATGACTTCCCTGTAAGTGGAATTTTATTGAACACAGTCCAACATAATATTTTTGTTAATTAAGTGCAGCGGAACCCCAAGGAATCCGTGCCCTAGGAGACTTTTCCTTATCATAGTGAGCAAGGTTTCTGTGCTCTTTGAAAGGCAGCCACAGATCTAAGAAGTTGCACTAGAAACGAGGTGATTTGTCCAGTTCTTGGTTTATTCACAACACGCCTCATGCGTCACCCAAACAAGACTTGCAGAGACATTTACAGCGATTAATTGGGAGGCCACCCCTGTTCTCAGACTTATAGTCTAAAAGACGTAACACAAAAGGAAAAGGGAGGCAGGGAAGAAGAAGAAAGCAAAGCAGACATGCCTTCCAGTTCCTCATTTCTTTTCAGCGAAGAGCAGCCAGGCGTGGCCATGGATCAGAAAGGAAGAACAGATGAGGGAGGGACGAGAGGTTGCGTCATCATTTTCTGTTGGCCTGTTTCTCTGTATTCAAAGCCAAGTGAAACTTCCCCATGAATGGAAGAATAACTGGAGTGCCATTTTGAGAAAAAACTGTAAAGCACCAATAACCAGACGATGGAAAAGAGAAACACCTTTCTCTCCTTCAGTTCCTAGCCACACGGCTCCCATGGCATCTGGAAGAATGTGACATACATCTTCCATGTAATGTCTAGCAGTCTGGCCTGTGATTGCTCTGATGAATATGCAAATTAAATAGAGATTCACGCCATTTATCCATGCCCAGCAGCACTTAAGAGACACATTCCAGACTGAGGCCCAACAGGAACATTGAAGGAAGAGGTCTGAGGCCCCTTCCAGAAGGAGGGTTGTGGTAATGCAGAGGGTCTGAGCCAGCCAGCATGGTTGAAGGAAAGAGAACGCAGGGGTGCTGGCTGATTTGTTCTGTAAGAGCAACACTGAGGTACCTTTTGAAGAGTTGAGGGGAGACTAACAAGGGTTGTTTTTGGGCATGAACATTCTGGGAAAATACAAAGAGGGCCCAAAGAAGCTATCCAACTCTATCGGAGTGACTGTTTAGAGAAGCTAGAGTGGCACAGTGGAAGACTCAGGTTTAAGATGGGCTTTTGACACATTTTTATGAAGTATCATTACTCTACTCCAGACAACAGAAGAAGAACAGAATCTAGTGGATAAGATAAAGCTAATGTGGGAAGCTCTCTTTGCTGATGCATCAGGAGTTGATCACAGCCTTGGAAGTATCAAGAAGACATTTACTGAGGTTTGTGTTTTATTTAACGCGTGTAGCAGGAAAATGCATTTTAAAGCAGAAGAGCCAATCTTAATTTTGGTCATACTCCCTCTAGATCACAAGTGAGCAGATTGGAAATTACAGTAAGGAAATCGATGATTTTTACAAAAGATTTATTACTGAGGGGCCAGGTTCTGTTGGTGAGAATCTTGATAGAGGTAAGAAAATGTGCACTGATACTTGTATTATCAAATAGTTTGGAGAAATAGTACATAAATGGCTAGAAGCTTTCAAACCCTTCCCCATGACAATATACATACTATTTGCCGAAAGGTATGATGTTGCTTCATACTGTAAACCACCTTTTTGCCTCCCACTGTTGCCCAGCATATTCATAATCTTTTATAGGGTACTTTGTAAGGAGGAAGAAAGTGACTTAAGAGGTTGCTGTACCCATAGTGTGGAGGCGGTAAGGAAAGCAGACTGTCATCAGAACAGTAACCGGCAGCTTCGGCTTTATGGGTAGACTCCAGCTTTAGTGCCACCATAATTGACTTTGCAAGTGGTTTGTTGTGTCAAAAAACTTGTTAGCCCCATATTACCTAGGGCTGGGCAGAAAGTACGTTATCACATATCTTGGTCTTCAACCTGCAGTATTCCTGATCACTGCCTCTGTTGGTAGGGGTCTCTGGAAGTTGAAGTCCAGCATGTTTGAAGGTCAAGCTTCTGCTCAGTTTTTCTTTTATATCATTTGGTTTAAAACGATGTAACTTTTTGGTGTAACTTGATGCCCAAATATCTTTGATTAATGTTCACAGGATTAGAGCTTATGGTAGTTTTTGAAAAAGAACTGGAGAAACATGAGAAAAATCGGCAAGAGCTGGCAAATGCTGAAAAGCTGTTCGACCTTCCAATCACAATGTACCCTGATCTGATCAAAATGCAAAATGATATGAAGGGCTTGAGGCAGATCTATGGAATCTATAAGCTGCAGCGGGTGAGTGTTTTGAAAGTCTGCACAGCTGGGGACTTCATCCGTATCACGCTCAAGTGTCACACCCACGCTGCGCTGCAGGGACCTGGTTCACTGGGTTCTGTACATCAAGAGCATTGGATCTGAGCCAGACCACCTTCACATGTACAGTTGCTATGACAAAAGGTGTGCCTTCTGGGCTGTCAGGGAAGACGTGGGATTCTTAGGGCTGGGGGCAGAACCCTGGGCCTGGGGGGCCAAATTGCTCAGGTGGCTTTTTCTCCTTCACCTGGCTGCACCCCCCTTCTGCTGTACCCAGCTCTGGTCTGCAGCACCCGAGGGCCTCTTCCAAATGGAATTGGGCCCTCGGACTGAACGTGGTTCCGTATCCCTGTTTTATGTGTAACAAGCACGGGGTGTGCTATCTCTGTGTGAGGAAGAAGTGAATTGTGCATGATAAGTACATGGAAATTCTGCAAAGGTTTATACATTGCATTGCATTTGTATCCCACTTTTCAGTTAACGTTGGCTTCCACAGTATCTTACAAATGCATGGTTCTGGCATTAAATGGATACTTTTATCAGCTGTTTATAAATGTTGTATATTTAAGTTTTTATATTATCTACAGCCTAGACAGTGTTGACTCTTGGGCAGTATAGAAATGACACAAATGAAATGTGTGCACAGTACTCTCTTGTGTCCCCTGGCAGTTGGTCGAGCAGTTCAGGTTTCAGGCTTTTCTCTCCAGAGAAAGAGGAGAAGAGAAATGTTTTGCTTGTACTTTTGACAGAAATGTTTTCCTTCTTGTTCTGTGGTTTCAGGCTGCTAAAGAGGAATGGTCTCAGACTTTGTGGGTGAACCTCAATGTACAGGTGTTGCAGGAAGGGATTGAAGGCTTTCTGAAAACCCTTCGGAAACTGCCAAAGCACGTCCGGAGTGTGCCTGTTGCTTATCACCTGGAAATGAAAATGAAGGCTTTTAAGGACTCAATTCCTTTGCTGCTGGATTTGAAAAATGAGGCATTAAGAGAAAGGTTTGATTTCTGTTAACTTGCACAGAGTTGTATATACTGTGGTGTGTATTATGTCTGTCAAGCCTGCCTAAATCTATTACCCCTTTTATTGTCTCACCTGTCTCTCTGGAAGACCAAACAGTGCAGTTTGAAGGTGTTAGAAAGAACCCATCAGTAGAAACATCTAGGGACGGGGATTTCTTGATGGCTGCTGTTCAGAAGTCCTGCAACTGCCAGTTGGCTGGGGCATGGGATAAATTAATAAATGACTTCATATGGTGCTAGTAATATTCTTGCTGCAGAATTCTCCTGGTGAGAAGCTGCTGGGACTTAGCTAAGGCCACAGGATTGTCAAGTCACCTTTGATGCCTTGATTTGAAGCAAATTTCTTGCCTTTGCAGACAACCTCTTGATAGAACAGGATGGGTAATGGTGGGCTTTCAGATGCCCTTTTCACCCGTACATTTCCATTACCATAGCAAATACGAGTCTGTGACCAGGCTTTTGTCGAGGTAACACGTGGTTCTGCCCCAAAGCAATGAGCCTTGAACCCTGTAACCTCATCATTGCTCTTCCAACTTCTTTCAGGCACTGGAAGGAATTGATGCGTCGAACAGGTACAAGTTTTGATATGGCCACAGAAACATTCACTCTGGAAAATATGTTTGCTATGGAGCTGCACAAGTACTCTGATGTTATCAATGAGATTGTGGGATCTGCCGTCAAAGAGCTCAGCATTGAGAAGGTAGATTTCCCCTCTGCTGCCCACTTCTGCCTTGAAGGCCCTTCCAGCCACAATCCAAGTAAATCTATTTTGACACTTGTTTTTCCTCCCCAAGGGAGTAAAGGAAATAGTCGAAACCTGGGAGAACATGAAATTTTCCGTCCAAAGGTACTTCAAAGGCACCCAAGAACGGGGTTTCATTTTGGGAGCGGTGGATGACATAATTCAGATCCTGGACGACAACGCAGTCAACCTCCAAAGCATTTCTGGGAGCAGATTTGTAGGCCCCTTTCTGGCCACCGTTCACAACTGGGAGAAAACCCTCTCCCTGATTGGCGAAGTGATCGAGGTAGGGAAGGAAAATGTCACCTGTTTCAAGTTGCTGCTGGGTTTCCTGTTGTTCTCCCCCTCTTAAAAGCAATGCTCCATGTCCACAGGTTTGGATGATTGTTCAGCGGAAATGGATGTACTTGGAAAGCATCTTTATTGGGGGAGACATAAGGTCTCAACTGCCTGAGGAGGCTAAGAAGTTTGACAACATTGACAGGATATTTAAAAGGGCAAGTAACTGCTCATGTGATAATGAGATTGTTGAAGCACAAGGTATTGATTGCACACATGGTTTGAATGCACCTCAGGTACACACCCACACGCACACCCACACCAGATGTTGGAACTCCAAGTATTATCTGTCAGTCATTTTTCTGCTTCGCTATTTCCTATTCCCTGTAGATAATGGCAGAAACAGTCAAAGAGCCAGTGATAAAGAAGTGTTGTGAAGCTCCAAATCGTCTTTCAGACCTACAGAATATAAGTGATGGCCTAGAGAAGTGCCAGAAAAGCTTGAATGATTACCTGGATTCCAAAAGAAATGCTTTCCCCAGATTCTTCTTCATATCTGATGATGAACTGCTGAGCATTCTTGGCAGCAGTGACCCTCTGTGTGTTCAGGAACACATGATCAAGGTGAATGGCAGATTTGCACTGTGAGTGCTCTGTGGTTTATGTCTGTGCCAATACTCAGGGATGCTACCCTTTCTTTTAGACATATTCAAGGTCATAAATGTGCACGTTAACTAGGGTTAAGTGCCTGAATCATCTTTGTTTCTGGAACGTATTTTTGCAGTTTGTTCGGAGAAGGTTCCTGAATTTCACACTGGTGATACAGTCCATCGTTGCTTTAAGTTTTACCTTCTCTTGGCCTATTTCAGATGTATGACAATGTAGCTGCCCTGAAGTTTCATGAAGAAGACAATGGTATAAAGATCGCTTCAGCTATGATTTCTGCTGAAGGGGAAGTGATGGAGTTCCGGAAAGCTATCCAAGCCGAAGGCAGAGTGGAAAACTGGATGACTGCTGTACTTGCCGAAATGAGGAGGACCAACAGACTCATTACTAAAGAAGCCATCTTTCGGTACTGTGAGGACAGAAGCAGGTGAGGGAATTCAATCCTTAAAGGGAATCCAATTTGTAAAGCGGCAGGTTGTGGTGAGCGGGTTTAAAGGAACGCCTCCATGCCAGCTCTTAAATTGACATGTTGGTTCCCCACCCCTCTGTGCTGCAAGTGGCAGCCATTTCAAGGGCTGCACCGATGTACAATGTCAGATCACTTTGAGTGGGTCAAGAAATACTTCTCGCTAGCACATTACTGCTGCATCAGGAATATCAGATTCTCTCTCTGTGACATGCAGCATTCGGTCACGAATGACTCCTCCCTGTTACGAAGATAACAGGGTTTATGCAATGTAAGGCACAATCCTGTACATGTTCAAAAAAGGAACCTACAATTTTCAGCATGGCCCAGAATGTTTGCCTGGAGGAAGCTGTGAATTGGAACTCCAAACATGCATAGGGTTGTGCTCTGTGAATCTTTGTCCCTCTCAGTTGGAAGAATGGGCACCTTCCAGTTCTAGACCTATTGGCTTTATGGTATCAGGACTTGCATTATAATTTCACAAAACTGAAATATTATGTGTTTTTATTGAGGAGCAGCCTTTCTGCAGATCTGGTCAAGCTGCATTTAAGGCAACAGCTTGTTCTTTAATAGCCTTGATACAAAACAAAAAAGTACTTGCAGAAAAGATAAAAATAAGTGGATTTAGTTACGGGTATGATGCATTCTAAGAAAGAGCCAAATGATACTTGGTTCTAGTCACACTGATGGATGGCACTGATAGGAATTCACCTATCCTTCTGCTTTTGCCAGAATCCTGCGATTCCACTCTTTCAACTATGCTATCAGAGTGATGCTTTCTATCCTTGCTTCTCCTAATCCCTGACGGCTACATGACAAAGGGTTTCCTATGAGTGCATTATGCACAGCCAGATCACTTGTCCATCTAGCCCAGTATTGTGTGTTCTGCCTAGGAGTAGCTCCAGTATTTGGGCCAGGAGTCTCTTGCAGGCGCACTCTGAGTTCTGCCTCAGTGGTGATGCCACGGTCTGAACCTGATCGCTTCTTCACTGGACCGGGATCCAGACTGAACTTGGTCACTCTGTGGCAGAGGCACTGAGGCTCTTGGGAAAGCACGATCCTTGGCTATTCCCTGCTTTTCACATATGTATGGAGTAGTCCTATAATTTATAACGCACTGAACATTAAAATAAAGCAAATGTAACAGAGAGTCCAGTTTCGAGGCTTCGAGTGTTCTGTAAAGTAAACCCATCAGTGAGAACCTGTTTTTTCCTCAGAGTTGATTGGATGCTGATGTATCAAGGCATGATGGTGTTGGCTGCCAATCAGGTGTGGTGGACCTGGGAGGTGGAAGATGTCTTTCAAAAAGTGAAGAAGGGAGAAAAGCAAGCAATGAAAAACTATGCCAAGAAAATGCACCAGCAAATCGACTCACTAGTAACCCGGATCACCAGGCCACTAAGCAAAAACGACAGGAAAAAATACAATACCGTTCTCATCATCGATGTCCATGCCAGAGATATAGTTGATACTTTTGTAAGAGACAGGTAATGCAGGCCCTCGAAGAAATATGAATGGCTATGACTATTACTTTGTATAATACGAAATCACTCACACTATTGTGGAACCTGACGGTGTGTCCATAGTCCTGGGTATAAGAAAGGGAGTCAGTATTGTCTTCCTTGTTGCTTCTTTCATTTCCTTTTGCCTTTTCCATCCTCGCTGCTTGCCTTGCCTCTTTTTATGCCAGGGCAACCTGCTCTAATGTCATGATGTTTCATGTAAACCCATATCTGCATTTCCTCTTCTCTCTTTTTGTAGCATCATGGAAGCTCGTGAATTTGAGTGGGAAAGTCAGCTGCGTTTTTACTGGGATCGAGAGCCAGATGAACTCAATGTGAGGCAATGCACTGGCACCTTTTCATATGGCTATGAATACATGGGCTTGAATGGGCGGCTGGTCATCACACCACTGACAGACCGGATATATTTAACACTCACCCAGGTACGTCAGCCAAGGGGCTTTTCAGTTACCTGCAGATCCTTAAGTGCGCTTGAGAAAGCAGAGCATAAACCTGGAGCATGTACAACACTGTAAAGTCTCTGCAAAGTGTTCTTCAAGAGAATTGAACATGTTTGAAAGAGGGCTGCTGCGCTTAATGAATGCTTTCCTACTTTCACTTCCAACAAATTGGTTTTGAGGAGTTCTATGTTGTTCCCCAAACTTGATAAATCTGCTTGAGCAGAGATGATTTCAGGGCAAAAAAAGGGGAGTATGTCACAGGATGTAATCATATTCTCTCTTTCAACCTTTTCTTACTGGAAAGAACACCTACTACAATGGCATTCCTTTTTTGCTTCTTATCCTCCAAAGGCCTTGTCCATGTATTTGGGTGGTGCCCCTGCAGGCCCAGCAGGAACGGGAAAGACCGAGACCACCAAAGATCTTGCAAAAGCTTTGGGTTTGCTTTGTGTCGTTACCAATTGCGGAGAAGGCATGGATTTCAAGGTAGGAATATAAAGTTTATATTGTTCTGTTGCCTTCTCTCTCTCTCATGGTTTGCAAATCTACTTGCATACAGTGAGTGACAGAAAGCTACAAGGACACGCCACTGCACCCTTGACCATGCTCTGTAGCATGTAATGGAAAGCCTTTTAGTAGTGGGACAGCATAGAAAAACCTTAAATAAGTAAAATAATTAAATAAAAAGAGGCATGGAACGCTTTGTGTTCATTTTCATGCTTTGTTCTCTTTGGAATTGCAGGCAGTGGGTAAAATTTTCTCTGGCCTTGCCCAGTGTGGCGCGTGGGGCTGCTTCGATGAATTTAATCGGATCGACGCTTCTGTGCTTTCAGTCATTTCCTCACAGATTCAGACGATTCGAAATGCTTTGATGAACCAGCTGAAAACGTTTCAGGTAAAGCCGGGGCAAAACAGTGATGGTGTGAGGAAGCATCCATCCTCGGATGCCTTCTTTTCACCAGCATGAAAAGAACTCAAACAGTCTGCACCTAAGGTTTGGCTTTAGTGGTACGTGTAAGTTTAGGCAATGGGGATTTGACCGCAGGCCTAGTTTTGCTTCTGTTGATGCATTTTCTGACCTTGACATAGCTTCATGTTTCAGTTTGAAGGGCAAGAAATTTCCTTGGATCCTCGAATGGGCATTTTTATCACCATGAATCCTGGCTATGCAGGCCGTACTGAGCTCCCGGAGTCTGTGAAGGCTCTCTTCAGGCCAGTAGTTGTAATCGTGCCAGATCTTCAGCAAATTTGTGAAATCATGCTGTTTTCTGAAGGGTTTCTGATGGCAAAGGTAGGTTACATTCCTTCTTCGATGTTGCATATATTCTAGCTCATTCATACATCTGGGAACTCACACATTGTTCACATGAGAAGTTTCAGAGCTTTAATGACAAGTTTGTCTGTGTTTGCAATCTGTTGTTGTCTACCAGACTCTGGCCAAAAAGATGACAGTGCTGTACAAACTGGCAAGAGAACAGCTTTCGAAGCAGCATCACTATGATTTTGGGCTTCGGGCTTTGAAGTCAGTCCTGGTGATGGCTGGAGAGCTGAAGAGGGGCTCACCAGATCTCAATGAGGTAAACCTACCTGAATCCTTTGTCCTGGGGTCCTGGAAAATAATGGATCTGGTAACTTTCCCATTTGAATCCAGATCATCTGGCCCCCATGGCTGGCTTACTGTGCCCAGTTTCTACCATTGTCCTGATGAGCCTCTGAGTTCACATTATTATTAATAAAGAATTTATGAGTAGTATATGTTAAGTTACTTCAAGGCTGCTTTTTGTGGTGGGAAGCAATACATATATTTTAATATTGGTACTACTAATAATACAAACAGTAATATTACTAATAATACAGATGGATGAAGTACATAGTCATATTGACCACAGAGATGTCATTGAATGGTCTGAGGCTTTTATTCTTGACGTATCAGGCAAGCTGGCCACATCCTTTGACTCAAACCAATTTTAAACCCTTGTCAACAAGGAATAGCCGCCATCTTTTAAGCTGTTTCCACTATTGCAGGTTGTTCAGCTTCCAAACAAAATGGACATGTAAAATGTACAGTGTTTGGTCTATTTGAGAGAGAGAAAAGCAAAAGTAGTACTATTGGATATCATTCCTATTTATATTTACTGTTAGCTGCTCAGATAAAGTTTTATTGTAGGGCAGTGTACCCATGTCATTGTAATTCTGTGCTTTTTTAAAAACTAGGATGTCGTTCTGATGAGAGCTCTGAGAGACATGAACCTTCCCAAATTTGTTTTTGAAGATGTTCCCCTTTTCCTGGGTCTGATTTCTGACCTATTTCCGGGATTAGATTGCCCCCGAGTACGCTACCCGAAATTTAACGATGCTGTGGAGCAGGTGCTTGCTGAAGGAGGCTATGTTGTTCTGCCAGTTCAGGTGCGTGAAATAAAATAGGAAAGGAAATTAAATGGGACCTGCAGGCCCACATAAGGGAAAATGAAAGGGGACCTTTCTCATGTGAAGAGGAAAACACAAAAGACAGTGGCAAAATATGGTAATTTTCCTGTAACCCACAGAGAAGTTTTTTTTTTTACAGGAAACAAAGCACAGATTTTGAGCCACAAATTTCACAAACCTCTGGTGCATCTCTGTTTGATAACTTGCAGAAGATCACCAGGGCCATATTTGATCCCTTATTTCAAGAAGTGGGCCTTCCTGAATTGTTGCCACTGGAAGATTTGTTCCTGTCCTGTGCTTTTCCACCAGGTGGATAAAGTTGTCCAAATGTATGAAACGATGCTGACTCGTCATACGACCATGGTGGTTGGACCAACGGGAGGTGGCAAGTCTGTGGTCATCAACACGCTGTGTCAGGCTCAGACCAAGTGAGTGGGGATTGAACTGTGAATGGAGGGTCATGCAGGGAAGCAGGATGCTGGGCTGGGTGGAGCTTTGGCCCGGTCCAGTGCAGCGCTTCATGTTTCTGCTGGATATGCAGTGTGGCAACATAAAACACATAAGAAGAGTCCTGTTGGATCAGAACAGACAAGCATTAGCTTCACAAAGTGGCCAGCCAGGTACCTGTGGGAAACCCTGTTCTTCCACAGTGAAGTGCATCGGCCTGCTGCTTCCTGGAAGGAATATGTCGCACTCAGGGCTAGTAAGCACTGATAACCCAGTAAGGAGTTTATGCCCTTTTTTATTGTACTGCTTTCTCCTGGAATGTGTGATTTCACTGTTTTTCTTTCTAATTGCGTTGGTGATGTCCGAATAGACTAGGATTGGTGACCAAGCTTTACACCCTGAACCCCAAAGCCATGAGTGTCATCGAACTCTATGGTATCCTGGACCCCACTACTCGGGACTGGACTGATGGAGTTTTGTCCAACATCTTCAGGGAAATCAATAAACCCACGGACAAAAAAGAGAGAAGGTAATTCCAGCAGGATTAGATCTGTGTTACTCAGCTAAGCTTGTGTAGAATCCTTGGATTCCACAGGCCTCCTCTAGGCCAGGAATGGGGAGCCTTTTTCGGCCTGGGGACCAAACTGCGGATGAATGCATGCCAGCAGTAGGTGGGGCGACACCCGTAGCGGGCAGAGCCACCCCAATCGATAACCTTTCGATCCAGTGAAATAGTACAGAGCAAACCAAAGTAGATTGGCACTGCTTTGGGAACTGACCATTGTTAAGTGCTTTTCCGCTAATCTTTTTGCACAGATACATCTTGTTTGATGGCGATGTGGATGCTCTCTGGGTAGAAAACATGAATTCTGTGATGGATGATAACAAGCTGTTGACCTTGGCGAATGGGGAGCGGATCAGACTCCAGGCCCACTGTGCCCTTTTATTTGAGGTGAGCAAGTTCCACGTCAGGGAGGAGCTGTAGCTTGGCTGCTGCAGCACCTGCTTTGCCTATCAGGCACAGTAACCCCAGATTGGACCAGGTAAGCATCCTGCTTAAAACCCCGGAGAGCTGTTGCCAGTCAACATTGAAGGCACCGACTCAGATGGTCCAGAGGTCTGGTTCAGTTTAAGGCAACTTCCTGTGTTTCTAAATGTTGAAGCAAACTGCCCAGGTTCTGGGAAACAGGAAAGAAAGGCATTAAAGATAACAACCCAAGGCAATGTTCTCCTCTTATTTATCTTAATGGCTTATCCTGAGCCAAGAGCTTCTTGCGTATGGGTCCTGGAATCCTTACATCCAAACAGTTTATTACTTGGTGCTAGCAGCAGAATAGCAACGTGTGTGCTTCTGGTAGTAGTGGTTAGCCAGGGGTGGGCTACTTCTCCCGCTGAGTTTGGAGACAAGGCTGTGCAAATGACTTGGTGTTTCATGCTCTTCAGTTGCGAGAACCGTACCCACTTCAAAGCAGCAGGAGCTTCACAACACTTTTTTTTTTTTTTTGCAATGTCCGTCATTACCTGGAATTACTAATTGCTATGAAATAACATCTTGTCAATGTGTGAACTTCCTTTCTAGGTTGGAGACCTACAATATGCCTCACCTGCAACAGTATCCCGCTGTGGGATGGTCTTTGTGGACCCAAAGAATTTGAGATACAGACCTTATTGGCAGAAATGGTCAAACCAAAGAAGCAAGGTAAAAAAAAAATGCTCAGAGGGATCGTGAAATAATTCTTTGAAAATCAGACTGGTGATTTTTTTTGAAGCTCCTGCTCCTATTTTCTTTTTATAAGGACAGATATGTTCTTCCCTTCTTTCCCTGGTTAGGATATCACTCCTCGTCTTTCATGATCACGGTGCAACCATCATACACGCCTCATGCATTTCCTTTGTTGCTTTTTTCCTGAACAGGCGCCACCTGCCTGCTTCAGAGACATCTGGGCTGTGGGGGCCCTGGTTCAGTCCCCTGCGTACGTCTTTCAGATCTGCAGTTTAAAACAAATTGCACCACAACCACAGGAGGAGGAAGAGGGTGTCGCACAGCCCAGGGAGAGGAGGGGCCAAGTCCAATGGACATGTTGGAAATTGAATGATGGCATCTTTGTTTTGTTTCACTTCTCAGCAAGAAAAACAACTGCTAGATCGGCTCTTTGACAAATACGTACCCTACCTGATTGAGATGATTGTAGAAGGAATTGTGGATGGGCGGCAGGGGGAGAAGCAGAAGACCATCGTCCCGCAGACGGACTTAAATATGGTGAGCAATGGGTGGCTTTGTTGATTGGCAGAAAAGCTAGAGAAGACCCTCATCCACGGAGCGGCTCATGTGATGTGCCGAAGTTCAGGCATGTTGCTCAGGAGAATTTACTAGGACCGAAGAAAAATCCTGGAATTCGTCTGTTTCCATAGGATATGGGGAGATCTAAAAGACAGAGGGGAAATTTAGTGAAAGATTTCAAGTCATGGTCTAGCACAAAAAAAGATGGCTCTTTCAGGATTTCTTTGACAGTAAAAGTGGCTCGGCTCCATCTAGGAGGTGCGCTTGAAGAACTTTGGCATGTAGCTAAATCTTAGCTAACTGAATCAAATGTGTTTTCACTGAATACTGACTCAGTTAAATGTCCGCACACACACGTACACACACGTGCGTACATATGACTAAAGCAGTAATTTGAAGGCATTCTGCCTTTTAAATGGCACTTGTACATATTGCAGCCCATCCCCTCTTAGGACAGGCATTCCTTCCGGGCTGAGATTGAACAGGGAATGCCTCTTCTGAGATGGTGCCTGCCTCCTGTGGTTTATACAAGTATTTGTACTGAAAAATAGATCACTTTTTAAAAGATTGCCTGATTGTTGCCTTTTTGCTCAACTAAAAATTTTAAGAGCACCATCCTAAGCGTGTTTGCAAATAAAAATGTCCTGCCACTCCCAGCATTCCCTGGGCAGCATGACCCCCCCCCCCCCCCCGTTTAGACATAGCAAAGCATTTGGTGCGGCTTTCAACCAGGCAAGCTCTTTATCCATCGACACAATTCATAGCAGCATGTCTGGAGAACGAGCGGGAGGGGGAGACTCAAGAATCCCAAAGAGTCATACGGAGCTGAGCATGATTGCTTTGTGGCTTCACATGACAGGTGACCCAGCTGAGCAACATGCTAGACGCCCTGCTGGAGCAGGAGACAGAGGACCCTGACATCCTAGAGTGCTACTTCCTGGAAGCGTTATATTGCTCCTTAGGTGCCTGCCTCCTGGATGCCGGACGAGCAAAATTTGATGACTTTGTTAAACGTCTCTCCTCCATGTCGACCATTAATGATGAGATGGTGCTAGCCAAGCCAGGGGAGCTGCCAGGTAAGCTGCGGGCAGCATTTGAGAAGCTACGGGTGACTTCGGTGATGTCACCCATTCTTTGCAGTTAGCTCAAGTATCCCACAGTGAGGAATATCTCCACTGCATTTTATCCCCACAGTAATAATCTTGTGAGGGAGGTCAGGTTGTGAATGAGCAACTGGCCCAGCGCCACTCAAGTAAGCAGGGGCTTAGGCCCTGCATCTCCCGGGCCCCCAGTCCAAACCTTGAGCCATCATGCTGCACTGGTACTGTGGAACTTGGGCACCGTATTTCCCCGTGGGTCGGTCTGGAAGCCAAAGCCTTGAACTTAGAAAAGCCGTGCAGGGCTGTTGTGGGTAGGACATTTCGGAGGGCTTTCACTCATAGGGTCATCATAAGTCAGAGATGAGTTAACAGTGATTTAGACAGGGTAAATGATGCATTGGAAAAGGAAAGGGAGGGGAGAGAGAGAGAATATGTCTTTTGTTTCTATCGTACCCATCAGGTGAAGCTCTCTGGGCAGTTTATACCCCCCCACACCTTAAAATCAGAGATGATAATAGCACAGAGCAGAGTTCAGTGGGGCACTTCTACCCTTGCTGATTGCTTTGCAACCTGCTGGTCCTGCTGTGCATGCTCGCATGACAGATTTCCCAGAGAGAGCCTGGAAGTGAATGGCAGCTCTCCCTTCTTCATAGGAACAGATGAACGGGCTTCTTCATGCAGAGCACCTTTCAGAAGTGAACATCTTCTGCTTCTTTCTGTCTGCCCTGGAAGTGCTCAGTCTTTACAGACTGCTCCTTGCAGACTGGAATTGCAGAGCTCAAGAGAATCAGTGGAGGCATATGTGCCTTGCTGAATTCTGCCCATTGGAAATCACTACAAGGACCATTAGGACAGGATAAAACCAGTAGGAACCAAGATAAAATCCAGTAGCAGTGCGAAAATCTAAAAACACACCAGTGTGCTTCCATCATGTTGGTACTCTCCGTCTAATAATCTTTAATGGCTAATCTTTAACCCATTAGTATATGTCTAAGATTATGTAATGTCTCTCTTTTTTTAGGGCAGCTCCCAACTTTATATGACTTTCATTTTCAAGGACGTACGAAAAAGTGGGTGCCTTGGAGCAGATTGGTCCCTGAATATGTTCACTCGCCCGAAGTGAAATTTGTTGACATTTTGGGTAAGTGTGAACTAAATGTGGCATAATCGGTGGGGGTACAGTAATTAATGACACCAATTAATCGATTCCAGCTTGCAAAGCTGCATGTGCTTTCTGAAATACTGAGAAAGTTTACACAGTGCAATAAGCTACACTGCACAGAACTGAGGAATTTGTTTTGTGGGTCTCCGAGCTGTTAGATGGGCAGGTGATCTCTGAGCAAGATGGGTTTAAATGAGGTTACCTTGGCAAGAACCACAGTAGCTTTTACACTTTAGAACCCATCTCTATGTTCTTCATTGAAAATTACCCATGATTTGATAGAATACTTCTGTTTTGGAAGTGTGTACTGTCTTTGTTACCTTTCCATGAGATTGGGACTATTTTAAATTGTGCTTGCTTGGTTCCAAGAGGAAGGAATACCAACCATTTCTGGTCCTGTCTGTCCTGGGGCACTGGGGCTTCATGGAATTCTGTCCTTATTTTTCACCCCAAAAGCTTCAGGCTACTTCTTTCTTCCTGACTTCATCTTAGATTAATCAGCTAGGGCAGAAAGGGAGTTGGTTGGACATTCTTTCCCTTTTGAAAGGATCTCCCAGACCACGTGGTTACATATCCTTTGCTGAATTCTCCTTCTAGTCTGATCATGCACTCTGAATCCAGATACATCTCTCTTAAACTGATTGGGTTTCTATTGCTCTCTGTTGTATTCCAAATTAACATTTCTCCCCTGTAGTTCCCACAGTGGACACAACCCGCACAAATTGGCTACTAGAAAGAATGGTGAAAATCAAACAGCCTGTTGTATTGGTTGGAGAATCTGGAACATCAAAGACAGCCACAACACAAAACTTTCTCAAAAACCTAAATCAAGACACAAATGTAAGGATCTTTATTTACTTAGGTATTTAATTCCATTTCTTTGCTGCCCCATAACCTGAAGTTTCTCTGTGCAGCTTACAAATGCTGAAAACAGCATATAAATACAATTGATAAAACAGATAAAAACAGTAAAATTAATATGTTTTAACTATCTTGCGTAATAAAATTATAAAGCCACATAAGGATCAAGATATTTAAGTGATTATACTTATATCCACTTTTTTCCTTCAAGGAACTCATGGCGGCTTCTGTAATCCTCCTGCATCTCTCTATCTTATTTTCACAACAACCCTGTAGGGTGGATTAGGCTGAGAGTCAGTGACCCAAAGTCACTCTGTGAGCTTTCTGACTGAGTGGGGATTAGAATTCCCATATCTCAGTTGCTTTGCACTGCTTTGAAATATTTGCAATTTGAGTATTGTTTTCTGTGTACTCTCCAAATGGTGACTAACTTATCACCTGCTTTCCTGTCCTTGGGCTTGCAGACCTCTCCCAGCTAAACCTATCTCAGAGTTGCCATGAAAATCAAGTGGGAGGTGATATTGTGCTGCCATCCGCTGAAAATACATCTTAATTCCACAGCAAATGGAGGGATGCTATTTGGGTTGCTTGTAGCAGCTGGAATTTTAAGTATTTTCTCTGATGAAAAATGCTCTGTTCCAAAGGATCTGAATTTGTTACGTAATGATAACATGCCAATATAACCTCTTTTCAGCATTTTACATCTATCCACACTGCTGTATAGAAAAGAAGTTATGGGTATGAGCCTTTCTTTCAAAACTGGCTACTTTTCATCTTATCCTTTCAGGTATTGCTTATCATTAACTTCTCCTCTCGTACAACTTCGATGGATATTCAGAGGAACTTAGAAGCCAACGTGGAGAAACGGACTAAAGAGACGTATGGGCCACCGATGGGAAAGCGCCTCCTTGTCTTTATGGATGATATGAACATGCCCAGGGTAAGGATTTGTTCACGTTATATTTTATTGTATTGTATTTCATTTATGTAAGCCATCCTGAGGCTTTCGCGACAGGATGGCATATAAATATTTTAAAGAAAGAAGGATTCAGACGAATGAGAGACAGTGTCAAGGCGCAGTACAGTCTTTTTATAGAGAAAGAGAGTGGATCTGGGTAGTCAGGAGAGGAAAGAGATGGATTTGGGGTTGGCTGCTGAGTCTCAGCCTAAATTACCCCCGGCTTGTTCTGAGGATAAAAGGGAGCAGCAGCAGAATGGTGGGATGTCCTGGCAGTGCTCTTGGTCTGCTGTGAGTCATAGCACACTCGTTCAGACCTGCAAAGCCGTTTGCCAGCTCATTGTTGGAAAAATTGCCCGTGCAATAATGTACATGTCTACTCAGAAGTCAGCCCCACGGCAGTCACTGGGCTATACTCAGTGAGCCAGTGTGGCGCAGTGGTGAAGAGCACAGATCGGGGACCCGGGCAGTCTGGGTTCCGGGGCCCCACACAGCCATGGAGCCCACTGGGCGGCTTTGGGCCAGGCACAGACTCTCAGCCCTACCTTAGGTCACAGGGTTGTCGTGGGGAACAGATTGAGAGCAGCAGGAGGCGAAGAATGACGTGAGCCCCTTTGGGTTCACTGTAAGAAAAAAGGTGGAATAGAAATCTCACACATGCATGTGTACTCCCAGGCAAGTACGTATAGGTTTTAGCCTGCATCATACCTATTTACGCACACCTTTGGCAACTAATCTTGTTCTACTATTCCTTTATCAGTGTTGTGGTTAATACTATTTCAGTTAGACTTACACTTCTAAATATTGTTTCTGTTCATTTTTAATTTATACTTGATCTTTCTTGCTGTTGATAGGTTGATGAATATGGGACCCAGCAACCCATTGCATTGCTCAAGTTACTCTTAGAGAAAGGCGCCCTGTACGATCGTGGCAAAGAGATGAACTGCAAGTTCCTCCGTGACCTCGGCTTTGTGGCTGCAATGGGCAAAGCAGGTGGAGGCCGTAATGAAGTCGATCCTCGATTCATTTCGCTCTTCACTGTTTTCAACGTTCCTTTCCCTTCAGATGTCTCCCTGCACCTGATTTATGCCTCCATGTTAAAAGGCCACACTTCGGTAATCTGAATTATTTATACAGAGGGATATTGATTAAAGGATGGCAGATAGACCAGAACAGACTGTAAATGCTTGGTAAACATTTGCCCTTAAATGTATCCTTATCCATTTGTTATGAATGGGAATCTATTGGTTGCTAATCCCCATTTGGAAAGGGGATTAAAGCTCCACTAAAGCTTATTAGGTATCTGTTTGACTTGTCAGTGAGACCAATTGCCAAAAGGTAACTGACCATTGTCAGAGATTGTAACCATCCTATATAACCCTTGAAAATATTGCTATATTTTCCTCTGTGCAACTCCTTTCACTGCATTTTTATTATATCCAGATGCCAACCTCCCAATTAATGAAAGATTCATTAATTGAAATACATAGCTTCTTCTGAATTTTGTTCTGATGAGCATTTGGGTTTGGGTGTCATATTAAAATCCACTTATGAACAGGCCTGGGTGTGCCATCGCAAGGGATTCTCATCTGGCCTTCAGCAAAACTACTGGATCTCAAGTCCTGTGGGTGATGGTAGGTACTGAAAAGATCCACCACTCAGTCCCTGACACCAAAACAAACAAACAAAAAGCACGCAGGTTCAGATGTTTATTTACCTCTGAGCATGTCTTTTTCTAGGATTATATCAACACACCATTAGGTCAGTTAACAATACCCTAACAATACCCCGTACCTATAATATTGACAATTGTGGTCCCATTAAACAATTCGGTAAGTAGTTCATTTAAGATAACGAGGAAAGGGAAAGGGGAAAAAAACTGTAAGGCCCTTCAAACAGCTGACCCTCAAACAGCAGAAGTGACCCTACCCCCCACCAGGATCCCATGTTTTGAGTGAGGAGAAGGAACCCTCCTCTCTTTCTGAGGTGTAGAGAAGTTACGTCCAACATAAAAATAAGTGAACAGTTTGTTCTGGATCATTTGTGATGGGAAATGTTATGAGAAAAATAAGCTTTAATGAAAAAAAAGTCTTTTGAAAAGATTCTCTCTTCCATCTTACCTTTGCAGACCTTTAATGAAGCTATAGCTGGAATTGCTGACAAGATGACAGCTGCTACCCTGGCACTTTATCAGATGATCGTCCACGACCTACCTCCAACTCCTTCAAAATTCCATTACATTTTCAACTTGAGGGATCTGTCGAGGGTTTACAATGGACTTGTTCAGACGACCCCAGAACGGTGGGCATGCAAGCGTCTGTTTTTTTGCTGCACTTGTTGCTCTATTCCAATTGTTCGTGTGACCCAAGCATGCCATGTCAGGAAACATCATTCCCATTTTGATGGCTCTGTCAGTAGCTAGTTTGCATTTGCAGAGTCAAGTTCACTACATCTCATGTTACTGTGTCTACTGATTTGACTTAGTTTTTGTTTCAATGCAGGTTCCAAACAGTTACTCAGATGGTGAGAGTATGGAGAAATGAGTGCCTGCGAGTTTTCCATGATAGACTAATCAATGAAACAGACAAAGCTCTGGTGGGTACTCCTCTTTTATTATTGGGAGTTTATTATTCATTTGACTAGTTCAAGATGGCAATGGCTCTAGCAGTTCTACTCTTTTGCAGTGAAACTGTCCACGCAGTTTCCTCCCTCCCTCCCATACATTGCACAGTCTTGCAGTCATGGGATGGATTTACAAAACTCACTAAGTCACTCTATGAATCAGCTGTGCAGCATGGAGAATTCAAGGAATGACCCGTGGTGCCCTCGACAGGCAGTCTGACTCGCCTTCCTCCTCAGTCTCCCCTGCCTGTCTTCAGTCACTACTCTTTTCATTCTGTTTTACTGTCCTGTTTTTTCAGCTATTTGGAATCTAGAAAATGTAGTTTGTCTCGTAGTTTTTTCATCCTCAGAAGATTGCAGAACATGTTTTCACTTTCATTCATTCAGTCATTCATTTATTTTAATGATCTATTGCAAGTGTACAAATGAGTTCTTATAGGTGTCTGATTTATGTATATTGGCTTCCCCTCGCCTTCTATGGCTCCTTATCAGAGCTTTCACTGCAGTAGTTACTGTGGGTCCTTATTTTAGAACAGAGGTTTTCTAATTACTGCTGATAATAAATCACAAGGACATCTGTGGCTGAGGTCTTGTGGGCAGTTTCTCTGTCCCCTTTCTAAGTATTTTGTCTTCCTTATTATCCAAAGCTTAATGAATATGGAACCTCAGCTCACTCCATTGCACATCAGTCTTCCTGAAAAGTGCCTTGCATGATTCCAGCAAAGATCATGCATGTAGAAGACACCTGGTTGCCCACCCGTGCTTTAGATAGTAAAATTATGGCTGGGAAAACCCAGACTCGGATTTCTGCTCACCGTCAAACTCTGGGGTGGCTCTGGTCCAGCAGCTCTCTCCCAGCCTTTAGCTGATGAACCAGTGCTGGTCACCTCGAAGTGCTAGTCAGACCTCAGTGGAGACATTGTCAGTAGGAACTGCAAATGCAAAGCGCAACAAAGGTTTTTTGCCACTCACGACTGTCCCTGCTCACAGTCTGCAATCTAAGACAACACAAGGAGAAGGAAATGGGGGGAAGGGCGGGGGGAAATTAATTATTTCAGCAGGGCTGGTAGAATGGCCCCACTTCCTCTCTCATCTCCAATATCCCTCATCTACTGGACTGGTTATTAGGTTCTCTCACATGCAAAGTTGGTTGGAATGAATCCTGTGGACCTTTGTTCATTTGATCCATTAATTAGCGTGAGGGCTCTTGGTCCTCAATAATGAACTTAACTCGTGTGCATTTTTTGGAATTTATTACAAGGTCCAAGGCCATATACAGACCTTGATTGAAGATAACTTCAAAGATGATGCCGAACATGCTATGAGAGATCCAATTCTCTTTGGAGACTTCAGAATGGCTCTGAATGAAGGCGAGCCTCGTATCTATGAAGACATCCAGGATTATGATGCAGCCAAAGCTCTCTTTCAGGTATAGAACCTAAATCAGGGAAAGGGTGGGTATTTTCATTTTAGAAGGTTTGATGATTGTACAGAAAAAAGAAGAGCATAAAACAAATTGGGATTTCCCCCCCTCCCCTGCATTCTTAATTATGTGACTGTGCAATATTATTCCACCATTGGTATTGACTACTATAATTTCATGCTCGGTATTATTATTATTATTATTATTATTATTATTATTATTATTATTATTATTATAACATTTCTATGCCGCCCCTTGCCGAAGCCTCGGGGCGGCTTACAACACATAATTGAAACCAAAAATAACAGTTTTGCAGATGATTACTTGCCTGGCATGCAGTCTTCTTTATGATCTCTGTCTGGTCCCCAATAAAACACAGTTAAGAACTTAAAATTCTGGCATGCTTTTTGTTCACCTTTTATGTTGTGTTTTTAACATGCTGCTTCTCAGGTGATGAATCATGTCCGCATACCATTTCTCTTTGGCTTCTCCCTTGCAGGAGATCCTTGAAGAGTACAATGAAACAAATACCAAAATGAACTTGGTACTGTTTGATGATGCCCTGGAGCATTTAACTCGCGTTCATCGAATCATAAGAATGGACCGTGGCCATGCTTTGCTCGTAGGCGTTGGGGGCTCTGGGAAGCAGTCTCTGGCAAGATTGGCTGCTTATACAGCAGGATGTGAGGTGAGCCGCTTGCTATTCATCCATCCTTATCCATTCATTCAGATTGTCCTTGAAGGCCTAGGTTTAAAAGTCCCTTCACTGAGGAAGACAAGTAATCAGTTGCTTAGGGCATGGCCGTATCAATTGCTCCCTCAGTGCTCTTGGGTCCTTGAACCTGGGGGCTTACAAGCATCCCCTGCAGAGCGGGAGCAATGGTGGAGGTGACTGCCACTTCCCTGCACCCCCCATTCTGCGTTTTAGCTGAACATCAGTTTCACCCCATCTAACTGAGGTACTTCAGCGTGGAAGGGATGGAGACCGAAACACTGTCAGGGCACATGGTATCCTAGCCGCTCCAGTCTCCTTCCTTCCCAGCCTCCTTATCTTCTCTCCAACCTCAGATGTAGGAATGCAAATTATACTATGAGAAAGTCTAGCGGGAGGGTCACAGGATCACTCTCGAATGTGCCTGAGCAAGACGGCCTTATTTATTTATTTATTAAAACATTTTTATGCCGCCCCATTTGCCGAAGCCTCGGGGCAACTTACAACAATAAGTTAGGTCAGCATAAGTAAAAATCTTGGAAGAGACTGGAGCTCAGACTGAGGAGGAAGGGGATTCTAGTTTAGGCGAATGCAAATCAGTGATTCAGATTACAATCAACTTATACCTCACCTTCAGGTCTTTGAAATAGTTCTGAGCCGAGGATATGGAGAAAACAGTTTTCGGGAGGACCTCAAGACTTTGTATACAAAACTTGGGCTCGAGAATAAGATAATGATCTTCCTTTTCACCGATGCTCATGTGGCAGAAGAAGGGTTTTTGGAGCTCATCAACAACATGCTAACATCAGGTGACTTGAGAAGTTTAATCTGCCTCAATTGGCCACTCTTTCTACTAATCTGAGGACTCGGTGGGGGAGGGGTCCTGTAGTCTCATTAATCCAACCTACTGCTTCATGCTGAAAATCCTACTTTAAAGAAGTATTCACACTGCAGCTGATTTGTATGGAAATAAGGAATGATGAAGCTCTGCCCTGAAAGTGCCATATAGTTAATAATGTCTAATTTGGAGTTTATCAAGTAAAATACTTTCCTTATTTGGCATGAGGAAGCCTCTCATTGCCCAGAAAAATCAGAGCTGACAGGACAGTTTTGTCACAGAGTAGTTCCCTCATGCTCCTCCTCTTCAGTTCATCCCTGTCTTACACCGAGGACTGCGCTTCTCTGAATTCATCTTATTGCTTCATTCTTATTAACCTCTTCATCCTGTTAGTTTCATCCTATTAGTTCCTACCCTATTTTGCTTCAGTCTGTGAGAAACGACATATTATAAAGCTAACATGAGGTTCTCAACCTTGCATTTGCCTCTTAATGTATGAAACAGCGGGCGGGCATTCCCAGGGGAGAACCGATGGGTGAGAGGAGGTGCTGGAACATTGCCATTCTTCCCCCAGAACCTCCCTGGACCTGCCACACCTTTCCCTTGAGCCAGGCTCTGAGAACCGAAGCCGTCCCGCCCCAGGGAAAGCCATGTGCAGGGGTGAACTGGGGCACATGGGAAGGACGAGGCACTAGCCATTCTTAGGGTTCCCTCCTGCTTAGGAGAGGCACGTGTGCTGGCATGTTGTGTGGCTACAGCCTCAGGTTTCCGTTCTTTCTTCCTCCTCCTCCCTGCTGCACTATTATTATTATTATTATTATTATTATTATAATAACATTTCTATGCCGCCCCTTGCCGAAACCTCGGGGCGGCTTACAACACGATAAAATACATGGAAATACAATAGCACATAATAAATTACCATTAAATATAAAAATACCAAAAATACATTGATTTACAAATATAAGATTAAAATTATCAGTATAAATTAAGTAAATAAAAATATAGGAGGAGAAAGAGAAGGAAGAAGAAGTTGCCCTGGCCAGATCATATGTTTTAACAATTAAAATGATGTTTAAATAAAAAGGTCTTTACCTGGCGCCGGAAAACCAGTAACGACGGTGCCAGGCGGACCTCTTTGGGGAGTGAGTTCCATAGGTTGGGCGCCACCGCAGAGAAAGCCCTCCTCCGGGTACTTACTCTCCTAATTTCTTTCATGGAGGGTTCCCGGAGAAGGGCCTCTCCTGCCGATCTCAGGGGGTGACTGGGCATATACGGACGTAAGCGCTCGTTCAGGTAGCCAGGACCCAAGCCGTTTAGGGCTTTATAGGCCATAATCAACACCTTGAAGTGCAGCTAGAAGTGGTTTATGTTCCTGCTGCAGGAGATAAGCCATCAGTGGGCTACCCAGCGTGAGTGGAGAAAGAAAGGGGGAGCACCAAGAAGTGGCAAATCTTTCATTCTGATGCCTTTTTCATTTAACAGGGATGGTCCCAGCCCTTTTCCCAGATGATGAGAGAGACAGTATTTTAAGCCAGATCACAAGTGAAGCGATGAAAGCTGGAGCAGCACCGGCCAAAGAAAGTGTTTGGCAGTACTTTGTAAGCAAAAGTGCCAACAACCTCCACATTGTCCTTGGGATGTCCCCGGTTGGTGATACTCTGAGAACACGCTGTCGAAATTTTCCAGGTACCAAACAGCCCCTTCAATATGCTGGCAGGTAACCCTGCTCTGTCCCTGAGATGCACAAATGTGAAGTTGATCAGTGGAACTAGGTGGTGAGCTCAGTTTTCATTAGTGTTATCCAGCCTTTGTGTGACAGCATGGTGCAGTCCAGCACATCTGGAAAGCACCAGGTTGGTACAGGCCAGTGTAGGACAACGGTTTTTGAACTGTGTTTCAAGGAAGCCTGAAGCAATCTCAGAAGCTGGGCTCGCTTTCCTGAAAACCGACTGCCCACTAGTTCCCGTGTTCCTGCAGAGTTGGCTGTGTTTTAGAAGGTTCAGTTAGTGTTTTGGCTGATACCCATGCTCTCGAAAACACAATATGCAGGGTTCTGTAGTATCCACACTGAGGGTCCTTTATCTCTATGAAGGTATTACCTGAAGTGGAAAGTTTGAAAACTGCTAGATGCCCGTTCTCAAATTACAGAGAAATCTGTTACAGCAGGACAAGGACAGTGCATCTAAGAGCATTAGGACCTTGCTAGCTCAGACCAAAGATGGTCTAATCGGCACCGTGCTCCCATAGCGGACAGCCGGATGTCCATGGGAAACCTCCATGAGTGTAATAGCACCCTCCACTCGTGTTTCCTAGCAACTGGTATACCTCTGCATCTGGAGGTAGCATATAGCTGTCCATCGTGACTAGTAATCATTCATGGCCTCATTCTGCATGACTGTCTTTTAGAGCCATCCAGGCTGGGAGCCTTCACTGCATCTTATGGCAGCAAATCCAAATAGTTAAATACCTGCTCTGTGAAGAAATGTGGCCTTTTTTCTGTCCTGAATCTCCTTCCAGTGAGCTGCATTGGATGACCCTAGACTTTACTAGTTTGCAAAAAGAAAAAAATGATCTCCGTCTCCTTTTTCCATGCATGCATAATTTGATAACCCCTTGTCCTCTCTCCCCAAGTCTACCTTTAGACTGCATTAGGCTTCCTGTGGACTATTAAATACATGATATTCAGGCAGCTGTGGTGTTGAGCAACAAAACGGTGGCACCTCTGTGAGAGCAGAAGACAGAGGAAGACCTGGGGGTGGGAAGGAAGGAAGGGAGGAAGGAAGGAAATATTCATTAGTTTCTCCATACCAGTTCTCGGCTGCAAACGAGTTATGTTCTTGCTGTTTACCTTCTTGTAATTTCCCTTAAAGGTCTTGTCAATAACACTGGAATTGATTGGTTCTTGCCGTGGCCTCCTCAGGCCCTGTATGCAGTAGCCAAGTTCTTTTTGGGTATGTAGCATCTTTACAGCAGGAGCTGAATGAGTCCCCACGGAGTGCACAAAAGCTTGTTCAGGGGGAGACACGTGGCTGTCCCAGGAGATCAGCCCAAGGCAGCCTTCCCCGAGCTGATGCGTTCCTGATCGGTTTGGACTGCACTGTTCATCAGACCCCGTACACATTGCCAGTGGTCCAGCATGCTGGAAACGGTAGTCCAAAATATCTGGAAGGCATCAAAGTCTGACCTACAGCTTTAAATCATACATGAAATATATGGAGTTTTCCCCTCGGTTCTTTTTGTGGGTCAGACTTCTCCAGGCTCAGGCTGCAAACATGCCACTGGGTGGGTGACAGAGTAGAGGAGCCGGTGTCAGACTAGATGGCCCAGGAGGCCCCTTCTGGCTCGCTTTGTTTCCATGTCACCCTGTCCACTAGTTTTCCAGGTCACCTTCCTCTGCTTTTAGTTCCACGAGGGGGAAAAAGGCAGCGGCTGATAGCTTTTCCTTTTTTATTTATGGTGTTTTTCACAAAAATAAAGAAAGAAGATTGGGTTCTCGGTGCACCACTCTCATATCGGAGAGTGCCGTCTGAGCAAAATAAAAATAAACCAGAACACATCAGAACGGAGGCTACCACACATGAACTAAAATAACCTTTAGGTTTAAATGCATCTTTAGATTGATGAAGGCAAGCATTCTTTAGTTTCTTGGGGGCAGCTTATACATTACAGCTGTCCGTCGAGCTCATTTAAACTGGTGCCTCTCTGCTGTATTTCTCTGCTGGAACAGAGATCCCCTTGACAGCCTTTTTGTGCTTTGATTTTTTTAAAAAGTATATGTTCATTCTTTTCCAGGGAACAATCCCCTGATCCCCTCAGAAAAATCCGAGGGGGTAATCGAGCACATTGTCATGGTTCATGGCTCAGTCGGACTGTACAGCAAAAAATTTCTGCAGAAGCTCAGACGCAGCAACTACGTCACCCCAAAGAATTACCTTGATTTCATTAATACCTATTCCAAACTGCTGGAGGAGAAAAATCTCTTCATTTTGGGTAATATTGATGTTTTAAATACATTTTACAAACTGTCAGATGACTATGCAAAGATAGAAAGGATTGTTTGGCACCAGTAATCCATTTCCATTACTAGCAAGGCTGTGCATGTGAGGGTATGCATATACAGAGAATATGTAGGAGGCCTTACAGAACTCACACCCTAAGAATTTTGTCTGGTTTGCATATTCACATGAACATCCCAAAGTTTTGCTTTTCAAACAATTAAATGAAATGCTTATCCTTGTTCTCTGAACAAAATGTGTAAAATGTGTATATCGGGGAGAAGAGCGTACACCGTATATACACAATACACATGTTGTTAGTACAAGCACATACACAAACAGGATAGCCACCATGTACAGCCACCTCCTGCACTGCAAAGGTTTCTCCTCCTTTCCCCCAAAGCTCAGTGCAAACGTCTCGAGGGCGGTCTGGACAAACTCAAAGAAGCGACCGTGCAGCTGGATGAGCTCAACCTGAAGCTGGCTGAGCAAAGGATCGTGTTGGCAGAGAAGTCAGCTGCGTGTGAAGCTCTTTTGCAGGAGATTGCCACCAACACAGCCATTGGCAAGTAGTTTCCACAGCTTTCCTGGGCTGCTCTGGGCTTCCACAGGCTTTACCCCAGAAGCTCGAACTGGGCCAGGGCAAATAGTGGGGTGGATGAATTTTCCAGGATTTTGGTGATGAAGCTGGTGACTTCCTGTCACAAATTGTTACTACATTTTATTATTTTTATATCCTGCTCTTCCTTCCTCTTCCAAGGAACCCAAGGCAGGTCCATGGTCTGCCTCCTCTTCATTGTATCCTTACGACAACTCTGTGACGTAGGCTAGACTGAGAGGCAGTGAGTGGCTCGCTGGGCTTCATGGGCGACTGGAGCACTGGCACCCAGCTCTCCCCCGAGCACCAGTCCAGCATTCGAACCGCCACACCACCCCGGCTTTCTCGTTTTATGTCCCGCCAGTAATTTTTCCTTTCCCCCAATCTCACTTCTCAGCTGAGGAGAAGAAAAAACTGGCTGTGGAAAAAGCCATAGAAATAGAAGAGCAGAACAAGATTATAGCAGTAGAGAAAAGGGAAGCTGAGACCGCCCTGGCGGAGGCCATGCCCATCTTGGAGGCAGCAAAACTGGAACTTCAGAAGCTTGATAAATCTGATGTCACAGAGATCAGGTACTTTGGTTGGTGCTGTTTGCATAAAATCAGCGAGGCCAAGGATTTCGCACAGGAATGCTGGTGATGCTTCTTACTGCGGCCCATCTAGCATGCAAGCAGTGTGTTTCCCTTTGTGCTGCCGTGAGCGCTCTGTACAGTTGAGTTCCTCCATCTCTTGGGGGAATGGTTAAGCAAAATTGGATTAGTTCTGTTCAGTAGCTAAAAGGGAGGGAAATTACATGCAGGGAGCTGATTTGATCACACGACAGCATTACTATTATTAGTAGCATTAATTTCATTTCTATACTGCCCCGCAACCGAAGCACTGCTTTCAGCTGCACTGGGTCCAGATTAATATCTCGGCCATTTCAAAGAGCTGTTTTTGACTTTCAAAACCCTGAATGGCTGGGAGCCAAGATAACTGAAATTTCACCATCTCCGTGCAGTGAGGGCTGCAGCTGGCAAATCAGCCACTGCTGATAAAAAGCACTCTGGGTCCGAGTCTCCACTTGTTTCTCACAACTGTGCCAGTTTAGTAAGCCCCCACCAACTGCAACCCAGTCCTTTAAAGGGAACCTTTTCGAACAGGTTCAACACTCTTCCCACCTGGCTGGATGAGCCATGCACCAACAGCACCCAAGTATGGATTGAACTAGCCTTCATCCAGTCCGTTGCAATGCATTCCCCCACCTGTTGTGAAGAAGGCTAGAGTTCCTCCCGATTTGTTTGAGGGATGTGCTGGTTCTCAGGGAAGCAGGAGTGGTGTTCTTCTTGGCCCAGCATAGTTACACTAAGGGTCTGTGAGGCCTGGTATTTCATGGATGGAGAAAATCTATAAAGGAGCCAATGATCTCATTCAGTTGACCATGAAAACTAATATCCTGAGATGTGATTAGTGTGGAGGAATGGAAATGGAAGTACAGTTTGATCTGAGTCAGAAAACATGAAGTGCCATTTTAACACTGAGGGTCTTGATGTTGGTCGAATTGTTGCATGAATGAAGCCTTGTGAGAGCAAGCTTTTTGTCTCTTGTTTGCCCCAATTTGGATTTTTAAAAAATTCCAGGTCTTTTGCTAAGCCCCCGAAGCAAGTGCAGACTGTTTGCGAGTGTATCCTCATCATGAGAGGCTACAAAGAATTAAACTGGAAGACAGCCAAAGGGATGATGTCAGAGGCCAACTTCCTGCGCTCACTCATGGAAATCGATTTTGATTCGATTACTCAGACCCAAGTGAAATCAGTCCGAGGTAAATGGCTCAGCAGCAGAATTTATCATGCCCTTGGAAATGAATCTCACAAATGATCCTGCAACTGACACGGCATCCTTTTCTTAGCCCAAGGAAATCTAGGGAACAGGCACCCCCTCATAGTATAGGATACTACTTCTTTCCAAAGGCAACAGACCACTGACGAGGCCAGCTTATTAACTCGGCGCTCAGTTTTTGCGAAATTGTAGCTACTTCTGCCAGCTTCTCCAGCATAACAAACACAAAACCATTATTTTTTAGAGCTGAAGACTGCATGTATTTTTATGAATAAAAATTAGTAGAGTTGTCAAGCAAATTAAGAATTTGAGTTGATCATGTTATTTATTAACTTTTAGTTAATTAATCACCTGCCTTTTAGATACTTACTCAGCATTTTTCTCCCAGAGAGTGGAATAAGTATTGTATAACCTGCAACAGAGTTAATGGAAGCTACTATTCCTTGTTAAATGAAAAGGCCATGTTAATTTCTCTGGTGAAAGCATACCAAAATGGCCTTTGTTGTTGTTGTTAGTTGCGAAGTTGTGTCCAACCCATCGCGACTCATGGACAACATTCCTCCAGGCCTTCCTGTCCTCCACCATCCCCCAGAGTCCACTCAAGCTCACAAAAATGGCCTTAAGAAATAACAGTTCCCTTGACCTGCAGATTTATCCACCAATAACGCATTTGTTCTTACCTCATTGGTTAGTAAAAAGTTAATTTCATACACGTTTACTCAGAAACAAGTCCCACTGAATTTATTATTATTATTATTATTATTATTATTATTATTATTATTATTATTATTATTACATTTCTATACCGCCCCTTGCCGAAACCTCGGGGCGGCTTACAACATGATAAAATACATTGAAATACAATAGTACATAATAAATTACCATTAAATACAAAAATACAAAAAATACATTGATTTACAAATATAAAATTAAAATTATCAGTATAAAAT